TCCGACAGTAAGCATTTTTCTGTGATACCTTTTTATAGAAACCCCAAAGACTGAGGTGTACTGCCGTCCTCTGCCTGCTAACTCTTCCCTGCACCATGAGCTATATTACCACTTTTCCACTTTCCCTGAGTGCAAGCAGAAAGAAATGTTGCCCACAGTCCTGCTGAAAACTACTTCAGATGAAAGCACCACTGACTGGACGGACCCCATAGATATCAATTGCCTTGGAACTCAGGTAAAAGTGAGTGTGTTCTGTGCTCACATGGAAGCACCAAAGTGGAAACTCACATCTGTTCTTGTCATTTTAACATATACAGTGGTTGTGAATTTAAGCGCTATCAACACACAATCAAAAACTTGACATCACAGAAAACAAAACAACACCCATAACAGCTAGATGGAGCCAGAGATCACTATGTTTTAGTGGGTTCTATCAATGTGTTGAATTACCTCAATAATAATAACCAGAGACATTATGATTGAAAGCCTTTAACCCCAAAAGTGAAGACTGTATTCAGAACACAAGTTTTGTCTGTTATAATAACCTTTTGGGAATCAAAATAAGGTTTGCCTGGTCTCGATTCAATGCAGTTTGTTTAGTCTGTGTTCAGATGCATGTGCGTGTCTATTGGAGTTTAGCGACCTTATGCTTTTTGTCTGGTCAGTGTTGTTGTGTGGGGTTAACAAAATGTTAAGGAGCAATAAGTGTAACGTTTGGTGTTGTGTCTAGGGAGTAGGGAGCTAGGGTTGAAGCAGAGGCTCTATTTCTCTGGTTACTGCAAGGTCTGGGTCTCACCAGATTGGCAGGGGGCGAGGGTCAAAGGCTACACTTGTTTTGACTGCACAAAGAAGCACACAACAGTGATCTGTTTCCTTTTGCCATATGAGTGTCTAAACCTGGAGAAAGCAGGTTAAAGTGGCACATTTGTAACCATCACAGAGACCAGCGTAAGAGTACTGACCACAGCTATGACAATAAAGTTACCCCTTAAAAGTTGATTTAAGGTGAAAATGTTCTGATTAGGCCCTCCATTCAAAGAGATTTATTTCTGTTGATCAGGTGGTGTTCCTTCCGGGCTTTGGCTGTCTCTACATAGAAGTGATGCTTCAGAGGGGCACCCTTGTTCTGTCCTTGGCACCAGAGGGAAGCATGGATGCCGTAATCAACCAACACATCAGGTATTTGTCCACAGGCAGTGGTTTTATTGAGGCTGTTCAGTGCTCCCTCTTTGCTCCTTTCAGGCCCAAGAGATTAAGAGCCTTTTTTTCTCCATACTTCAAGGTATCCACCATGTGTTTTTTTATTGAATTATCTTTGATTTGCTTTACGATCACTGTTTATATGACTGTTTTCACATGTTGCTATACTACACACGCTAAGAAGCAGGCATCATTTTCTCCACAGGGGGGCAATAAAACCTTCTGTTGTCATGACTGAACTAGTTGTGCAGTAGAACACAGTATTGCAACTTTATTCCATTACATCAACACATATCCGCTGTGTCATTTTGGCAAAACAGGATATTAATATAATGGCTTGTTTTTCTAAAGTAAATAAATTACCTCAGACAGTAATCTTTGTTCATGTTCTGGAATAGAATTCATGAAACACAATCCCAAAATGAATGAGTATGGTCTTATATTATTTTCTACAAATAATCAGTCATCATACACATGGTTTCTTGAAAGTTTTGTGTTATATGAGTTGGAAATGTTTGCTTGTACAGAAAAAGGGCAATAGTTACAGTTACATATTTAACCGTGGCTGTATTTTCATATGTGAAATCCACACTTAGTTTTGGCTCTCATTGTTGTTCAGGTTTTCTGTTGCTATAATGATTTTATTTTTGTTTTGTCCCAAGGTCCTCCAATTTGTCGTTCAGAGTCCTCCTGAGTGAAGCCAGCGTGGTGTTAAGTGATGATATTACCAATCCCACCGGGTCTGTGGAGCTGTTAAGACTAACATTAACCAAGACGTTCCTCTGCTTGGGTCCTGCACCCACCCTCCTTGCCCATGAGCTGCCAGGTGACTCTGCTGATGGGGCAGCATCTGTGTCAGTCCTGATGTCTGACGCGTCTCAGATCGAGGTCTACTGCTCCAGTCTGCAAGTGGACAACCAGCTGTATAACCGGGCGAGCTTCCACTTTCCTGTTCTGCTGTGCCAAGATCAAAGAGGAGGGGTTGAACCTGAGGATCTGTGGAGCATTGACAGCAATCCCACCGAGTCCCCCGAAGCTTTGGAGGGGTTCAAACGCTCCTGTTTTCTGCAGATGAGGATGACCTTGGCTGGGGACAGATGCACCGTGGAGGAGGTTAAATCCATTGCTTCATCTTTTTGATTACACTTTCATGTTCTCACTTGGCCCTCTTAGTGTTCATGACACACACTTCAGCTGGCAACAGTACAGTGACACAATCAGCACAATCTGCACTCAACCAGTGAGAAAGTAATGTAATGCAAGCAGCAACATAGCAACCGCTTTGTAATTTCCAGCCAGTAATTTCACAACATTCCAAAATGAAGCTGCTATACTGTGCGAGGAAAAGAGTTTTAGTTGTCTTTACAGCTTGATCGATTTGTGAATTGTTTTTAAAGATTTACAGCAAAGTATCATAGTTGAGCTTTTAAAAGAAAAAGCAGGAGAGCTAACTCAGCTAAAATCAAAGTAATAACATGAAACTGTATTTGTCCAAATCTCTCTATTTACTCTCTAAACATTTGTCAAGTGCTCTATCTTTGAACCTCTCTGTCTGCTTTCACCTAGGTTGCTTTTAGGCTTCAGCCTGCCAGAGTCTACCTTGAAGACACTTTTGTGTACTACATCAAGACCCTGTTCTACACCTACATTCCCGACAGGGCTGTTACTTCTACCGAGTCCAAAAGTTGCAAAGTGCCTGAAGAAACTCCCTTTCTGCCTGAACAGGTGCCCACTTTAGTTTTTATCTATCTCACATTGTCATTGTCCTTATAGCCACATCACAGAATGCCTAGTGTTTCCTTTCTTAGCTAATTTATGTAACAGCACTGTGTGTGCTTCTAGGGATAGGGATAGAGAAATTGATCAATCCTATTTCCAGATATGGCAGTCAATGATTTTATACGATCACTTTGTTGTTATCCAGGTTCTTCAGTCGGTGCAGGCATTGGTCCACCCTGTGCGCCTACAAAGGATCACCATCCAGCCTATCAACCTCCTCGTCAGCATCCATGCCTCCCTAAAGCTGTACATTGCTTCAGACCACACTCCTCTGTCTTTCTCTGTGTTTGAGAGGGGGCCACTCTGCACTACAGCCAGACAGTTGGTTCATGCTCTAGCTTTGCACTATGCTGCTGGAGCCCTCTTTAGAGCTGGTAGGTACAAAATTAAATGGAGACATACAGTTTTTTGTTTAATTTATACCCCACCTATGTCAAGCTGTTAATGAGGTACACTTTTTCCTTTACTTTCCCACCGCTCAATATCTGATGTCAATAGTAACATAACTCTAACAATAGCCCTAACAATCATAAACCCAAAGCAAACATTGTCAGAAAAAAAACAATGTTTTAAAAAAACATGTGATAGATTCTCACATTTTGTCCTTACTAAGACTGGAGTTGAGATAGCACCCTGGAGTCTACTTGCTTCATGGAAGAAAGTGCAGGAAAATGGCAGAGCTATAAGAAGCTAATACTATACCACAAAAGGGCTGAGGAAGATTTACATCCACTGTCATAAGTTACAATTTCATCATAAGGTCTGACTCTGTACTTAGTTTAAAGGTGGATTTTTATTGTTTATCTGTGAATGGCCACCAAGTCCAAGCTGCGCTTTCGGCCCGTGAGACAGCTCTGTATGTTGTCCTGCTGTCTGCTCAGAGCTTCCCACACATGGTCTGATTTAACCCCGTCATTTTCACATCAGAAATCACCTTTCTCGCCAGACAATTCCTTCCCGCTGTCCCTCGTTAGAGCCTTCAGTGCTGCTCGTATGTCAACACGTCACCTCACCACCGGCTCCTTTAGCTGAGTCATCATGGATACTGCGGCTCTGGGAAGTGCTGTATTTTGGGGCTGATTAACATGAGAACATTCTGATAACACATTACATCCATAAACCCATGCACGCTGGCACACAGAGACCTGTGTTAGTGGAATTAAAAAGTATTCACTATCCTGTACTAAAATTCTGATGTAGGCTCAGCCCTGTAAACATCATCTCCTGTTAGGACTTTAGGCTTTACTAAAACCACAACTGGAAAACCATATAAAGCAGAAACACCCACTAGTCCCCCTGGAGTTGGTTTCCTACCATTAGTGTCCATCAGCCAAGCACAAATTGACAGAGAATTAAGAGCAGAACAGATCCTGGCTTCTTTAGAAATGGCCGTTTGATTTTTGTGATCCTGTTGTCAGAGCATAAATATCAATGAGCCGTGCCATCTGAAGGGGACTCTATGGTAAAATGAGAGAGGTAAGGTTGTAGGACGTTGTAAATCTTGCTGCAGCATGTGTATGATTACAAGCAGGAGTCTGCATGTCTGTATTTGTGAGTGCATTTATGTGTGTTAAGGTTTGTGAATCTCTGCTGAGATAAGAAATTGGATCGATTAATTCAAATTGCTTTTGGCAAGACAAAACTCTGAAGCTGAGTTTGCTCAAGGGGCATGTATGGAGAGCTCTACTCAAGTCTTCCAAATGTTTATCTTTTCCTTTCTGTTGAATGGAAATCTCAGCAGTCTGAAATGTCCTGTAAGCCAGCTTTTATTAGATAATTAAGATTATTATTTTAAGGTGAATTGTGTTTAAATATTTGCTATGAGTCTGAATTTTCTGGCGATGCTGAAGTCCAAGGCACGTTTTTCTCGAAAACATGCAAAACAGTCCAAGGTAGTTGATTAAAACCAGTATTGTACTTTTAAAACACAAATCAGATCATAGATGAGCACACAGGTTGCTGTTCTGAAATGTCATTGCTGTATATAGAGCTTTTTTTACCATTGTTCCTTTGTCCCAGGTTGGGTGGTTGGATCCCTGGAGATCCTCGGTAGTCCTGCCAGCCTTGTGCGGAGCATCGGTAATGGAGTGTCAGACTTCTTCCGCTTGCCGTATGAGGGTCTGACCCGAGGCCCCGGAGCCTTTGTCAGCGGAGTGTCCAGAGGAACCACTTCTTTTGTCAAACACATCTCTAAAGGTAAGTCTTTACTCTCTTTATCTTCATCTTTGTCGGATAAAGTGTTCCAGCAGTTGGGCTCATTGGAAATGACCCCTGGCTCAGCCTTCACTCACTCAAAATTCCCAGTACTTATTTGTATATATTTAGATATGTTTTCCTGGTTGTAATCAGATTAATTTGCACCCTTGACTTTTAACTCCTTTCTTGGCCTCACTGATAAGTGGTCACAGTAAGTCTCTTGTGTGTTCAGGCACCCTGACATCCATCACTAACTTAGCCACAAGTCTGGCAAGGAACATGGACCGTCTGTCTCTTGATGAAGAGCACTACATCAGACAGGAGGAGTGGAGACGACAGCTTCCAGAGAGCCTTGGTGATGGACTGAGACAGGGATTGTCACGACTAGGCATTAGTTTGTTAGGTACGTGTTTTTTAAGCTCGATTTCAAATTATTCTGATTCGGTCATATTTTCTTCTATTTGTGGCAATGGCAAGATTGACATATTTAGTTTTACTTTTCATCAACCATTCCAAATAGGATTCCTCCAGCCTTACCATCACATTACCTAATATGTGTTATATATGTGTACTATGTGGACTCCATAAACACCAAGAGGGCAATAAAACTCAAGTCTGTCTGAAACCAACAGCTGCTTACATATTTGGGTTACAGGGGATCATGATTCCTTAGATTCACTGATGATTGCATGTAAGTCATCCATAAAATTAATGGTCGCAAATTTTCTTTAAGGGAAAAGCACATCTGTGGTTCCCATTACCCTGCAATCAATTTCAATTAATACAAAACGTAATAAACGTCCCTTTTGAATCTATAGGACCGTTTTTGTATTCGAAATATTTTACCAGTCGTCATCTTTTCTCAATAACGATTTTTTTGCTTGTCTTTTCAGGAGCAATAGCAGGCATTGTTGACCAGCCCATGCAAAACTTCCAAAGGAACTGGGAGACACAGAGGTCAGCGGGATGCCAAGCCAAGGGAGTAATCTCTGGTGTGGGAAAAGGGATTGTCGGCGTTTTTACGAAACCTATTGGAGGAGCGGCTGAACTGGTGTCCCAGACTGGCTATGGTGAGTGTTCAGCAGGGTAAAGATGGGGGGGTATCTTGGTTCAAGCTGATTTTGGAACTGTGTTGGTATTTAAACCAGTTTGCATTTTAGAGAGATATTTAGGCAAACAAATCATTTAATCTATTCAAATGTGATTGAGCATTATTTATGTGGAGCCTAATAGGTTTAAAAGATTTTGAGCTATAGTAACTCCTTCAAAAGCTTGAATAAACGTTTTTTTATGAAAAAATCAAAAATTTAAAAGTTCAAACCTAAACATTGAAGCACCTAAGCACTGATGACAGAGCAATGACTCTACATTTTGCTTTCCAATTATTTGTTCAACAGACCTCAAGCTTCATAGCTTGTATAACTTTTCCAGGAGCCAAACACCACAGTAAGGACACGTCTAAATTATAGTCAGCAAGATCACTAATGTATTACTATTGGATATGAATAAGTCCCTCCCATTTGTTATCTCAGCTCCAGGCAGTAGCTAAGTGTTTATGAAAGCAGGATCTGATACAGCTGCTGACACAGACTCTTTACCCCAACCCTAATCATGACAACTGAATGCCTGACCCTAACCACAAAACCTGACCCTCAAAAATCAAGTTAAACACGTAGGGCCCAGTATTTGGTCCCCATAAAACACGTTGGACCTCGATTGGTCCTTGTTTTTGGACCAATCGAGGGAGATAAGAGCACATACACTTAGTAACACATGCTTGAGCACTTGTACACACAGGCAGTTTAGTCCTCTGGAGTTACTTAGTGTTTTATTGGGGCTAGAAAACGGGGCTAAGGAGTGGGTCAAAGAGTGACGTGTGTTGGCTACAGCACATAAACTACCAATGAGGTGAACCACTCCGTATAAAAGCAGTGCCTCCCAACGGCCTAACTCTGATCTGCCGGACCCTCTGAGCTCAACACATTGCAACACACAAAAAACATTTTTTTAAAGACATCCAGAATTCTGCACCTGGCAGTCTCTCTGTGCTCTGGATCAGATGGTCACTTGTCAGAGTTTCTCAGGGACACTTGACCCCACACTGCCACTGTTCTGTTTATTGATGTTAGCCAGTGCACATAGATCATTCTTGTCGATTTATGTTGTCATTCTGTGACTCTTTATTTTGTTCTCTTATGAAACACATGGATGTTACAAACACCCACTCGGAGCTGCACGCAGTTTACCGCAGCAGCAACGTTATTAATGGAGCCAACTGTATTCTTTATGGTTCTGTTTGAACTACTTGATGACTTCAGTGGTTTGCTGCTGCTCTGCTGAAGGATTGGGTTTTAAAAAACTGACCTTACACTCACGGGTTATAGACTCATTTAACATACACTCACAGAATCCTATAACCATTTTAATAGAGAGTGAAATATGTAGTATAAACTCAATATACTCAAGTAAGAATGCTGTTGATGTAATACTCATAGTGTTTGTGTGTATAATCCATACCAATGTCATACCTCAATATATATGCTCTGATGTTTGTTTTTACAGGGATCCTCCATGGAGCAGGCCTGTGGCAGCTCCCTAAACAGCTCCACCTTCCCACTGAAGAAAAGTCAGCCCTGGCCTCAAACACTCACCTGAAATATGTCTGGTATGACTCCACAAGCCAATCATTCTTCCTGCCAGCCACTTTACCTTTTGCCCAGCTCCTCTTCATAAGAATAAGGCGTGTTCTCACCCCTGCCCCAGTGTTTTTATTGAGTTCTGTCCAGGATCCGAAGTTGTTTTCCTTCCCATTACCAGTCATCATTTCCATTGTTATAAAAAAAAGTTTGGAGATTTTCTTTTTCTTTTTTTTCTACTTAAGTCCAACACATGGTAGGCACCCTATCCTCCCTTGTGCTCATTGAGTCATTTCAAAAGGTTTTTCTAAGCACTAAGCCAAAACCTCAAAACGAACTGTTCTTGTTATTTAACTATGAGTCTGACCAGAGGTGCCGGAACAGTTAGACTCACTCTGTAAACATTGTACGAAGCATCAGGCATTATCTTTGGTGATAATATCAATTAACCAAAAAACTGTATCTCATGCATGCAGTGCTATCACTGGAATGCTTGGTGTCGTCTAAAAAAATATGGGAAGCCCCTGTATTCAAAAGGTTTCCACGAATTCTGAAATTCAGTTTGGTCTCTGGGACCTGGCAGTGCTGACATTACATTGACATTACATTTTTTCTTCAAAATGACCTTTTATAAAATTATAAAGTAATGCCTTGTAGTTTTCTTTCTGCAGAGCTGTCTCATTGGCATCAGAGCTCCAACAATTATTTTTACTACTACAGGTAGTCCAGACACTTGAAGGGTCAGGGTGAGAGTACTGTAACACTGAACAGACCCAAACTGTGCTTACAGTGGTTTCTTCAACATCTGCTCTGCAACACCTGCCTTCCAAAGTAAACACTGTCACAGAAATATGGCACACATATTTCCTTATTGAATGTGAGGTAATCAGAACCACACAGAGCAAATGGAAAGGCAAATTACAGGATGTATGCAGGCACAAATGACTACTCGAGGGTATATGGCTGAAGGTTGTTTATTAGGGAAGTGTATATCTGTTTGTGTGTAAGACCTCGTTCAATTTAAACTTTGAAAATTTCCATAAAATTTTTTACATTAAGATTTTATAGTATTCGCATAAATTGGTTAAATTTATAACATGCAACCATTTTGCTTGCTCTGCGTTGTGATTGCAGGAAGATGCTGCAGTCTCTGGGACGAACAGAGCTCCACATGGCCCTGGAAGTGACCATTGTGAGTGGGTCAGGTCAGGAGCATGCTGGCTGTCTGCTGCTTACCTCTGAGGTCCTATTTGTGGTCAGCCTCAGTGAGGACACACAACAGCAGGCCTTTCCCATCACAGAGGTATTCCACTTAAATGTCTCAAGAGCCAAGGGAGGAACAGGGCCTCTGTGAGTTCGGTAAAGCGAGCGTTGAACTCTGTGCAGGTGGAGTGTCAGCAGGAGCCCGGAGAACAGAGCCAGCTGAAGCTCATGTTGCAGCAGCAGACAGTAACCAGTGAAACCGAGGTGAGAAAGGGCAAGGCAGTGGTCAGATCTGATTAGGCAGAACATGAAATGAGGTCTGATCCCCCACCTGTTCTCCCTCAGGCTGATGGCGTCCGTGAGCGTCTGTCAGAGCAGCAGCATCGACGACTTGTGGATTACGTGACGCAAGCTTCCCAGTTCGTCTCTCCCTCTCCCGCCTCTCTACAGTTGCAACCCCCAGTGACGCTTGCAGAGCCACCTCCCTCTGTCACAAAGTGCTACCACTACTTGGTGGATCCTGCCTTTGCCAAGGTGTTTGTTAGCAAGTTCACAGCGGTGAAAAACAAAGCCTTACGCATTGGATTCCACTGACACACCGTCTAATCCTCTGAGACTGATGGAGTAACAAGATCAGAGCTTTTCTTCACAGTGTGCTTTGTGTCCTTAAAGTTACCTTTCCCTTTATGCAAAGCATCATTTTCAATGTTAACATTGAGATGTAGAGAATTTGTAGGAAAGATATTTTTTGAACGGATGAACTCATCAACACCAAAACCATGATAGACACTATTTTAATCATAGAAACACATGTAAGTTTGAACCTTTCAGTGAGAATATAAACTGAAACAAAACTGTTTTGTAGAGCTAAACTGAGGGCTTTTTGTGAAAGCATCCTCAGGGATACGGATAGAAAAGCTAGAGCAGACAGGGAAAAACAAACTCTCTGTGTTTACGTTCAGCATATTATCTTAAGTCATTGTAATATGAAAATACGGAAGCTCGAGATACCAACTGTTGACCAAAATGTTTCTACATGATGTAACATACTTATTGACAGTAACACTCTTCTCTGTACCTTGCGTTGATGCCAAACATTAATGATGCAAACATGTTGTTGTTGCCTTTTATATTGTTGTTCCTCTGAATTCTCAATGAGAGGTTTAAGTCTAATGCCTTTGTTAAACAAATCTATAATATATCAATAGAGAAGCCTCTTATTAAAAGAATATCCCAGAAATCATTTGTATTTTGTTATTTGATCATACTGCACGTGTCTTGTGGAGAACCATGAACTACATAACTTTTGCATCCCTTATGATAAATTCAGTTCTAGTAGGTTTGTCACATGATTTCAGAAAATACTCAACACCATACTATACTACTATACTTTTTTTATAAATTCCAATCATGCCAAACTGACCTGAAATGCCCTCATCATTAAGATATCAGTGACTGAGTTCTCAGTTTCCACACAAGTCTCCCACTTGTTTGTCCCAAAGTTGTGATGCATGACGTCAGTTCTGGTTCTTCTCTGTCGTTTCATGTTGCAGGCTCATGCACTAAACATGAGTGTGTGAAACGTTTATGAGACAAAAACAACTACGAATGGGACTTTAGACTATTACACTGCTTGCTGTCACTTCTGGGGGACGACTTTGGGAAGCTGCGCTTGCTGCTCCCCCACTTAGCGCGGTATTCACTTGAGGAATCTGGTGGAGAGAGAAAAAAAGGCAGAGACAGTGTTGGACCACAGCTCACTTGGTTGTTTTAATGTTTTAAATATTGCTGATGTGTTAAAAACTCCATTATGTTTCTCTCTTGGGGTCCTAGAAACACCTTGATTATCAAATCAGCAATGATGGCCAAATGCATTTTTCCTCTATACCATCACATCAAAACATAATTTGTGCTACGATATGTGCTTCATAGTCTTAGATTCTTATTTTGTTTGGACTTGAAAGTTCTCCTGCACACATTGAAAATTAAATGACTAGCCAAAGTAGCTGTTTGGGCCTGTGACAGTTCTGTCTTGGAACTTTGTTGTAATGTCAGAGTAGGTCTTGGTTGCAAATTGTCAAAAGTTGTGGGGCGTACGTCCATACCTGAGACTGTGGAGGTTTCCATCTGACTTTGTTTCCTCAGCAGCAGCTCCTCTTTCTTCAGCCCTGCCATGTACTTGGAGTATGACCACAACAACTGAAAGAACATTTAGAAAAAGAAAATGTCAACTTTAATGTGAGTAGAGAAAAGCTTTGGTTGAGTGTAACCTTCAGGCTGATGAGGTATTATGTGTCTTTATTATCTGAAGTTATCATGTCAGTATTTGTCGTTCTGGTGTACTAGGTGTTCTTTGATGTTTAAGTACTGTGTCACCACATGAAAAAGCCATACTCCAGTTCCCAGTATCTAGTATAGAAGTTTAAACGCACTAAGACTAGGACAGAACTTCTGTTAACTGGAAGTAAAGATGCTGTAGTTAGTAAAGTGGTTCCAAACCCAACCAGAGGGAGGAAATGGAATCCAAGAATGGCAGTCCAGGAGGCAGAAACAAGTCTTGGGCATGCACAGATTGTGGGTAATATTAAAATAGGTTGGGAGGCTTTGGGTTTGGTCCAGGACAACCTGTCTGAAGAGCAGGGCAGGGTTGTTGGAAAGTTAGGATTTGTCCAGTCATGTAGAGGATTCTGTCTCATTGTTGAGGGAGTTGCTTTCTGATAAAGCTCTTGGGAGTGTCAGGACACAGATGGGAGAGAACCATCATACATCCTCAGCTCTAAAAACACAAGAAATGGGTTCCAATAAAAAACAAAACAAGAGGCAGATTTTTACCGGCTGGGTGGGAGTGAACAGCACACTGCTATGTGTCTGCGTCTGCTTTGAGTCACTTCTTCCTTCTTGCTCTTTTTCTTCATCTTCTGTCTCATCCTTTTCTTCACTAACACATGACTTTGGCCTCTCCTGTTCCTCCTGTGCCAATAACAAGCAGAATACCTTCACTTTGTAAATTCATTTTTTTACACATATTTTAGATTTTTATCATTTTTTTCTTTGTATTCAAACCTGTGCACTCCTCTCCTCATCTTCCTCCTCTTTCCTTCTTTGTCTCCATTGTCTGGTTTTGCATTTCACACGTTTATTCTTCAGTAGACGGAGGAGCTTCTCATCCTGGATGCTGCTGCTAAACTCTTGAAACTCCGGCCAAAACTTCAGCAATTCGCTGAACACTGATATCTACATGAAAAAGAATATCTTAAAGAAAACATAAAGATTAAAGTTTTTAAAAAAGAAAAGAAAAAAAAAACGCACCTGTGCCTCTCTAAAAATGTATGGGCCAAGTTTGTGGCGCCTGTCCAAAATACGCTGGGCCTGATCAGGGGGGATGTCGATCTGCACTGTCGGCGGCATTGAAGAGTTGATGAAACAGCTTATGATGGTGGAGATCTTTTGCTGGATGGTCACCTCATCACTGTGGGAATGACAGAGGTCCTGTATAGAGAGGACAGAGAGACATGAAAGATTAAACATGAACAATTCTGTGAACCCACCCCTCCTAAAATATTTAAAGTTATATCCCCATTCAGATTGTGGTTATTGAAAATGTCAGATCCCATTTTTGTCCCAGGATATGTACAGTGTGACTTACATGCACATTTATCTGTTTTTTTTGTTGTTGTTGTTTTTTACCTTGTACCTCTGCACCTCAAGCCAGAAGCGAACATCATTTTCTAAGAAGTCTCCCTTCAGAGAGACAAAGTTTTGGAACTGCTGACAGGTAGAGGGATTTAGAAGAATTCTTCTAAACAATAGGATCTCGCCAGAAGAATACATCCACCAGCCCTGAGCCTGCAAGGAGATGAAACAGGATACATTAAGTCTAGATTTAAGTCTACCTTCACCTACTTGTAAATATAAGAAGAAGATTTTCATATTCAATAGTAAGAGTCAGGCCATTATTTTAGTGTGTGAACGTAGACTGAACGTAGTCTACATTTACACACTAAAACAATACAAAATATGTTGTTTGCCAGTGATAACATAATGATCATACAGATGAGTCACAGTAATCTATTTAATTAAACTCGTTGCTGTAATCACCCTGCCTGCAATCTGAAATGAATGTTTTATATCTACTCTCTACTGTGGAGACAAAATGGGAAGACGACAACCGGACTGCATGGAAACCCTTCCAAAGACTATAAAAGAAAGGTTTGTAATGCTGATGCTTTAATCTTATTTATCCTGGATCCAATTTGGGAAAACTAACCTCAAGGCCAAAATGGTGTTTGACAAAGCCAACGCTTGAAGCCAAGTCATGAACAAAATGTGGAAGTGTTTCCATGCCGTCATGCCAGGAAATGCCTTATTGGCATTCACTATGTTCCTAACAGCATTTCTTCTTACCTTCCAGGCTTCTTTCCTCAGTTTGCGTCGAAGGACGTTGTGCTGTGAGAGGTTGTTTGCTGCTTGCAGCTATCACAGAAAAAAAGATCCACACAAAGGTCAAAAGTTAAGACACTGAGTAAACTATGACTTACAGGAGACGCTCGGCTCCCACTGGTGCTTTTAGTCTCTGGTTGTAACTAAATCTCTGTATAAGTTGCCTCCTAAACAAATCTCCCAAATAATATGTCTTAACCTTTCAGATGTTTCCCAATATAGATCTTTTCGTTTGACTCTGAAACACCTTCTTCCATTACGCCCATCTCCAAAGTGTAACATTAAACTGCCACTCATTACTTAATGAGGGAGATCTGTGACAGTGAACATTGTAAACTTGATAACATAATGATGCAAAGCGGCGGAACCTGCGGTTTATGTGTTGCAACCTTATGAAGAAACCTGAGAGAGATACAGGACGGTGACAGCATATTGTGGTTGCTCTCGTAGCTCTAATTTGTTTCTTATCTCAGCTGATAATTGTGGCTATTAGACAGCTGGAATTGAATTCAACCTTAGGTTACATTTAAACTAGATAATCAACAAGTTAGCAACTGTGTTCCTAATACCTGTACTTTTTTTCTCTTTTTTTTTTTGTCATACAGACATTGTGTTGGATTGGACACATGAAGGCTACTATACATAGTAGTGAAAACAATATCTCGCAAGTTACATTAAGGACTAGCCATTGTATATTTCTTATTTAATGTGTGTAAATACGATATTTTTTTCAGAGATAGATATGTGCTTTGTGATTTGATCATGTAAAAATACTAGATATTTAACGTGAAGTTATTACCAGTAGTTATAATCTGAAAAATGAATTTCAATCTAAATAATGAAAAGTTTAAGGACCCAGGGTGTCCACCTTTGGTTTGTGTTTCTGTCGTTGGGTGAACTCAGCAGTTGATAGAAACAGAGGGAGCCACTTTTCCTCAATGTGATTCCTGACGATGTCCTGGATTATTGTGATGACTGGGTTGGTGAGACACTCTAACTTAAGATGTTCAAGTCCACCTGTCAATCTCAGTATCTGCAGATGGGCAAAAGAACACAGGACACATTGGCAAAGTAGAATGACGTTTCTATATACATTTGCCATGAATGCTAAAAACACAGGGCACATGTAAATAGATTTCATTCAAGGAAACCACATGAAGGATACATGAACAAAAACTTTTAAAAAAGAAGACTGTAAGAAAAATCCATCTTGTCTCCTGCTGCGATCTTAATCATTCCCACAAACCCTCTGTTCTATTTATCTCCCCTCTCTGCTTTCTGTCTTCATACGACTATCTGGCAATGGCTCCCTTTTTATGTCTCCTTTATACTTTCTCTCATTTTATTTTGCAGGCATGCATGCACACACTCACACAGTCTTTTGAAATGAGAACCAGTCATGGCACTTGAGTGGGAGTCAGAAGATGAAAGACGGCCATTCTGTGACAGGATGACTGAGTGACTGAAGCAGCAAAGGGCCAAAGCAGTAAAGCTGTCAGTCTCTCTACATTGCACATACAGAAGAGAACCAACAGCTAGATTCAACCAACAGCTGCCAGGGCCAGATCTCACAGAGCTGGAAGCACTTGAATTGGAATTCAAGTGCAGCAAATTATTTTTGAATGAATTCATAAGATCTGGATGTTTAATGATAAAGATCTTGCACCAGAACAGAAATAATGACAGTTTATTGATTCTGTTATGATCAAATGAAATATGTTCATGTGAACACCACGTTGCTGGCAGAATTATGATCTTTTGTCGGAAAAAAATTCAGGAAAACCACATTCCTATCAGAAATAGAATAAAAATATATTATATGACAAAAATGTTATGAGCAACCATATTCAGAAAATCAGTTCAGCTGCATCATGTCCCATTTACTCATCCCAACTCCACATTCTCTGCCCCCCTGCAGTGCCGTAATGCTGGGATCCAGATACTTAACCTAAAAAGTCAGGAAAGAGTCCCTCCTGCTACCATTGATGCTGGAGTTGTTTTCTTTTTCTGAAATCAAATCACGCTCTTCTCCTTCCTCTTTATTTGACTTCTAACCATATTGCCTCATCCCCAAAATACCCACTAACACCCTGCCGTCAGAGCTGTCAGCACAAAGTCTGAAGAACGCCAGAAGGGGGAGAGGGGGAGTTCTGTGAGAGAAGTAGAAAACTCTATCAAGTCTGGTTGCTGAGCCTCTTCTGGAGCTCAGATCCTGTCTTGATATTGTTTAGTAATGGGCAGACAGAGTGGCATGATTCCGCCAACATGAGCATATTTTCAGATGTTCATTATTTCTTTAATAATATGACTGACATACATCATTCTGCTGTTTTGCTGTTGCAGGACTGTCAGAACCGAAGAAGTATTCCCTGTTGAGGTATTTAGAGGCAATGTGGGACGACATCTCCTGTATGACCGCCGTGTCTCTCTGATGAGTCCTCCTGTACTGCTCCAGATCTAGCCAACACATCAAATGGATACTGTACAAGTACAGAAATAGTTACAAAAAAAAAGGAACAACATTAATCCCTGGACTGGATATTAAAAGGTTTCAGAAAATGTTGTAAAAGTCACCAAGGGTCACCAAGCATCTTGATTCTGTAAGAAGGACATGAAGTGGTCAATCTCATGACGCTGACGAAGTAGCCATTCCAAATTGTAACCCTGGTAACTTGAAGGCACACTGAGCCATGATTCACGTGCATGGGAACCCTTTGTTGGAGGAAAATTCATGGATCTGCAGGGTTCCTTCGGCTGAAGAGATCCAGCAAAAGAAAGCAGAGAACAAAGGGCAGAGATTAAGAGAATATAGAGAAATTAAGAGAAAAAAATAGAATAAAGGTGAATTCCACTTTGATTTCACCTGATCACATGCTACCTTATTAATTATTGCAGGGTTTGAGCCTTTTTAGCATGACTGTTTCTAAATTTCAATTAATGCCTAAAAATATAAATCTATAGAAAGAAAAGAATGGCAATGACAGTACATTGCCACATGTAAAACATGGTACATGTTGAAGCTGCACCAAGATGGCTGACCTGCTTCAGCTGCTGCTCAGACACCTCATACAGAACCTGGAGTTCTCTGTATTCCTGGCTGTCAATGCACCGCACCTCCTCCTGTACACACACCTGCACACACAAAACAAATTAAATGCTGATATTATCCATCCATTTTCCATACAACTTACTTCCAATGAGGTTTTAGGGGGGGGGACTTGAGCCTATCCCTGCAGACAACAGGCAGGTTGCCAGTCCAAAACAGGGCAACACAGATACAGACAACCAGACACACTCACATTCACTTCTATGGGCAATTTGGAGTGTCCAGCTGACTTAACATGCATATATATATTTTAACAATGGCCATTTTGGCCACACAGACAAAAGGGGAACATGCAAACTCCACACAAAAAGGAACGCTCTTGCTGTGAAGCGACGGTGCTAACCTTGCTGATGTCAGTTGAGACATTTTTTTCAGGCATTTCATCTGATAAGTGAAAGTTCTCTTTCATTTGACTTTTGTTTTATAAAATGAGTACATTATTACTATAATTTTATAGTTTATCTGATCATCATTTTTATCAATGTCATTCTATTTCATTTCTAGATGATCTGATGACACGAAAATTGGTTTAAAGAAAAACAGAAACATACATATTAGTGGTGATGTTTGGTTTATCAAAAGAGTTATGTTTATCATCCAGAAAGACATGTTCTGTTGTTGAATGAACCCAGGAACTTACAACTTGAACACATTTTGTCCAAAAAAGTAAGAAATTATTTTATAATCAAGTAGAGTATTCACCTTCTGGAGAGAGTCTTTGTCTCTGTTGGCCAGCAGAGTCCATGGCTCCAGTAAAATAGTTAACGCATGCTCCTCAGCCTCATCAAACAGCTCCTCAAAGGCAGGCCACAGTCTGTTGTACACCTCCCTGCTGATCTCCTCATCTACATCAATGCTCCTTCTGGCTACGTTGAAAATATAATTGGAATAAAGGAACTGGAGCAGAGAGGAGAGGAAAAGAAAAAAACATTTACACCACAGAAACATGTCTCCATAGAACCACCATCACTTTCATCCTAACCGTTGCTTGGTGCCTTCATACACAATGTTCCTATCTCTGATCACTCCACATAAATGTCACCCTTCTTGACCACAGTATGATGGGAAAGATCTGTAATTGTCATCTCTCTGGTGACCAAATGGTTAAAAGATGGAAAATAGGTTTCACTGTGAGGTATTCTGGGCTGGAGGCCTCTGCTCTCCTCCCTGGTTTAGCTGTTTTTTAAGCAGTGTGGTTCTGGGTGACTGAACTGGTGCAAAGCTGGGGGTGTCTGACTCACTTGTTTTTCGAACTTTACATTTCTCCACACAGACTAGGAGTGGCGAGGAGTGTAAAAAACTGCAGTGAGGAGTCGATTAATACACATTATCACTACTTGTGTCTTGATTTTTTTTATTAACTTAATTACTTGAACATTACAAGCTTTGAACTTCAGTATGTATGACCTGAGGGCCTCATTGATCTGATCTTATATACTTGAAAGAAAGTTCTAAAAAAAAACATCATTTTTGGATCATTTTGAACACAAGAAATAATTGGTTGACCCAGTTTACCCAGTTTGTTACCCAGTACTTTGGGTAAGAGGAAATTTGCTTTAAAGCCATACAAATTCTTTTACAATACATGTAATGTTCCTGGTCAAAAGTAACCATGAATATATCAATTGTGTACTAAGGAAATAAACCCGGAACTGCACATTTTCACACTATTCAGATAAACATCTGGATTAGTCTGGATTGGAAAAAATGTGTTTACCCTCCAAGGTGGTCATGTTTACCCAAGTGGTTACAATGGAGTCAGTGAGAAATAGTTCAAAGCTGGATTGATGTCAGCGGTCTGGGACACAGCATATGTTGCAGGACCTGGTTCATCCTGATGATATTTTCATCTTAAAACGTTTCTTAATGAAGACACGGATGAGCTCTTAGTCTTTGAATTGAATGTAACAGCAGTCTCACTATGGCCATCCTCATCATCAATGGACATCTTTTTACAGTTATTTCTTGATTTGGATTATATTCCATGTCACCTTAGGTTCCTGACACTTCTTCCTTACATCATTGTGTGTGTTCAAAGCCTCTTTTTGGACAGCACTATTAAGTTTCTGAATCTTACGGAGCCCCTCTGATGACATGGTCAAAAAAATTAAGGACAATTTCAGAGTTAAGACTTTGAAATCAGTAATAAGGGTTAGGCTAATTTATTTATTTAAATTTTCTGTGTGAGAAGAAGTCATACGTGTGATCTGCTTGTTTTAACCTGTGCCTCTCTTTGTACTATGTAGGGGTCCAGTCCATCCTGGTAGAAAAGCTCATGGTAGTGCTGTAAGTCTGTCCAAAAGTAAACAGCATTCACCCACAGCTGAAATAGAAAAAAATGGAAAAATGACACACCCTGTTTGTTTTTAGTATTATGTGATGACAAAAAAATATTACCTGCCATTAATGTGAAACTAAAATAAAGTTTTCAAGGAATTGTGAATGGATATTGTTAATTCAAAGAATGAGTCATTAATCATTAATATTTGCCATTACATTACTAAGAAATTAGACACTTTGATGGAATATTCGTGAATTAAAGTAAAACCTAAATAGTTGCAGTGAGACAATAGGTGTCCATTTATCCTACCTTCCTATAAAAACATTTGAATACATTAAGAGTGTCTTGTTCCAGATTAAGTACCAGTGTTTGAGAAAAACTCGTGAAATCTAAAGCATTGTTTATTTAGAACAATAACTGTAATATAACAGAAGCATCTACAATTTCCCATTTTCAGGAAAGGGAAAAATTAAAAAAATACTTCTTTATCATTTTTTTGTCCAAAAGTAGCATTTCAGGAAAACCTAAAGAAGGATTTGATGTGAAATTTGGCAAAAGAATCCTGCATCATTTGAAAAAGCTTGGAAAATTAGGCTGAAATGGAAGTGGATGAGTCAGCATGATAGTGAATCTTCACAAAGTGGCAAATCCACCAAGTGATAGTTCAAAATGGACAGATGGAGGGATGGCATTATTTTATCCCAGATTGCAATAGCATACGAAGTCTTCCCCACATAGAGAATAAAAAACAGACTAAAAATACTTTTTAGCAAGACATATTTCAAATATAAAACTTCTAAAATAAGTTATCTCTGATAAAGAGGGTGGTACAAACTTCCAAGGCCAGCAAAGCAATTTTTACATGTTTTAATGTATAGTTTAGTTGGAAAAAATAACTGAAAACTCATTTTTCATTAACTGTTTTTCAAGTGCACCATGTTTGAAATTATTCGACAAGAATTATTTTTTTAAATCTACAAAAATACTGTATTGGAGTTCATATATTAAATTAAATTGCATTGCATAGCATTTTGTACCTGATTCCCAGATTGCTCACAGAAGTGTGTGAAGTATAAACCAGACCGAGACTCAGCAAAGAGAGCCTGTAACATCTGCTTTAGTCTTCTGCTGCAGAGTAACCTACTTCTGGTAGATGACAACTGGGGGAATGTAAGAATGAAAATAGAAAATGGTTTGCATTTTAATTGTAATTCCAATCAACAACTCAAAAATCCAACAAGAAATGACCTAGGAAATGTTTATGTTTCAATTTTCCTATCAAGTATGTTAATTCGTACATATTGAAGCATCTATTTGGAAAACGAATAACAAAAGGTTAATTTAGACATTTTGACCAGTGATAAATGTACAGCAGCTGTGGCAGCACCACTCAAGTTCCCTACCTGTGAGTTGGCAGAATAGGGGCACAGAGTCAAGCAAGTGTTGAGCTGGAGGCAAGGCAAAATGTTAGAGCCATGGCAGATCTGTGCTGACAGGGGGCACTTTTCGAAACACCAGAACATCCAGAACCGTGGTGCCCTGTGAGAATTAACAGCACATGTTAAGCACTTTATTCAGAATAATATCAATTGTGTATGAAAATTTGTATTGGATTATGAGCATACTGGTGTGATTTTATAACAGGATTTCACTCAAACGTAATTATTGTTTTTAACATAAAGATAAATACTGTGAATCGAACCAATAACAGAGCAGAGACTCTGTTAAGCTGGGCTGGACTGAGCGCAACTTCTCCCCTGTCCAGCAGGGGGAGGTAGTCAGCCCAAGACTGGAGAGCAGCTCCACATTCAGACTTCTCTGACTGCTACTTAACAGGTACCAGCTCCTCATTAAGAACAAATGCCTGGAACAAACACCATATCTGAGAATCTGACACAAAAATGATTTCTCAAACAAGCATCATTATGAAAACATGACTTCGAAAGAAGAGATGGACTTTTTTCAAATAAAAAAGCTATTGCAATATTAACCTGTCTTTCCGCTCCATCGGTTGAATAGTTTTGAGTCTCTCTATATCCAACCATAAATCAAAAAGCTTCTGTCCTGGAGTTCCCTGCAGAAAGTCCTTGAATTCATGCAAGTCAGGCCTTTCGCTGTGGCAACATGTGTCGTGCCAACACATTTCAAGGAAATCTTCCTGTTTTGTTACTGAACTCCCAACCATCCTATTCGTCTCATTCCCCTGTGTTTGTGTCTCCATTGAGCCATCTTGAACTTTCTTGTTGTCCAGTCTTTCTCTTTCTTTACCTTCTGAGAGATTTTTGCCTGTGGGGGCACAACTTGATTGGTGTCCAGACTTGCTAGCGCTCTCAGAAGTGTTTGTCAGGCTTTTACCATCTAACAGGTGCTCCAGGTGTTGTTCAGGACTAGCAAATATCTGGCAGTTCGATTCTCTAAGTTTTTCTTCTCTAATTCCTGCTGATAGACCTCTGAAACCGAGGTTCAGCTTTGTTTGTGAGCTGTGCCATTCCTGAGTCCAGTTACATTTCTTGAGTGGGGAAGAGAAACCTGATGGGAATTAAACATTTTTTGAGGCATTAATGTCTGAAACTTGTTTTTATTTTGTGATGTGCCTTCAAATCAGGGATTAGACATGTACAATTGAATTTAACAGATCTTGTGCCAGTGAACAATTAGTTCAGTCAAAAAAGGTTTCTTGTCATATATTGAAGTAAAGCTGAAGTTAACGACACCTACTAAATAAAAAATGTTTTACTTACCTGAATTTTCTGAAATATTCTCTGGAGAATGTGACGCTTTCAAAGTATCACTCTTAAATTGCCTAAACTGGGAGTGGCAATGCAGTTGCGGGGCTGAAAAAGTGAGTGGCCCCGAATTCTTTGGGTCCCACTGAAGCAACAGCTTGGCTAGTCTGGAAAAACACCAGAATTTTACAACCAAATGTTTTGCTGACAGAATGTTCTTAAGCTCACATATTACTGCTTTTAGGTGGAGACGAGAACTTATTTGTGTTGTATGTCATATACAGGAATTAAGAGTTAACAAGGCTTTAGCAGTAAAGAAGCTCCTACAGTTAATAACAAAAAACTCTCTTTGTTTTACAATTTAAGTATGATAGACTTGATAAATAAAAAATGCATTTAGAAAAAGAATGTGATAAATATGTTTTTCTGAAAAAATGGATTCAGCGGAGCAAGTATGTCTATTTGAAGTATGAGGCAAAAATGATCAAACTTACAAAAAATTGTCAATGTATTTTTTTTCCACAACCTATTTTAAAACACGCTTGATCTATTGATAATACCTGTATTCATAGTAGCAATCACTCTGAAGGAAAAAGGGTAACCTTTCTCTTATGATCCACTGAATTCCTTGCTCTTTGTCAAGGCACTATGAAGATATGGGAAATGTTATTTGAAACAAAATAGATTTCTACTCTACTTCCAAACAGCAAAACGTTGACCATTTTCAAGAACAACTCACACAAACAGTGTAATGGTTTTCTACTGGAGAAGTCCGGGTCATCTCTGCAGGGTCACCACTGAGAAGCTGTGATTTTCTGCAGTTCAGTTCTGTTCTGATTCTTCGAGTGACAGAATTGGCTTCCCCATTTATCACTTCAAACAATCCAGTCCCCTGATTGTACAGCAAAGCTTCCATGAAACACTTGGAATAGAAATAAAGGGCACTGGAGTTAAATTAGTTTTATCTACACATTTAATCTATATATAGTATTGTCAGTAGTAGTGCTTTTCTTACTGGCAGACTTAAGAAATCATTGAAGTAGTGAGCCAATACATCATCAGAGGCCAAAGAGCTTTCCTAAGATAAATGTGAAAAAAAGACTGAAGTATGAACAATATGGCAGATTAAATTATAAAAGTTCAGCAGTCAAATATGTACTCACAAAGTTGCTAGCCGTAAGTTCTGAGAATTCTTAAGAGAGCAAGATTTCAAAGTTATTAAAGTCAGGGTCAGTTCCAAACTTCTGAGACTTAAAAGTGTAATGTATTGCTCTTACCAGTTAAGATGACTTCAAACATGGTTTACCTGAAACTTACAAGAACCCGAACCGTATTTTTAGCCACAAAAGCCGAGCAAAGGAGTAACATTTGAATGCTTTCAGCTGTGTAATTACAGACACACAGGGTTGCTATGGAAGTGGGACCATTTTCAAAACACAGGGAGTGTAAATGTTTAACTAGAGGACTACGGAGATTCCATCATCATTGTTTTTCCTTTTCTGGTATCTATAAATTCTTCAAAGAATTTACATTATGTGTTGTTCAAGATAACTTAATTGCAATGGATTTATGAGTTTCTAAAAAATTTTTTTTTAAAACAGTGACATTGTTGTTGTTGCAGTTAACACATCATACCAGTAGATGGCACCAAAAACAAATTTATTTGTTTGTACTACAATCAAGACACATGCACAAGTTAATATAAAAAAGTAAAAGAAAAAAAAAAAACGAAATTTATCTTAAAATTGATCTGAACACAATAAAAGTTGAGAACTTCCAGAATTCCAAAAAAAAAAAAAAAAACACTTCTCAGTGAATGGCAAAATGCATAACCAGCTCAACTGTTACTGCTGATGAGACTTCATTCACATACATAATTAAAAACATACAATTAAGAACTGTGTGTTGACAGAGGGTGGAAAAGGGGATTAGGACTATACATTTACAGGGGAAAACACAGTTAACAGTACAGGCATTGCTTACACACCCCCAGCCTCATCTAAGACTTAATGAAAAAAGTGTAAAATGCTAAAATCAACTTTGGCATTGCAAAACAGTAACCACTCAGTTCCTGTCCTGGTCAGAGTCTTCTTACATTCCGCTTGCTTTGAGCGCTTCCTGGAAGTAGACTGTCCTTTTTGCGACGGCCACCAGACTGACTGCCACAATCTCTGGAGCCATGAAAAGCACACAGACACAACGTGCAAAACTGGAAGTTACAGTCAGCTCTGCTGCAAACGCCTTCCCGTTTCACAGAATGACACCTTGCTGGATGCTGACATTGAGGGCAAGGCTTGAGGCACTCATCACTGAAGAGGGTTTTGGCAATCTGAGAATGAAGTTAGTTATGTTAAGTTATTGTTACCCTTAACTCAATAAATGGCCTCCTATTTCAGAATTATTAAATATACAAATTACTATTGAAACTATAAACTCACCTCCAAAAATTTATCTCGTTTGCTACCGCTAGCTGAAGTGCCGTGCTGTACTGGGGTTAAAGTGCTGCTTGATGACTGTGGGGTGCAGTAGATGGAGGTCCTGGACTGGACCTGAACAGTTTTTAAGGCTGACCTTTTCAGCAGAGTGACTGCCTCAGAGATGTGGACAGAAGTGCCAAACTAAGACAAAAGCAAAAAGATCTGTCATTTCTGCTCTAAACATTAAATGCTTATGAGGTGCAGCAAGGCGGTTCATGTTTTGGAAAAAAAATATTTCAAAGGCAAGTGATATTCTTTTTTGCCAACACCATATCATGCATTAGCAGAGAGCTAAAGCTTTGCAGTGTATTTTCAGAACACACAGTATAAGAAAATTGACTAAAAATGTCATTGATCAGGTTTTGATGAAAACCAAAAATTACCTCAAGCGCAGCTTCCACTTCATCCAGGTGGTTTCTTCTCCTTAAACTAGCATGCTTGTCATGGCGGATTATTTCATTCCAGCTTTTGCACACCTGACCACACCTGTTACACAATGAGACAATATTTTCAACCATCAATCACTGGCTATGCAAAGGGTTCTTCAACTAGCCTGAAGTGCAATGATCACCACTTACATTAATTATTCAAACAAAAATGGCATCTATTATTCCTTATATGGATCGTTCACTGTCTAGACATGCTTTTTTCCTTTCTTATTCAACTCAACTTGTCAATGGAAAACATTTCAAATAAGCCCATCCTCTGATAGTATGGACGTTGATGTGTTAAAAGCATCAGAAACCTAAGAGGAAATAGGACTTCAGCATTGTTAAAACATTTATTTAATCACCTGTAGATGCTCTCAGGACTCAGGTTGTTAAAAATGGCTGCCAAGATGTGCCTGAGATTCCTCTTCTTCAGCTCTGTGAGTATGTCCACCTTCCCAAGACCCATCTTCCTGCCAATCAGCCCTGCCAAAGGCATAGTTGTCCTAAATGCCACTGGAGTCTTGGCCAGTGCTGCTGTAGATTTCAGTTCTTCTTTCAGGCTTGGACTTTGACCAGCAAACATCTGAACTCTGTGCTGGCACATAGCGTGAACCAGCTGCAAGGCTGGAGTAAGAGAAAGATTTAATGACATTTTTCTGAGAGGACTGATAGCTTGAGATGACGAATCGGCATTGTAGGGAGCCACGCTTTCCAGCTTTTTTGCAGTCACCCTGAGTGGTGTGTTATAGTTGTGTTTTGAAGATGCCAGACTATCAGAAGGCAGGTTATTAAAACATTTATCTGTTAAAACCCTGCAAGGGGTGGAATCACTATCAAAAACATCATCCTCTTTAATATGGCTATGGAAATTGAGAGGATGATGATGCTTTCTGTCTGTCAGGTCTTCGTCAGACTGAGAGCCACCTTCTTTCAGCGTGGAAAGCCTGTGCTGGCGCTGTAAATGGGAACGTCGCTTTGTGTCTGACGGGTTTGGGGTTCCACAGTTTCCTTTAGAACAAAACAGCAGCTCCTGGAATGAACCATCATGGTCAATCGAGGAGTCTTGAGATTTATCAAGTGTTAGGGAACTGAAGCCACTATCCTCGCACAGAGACCTGATTGAAGAGATGGTGTTTATGGTCATTTTTATGTAATTCTGTTTTGATCTCAACATTTCATAAAACATGCAGACAATTAAATGGCTGAAGAAGATGGTACATACCTGATGTATTTTGGTGTTTGAGTAAATGATGGTGTGGACAAGACACTTGAGCCATCACACTGGATATTCAAATCACCATTTACTGGTGATTCAGAGTTTTCTTTGACTGAAACAGGCAGGGGTTTGCCCGAGCATGGAGTATCCACTTGATGCTGATCAGAGGCTGAAGTGTTTTCATTCAAATCCATTTCTGTGAGTGACACGCTACTGGAAAATGAAAGGTGACTAGGGATGAGTTTGCCATCTTCAAGAGTAGAGGTCCTCATCTGCGTAAAAAGGAGTCGTCGTTTCCTCCCAGAAAGAGGTAGATCCTGGTCCAGTTTTAAAGTGCTTGATGCCCCCCCAGTCATGATGTCTAGAGAGTCGAAGGATTCACTGAGCCAGTGTTCAGACCTTACACCCATGGAGGACTCAGTCTTTATGGCAGACGGTGACCTTATGTTGTCATTTCTGACTGTGGTTGATTTACACATTAGAAGTCTGTGTCTCAATGATGCATCTCTCTTGTGTACCTTAGGAGTTTCACACCAGTTAACTGCAGAGGGCCGCAGGACTTCTCTGGAATCTTTGCCCAAAAGCCTGACTGATTCCTTGTTCCTCTCTTTGGCAATGACAGCAAACTTAATGTTCTCTTTAGGAGTTTCATTGAATTCCGCAGGAGACGGCACTTTACAGGAGTCAAATTCACTGATGTCCCTCGGGCTCTGGAACAGACCTGAGTATCCACTGTCAGAGCAGTCTAGAAAGTGCAGATCTTTGTAGTTCTCCAGGAAGACTTTTGATTCAGGAGTGCACTGCATTGTTTTCTTCCTATGTGTCCTCTGGTCAAGTGACCTGAACATAGAATAAATATTAAATACAGCTACTATAGATGAATATGACTACCCTAAACAGTATCAATGCTTCAGGTATGCTATGATTGAACTGGGACCAATTGCACGAGTCATATCAGGCTAAGACTGCTAAAAGCCTTTTGTGTATGAAAAGTTTAATGTCTGTGGGGTTAAATTGGATTCAATTTATGAAAAGAGCAGAATTATTGGACGAAATTAAAGATTTGAGCTGTACTGTCCTTATAAAAAAAAAACCATTGTTTGTAACGTCAGCTATCAAAATAAGCCGGTCCGGCATTCAGCGGTTTTATTAACGTTGCTATGAGAGCGCGTGCTAAGGATTTAAATCCCCTGTCACACGTTCTTTACGCTGCCGCTATTAAGAGAGAAGAAGCCGCCAAAACTAACAACCGACCCTGTTCAGCTGTGTACTAAGAATAATACAGCAAAGTGTCCTTTTTTAAATTCACACTGACAAGAATTCAACTGCCAAGAATAAATAGAGGAAGAAAAAAACCTGACAATCCGTCAGGTTCTATACACACATTGATAGACTAATTAGCAAGATCCGAAAACACTTGTGTTTAACCACAAGGTTAAATAAACCTTAATTGAAGTAGTTCAGCGCCACATAAACCCAATGCAGTTCAATTAATCGTACTAAACACACACAGCCAAATAAAATAATACTAACCCCACTAAAGTAAGAGGAGACTGATCTCTAAAGTGATAGTAAGGAACGCTCGTGTTAATTAAACTATGTTAGCGTCATTCCGCAGTCATTTGACAAATTGTGTTGTAGACTACAGTGAACCACAACAGCTCAACATAAAAATGACAGCCTTACTTACCGAGGCAAGATAATCTACCGCTACAAAGGCTATGAACTCAGTCGGTTGTCGGGTGTGTTGTTCCAGGCCCCAATTTACACGCCCCGACGGCGTTTCTGTTTGTTTCTATTCACCTGGGGGGGGAAACCTACGGCTCTCGTTTTCAAATTTGGAGCCTTTTGTGTCACGTGTTTCCGACCAGTTGAACAGTTCTTCCGTATGTGGTTACCATAGCAATAGAAAAGACCATACTTTTTAGACCGACATCTCGTCGAAAAGGAGCAGGTAAGGAAACTTAATCCGAATACTGACCTTGCGTTCCTGAAAACTATCTTAATATTTATTAGCTAAGAGCCACAACTGGTTAGAATAGCATATTGTTTCAACACAGGTCCCTGAAATAACTTTTCTTCACCTATTTGTGAAAAACGGACTAGCTTTATTAGCAAGGAAATGTATTTTTATTCTTATATCATGTCATCATCTTTTCCAGGCATGAATGCAGACGCAGTTTTCTCCCATCAAAGCCCGTCTTTCACAGTTGACTATAGTGGGAAGGTTCCTGTGGAGCATCTAGATTATGATTACATTGAAAAGTGCAGAGATGCAAAGTACCTGGAGAAGATTTTAAGATTACTGAGGTAAAAGCCACATTTAGCTTGCTGTGTAAAGAAGCAAAGGAAGGTTTTTTGTAGTTTTTAATGTTATTGTATTTTACTTTCAGTATTACAATATTTTTCATGGACTCATAATGATAAATGACACAACAACTATAAAACAGACAATGAATAACGCATCCATGAAGAACTTACTTAAAACGTGTTGGGCAGTGAAGAATTAAGACTGTTACTGTAAAATTACTGTCTCTGTGTGGCCCGGCCATGGACTGTCCAGGGTGTACCCCGCCTCTTGCCCATCAACCACTGGGATAGGCTCCAGTTATCCCCGAGACCCCATTAGGGAATAAGCGGTTACGATAATGGATGGATGAACAGGGATATATGACAAAATACAATTTTGTACAAAATATTTGTAATAATGAACTTTTTTTCAAAGAGATTTAATATAAGATACTTCCCTTTTGATATCAAACCGGGGAGATCCATTTATGAAAGGCCCAACGCCTGTTTAGATGTACTCTTGACATCACAGATCGTGTAAGGCTGTCATAAGGGGTTGAAAGATCACAGAAGATTAAAAGTTTTCTGCATAAATGGTGGAAGTTTTAAATGGATGCCTATGGTTAACTAGTTAATGGCTGGAAGTATTAGTACTCTGAGGTAGCATAAAGTAGACTCAAGCTGTTACCTGAGAATTTGTCACTCAGAAAATAATGTGTTTTTTTTTGTCTTAAGGTCTGGTGAGGAGGGCCTTTATCCTCATTTGATCACATTCTGTGAAAGCCACCTGGAGAAGCTGAACCCTAAAAGCCGAGCTCTCAGAAAGGAAAGCCCAATAACCACTGCAGCTAGCCTTTCTAAAGAAGAATGGAGCCAAATTGTTGATGAGATGACGGTATGGAACACTGTGTTTTGTTTCTTTTTGTTTGTGGTATTCAATATATTTTGATATTCATTACCTTGTACTTTACAGACATGGGAAAAAGAAACCAAAACAAACGAAACTTCAATTAAAGTGTCACTTTCTGATGACCTTATGAAAGATAGAATGCCCCCTATCAGAGGTCTCAATTGCTTTGTTCCTGAGGTAATGTCATTTTTCTCTCTCATCTCTCTTTCACCAGTACAATATGAGGATTTCTAGATGCGTTGCAATGTGTACATGTATTCACTCAAGTAAAACTCTCAAATAAAGTATTTTTCCATCACAGAGCTCAGCTACAAAAGAAAGAAAGAATACTTTGAAATCTGTTCTGCCTCGTGACTATCAAGAATGGGACAAGTAAGTCTTCCCCCCATTTTTGTCTCTTATTCAGATGAAATAATAGATTGTTACAGTAGCTGCAGCCATTGTAACAGAAAGGTTCCCATCTGTTTCACTCAGCCTTTGTCGTGACAGGGAGAAGAACATGTTTAGGATGATACCTTTGTTGTCTCTATTTTTAGATTTGATGTAGAAAAAGAATGTGACAAAATAGACGGGAACGTGCTTAAAAATGATCCACCAGCAATTTTAAACATGGGACATCTCAAAATCAAGACGCAAGTGGATACCTCATGTAATGTAACATGCACAGTCATGCAAAAGGATTTTATTGGAACTGTATAGCATGGAACATACTAACATAAATTGTTGGGCATGTGTTTTTAACATGTGTTATCCAGTGCTGTCGCAAAAGGAGAAGTTCCTTCTGGCACAACGTGAAAAAGATAAAGGAAATGAGGCTTTCAGAGCAAATGATTATGAGGAGGCTATAGCATACTATTCCAGGTCAGTTTCTCTAAACTCATTCATTATGGAACACTATCCTGTATTATGGTTTAGTTTTATTTTCTAAATGCACTATCTGTGGCTATGAGTTAATCTGCCAGCAAATAAGGGTTTGTTTTATTTTTAATCCCTTTACAGAAGCCTTTGCATTTCACCCTCTGTTGCTGCATTCAACAACAGAGCTCAGGCAGAGATTAAGCTCAAACACTGGCACAATGCCATGAGCGACTGTGAGCGGGTGCTCGAACTTGAACCAGGCAATAAGAAAGGTTATTTTTTTCTTCTTAAATTTCAGTCTTGTAATGCTTTAATACCTTTGAATGCAATAGTAACTGTTTATGTCACGAATGTTCAATGTATTTGTTATTTTCAGCCCTGCTACGACGTGCTACTGTTCATGATCATATGGGAAACGTCCAAATGGCCTCTAAAGATCTGAGGATGGTGCTAAGAGAAGAACCACATAACATTCCAGCTACTGTGAGTGGAACAAGTATTTGGCATGTTTATACCTGTCAGTTTATTACTTCTCCACAAGATGTCATTGTATCTGTGTTAGATTTGGGACCTTTAGCATAGAGTATAGCTGATTGAGGAGGCTGGGATCTCCTTTGCTTTAACATTATTGTTAATCTTCATATAAGGAGGGTGTTTTGTTTAGATTTTACTTTTAAAGTCATCATGTATGCTCCTTTTGTCATTTTTAAAAAATGACAAAGTGTAAATGTAGAACGTTTTCCTTAAAACTTATCTTTGGAAACTTGCATAACTGTGTCTCTATCTCATTATTTACATAGCCTTATAAGAGAATTATTTTTTTCTTAGCAATTTCTCTCTAAAATTGAGAAGCAGCTGTCAGAATGTCAATCAGAGCTACAACGCAAGGGCAAAAAAATCCTCATCCAGGAGGAAGAAGTTAACAGTTGTGATGAAGAACAAGGACAACAAACAGGTGAGACTAGTTGAATAATTCATAGTAAATACTTAGGCAATAAGACTTCTCTAAGTGAGTGAGTACTTCCAAAAGTTTCGTCTAGAATTTATTTAAGTATTTCCTGTTAACTTTTTTAACAAAAAGGTACAAATAACAAACTTTTATTCAGCAAGTATTAAAAATTATATATATAAATTCAACAAATAAAAGTATGTGTAGGTTTTTTTCTTAAAATTATTATTTTTTTCCCCCCAAAATCAAAACATCATCAATAGTTACAAACATTCACTTATTAAGGAGTCTGAGATATAACAGAAATAGCAATAAAATATACTCAATGATGATATATATATATAATCTTCTTTTAAGCCTAGGTCTTTTACGCATTCATTTACTTAATATGCAGACTGAAAATATATTAGTATAATTTGTAAACATTCTGCAAATAGAAGAGAGCATGTTAGGACCACTTCTTTTTATTATTAGTAGTAGCAATGGTATGCTGGGCCACAGACAGAGGAAGTTCCCCTTGTCCCTGTGGGCAATTTGACATGTGTGCATGTGAGTTATCAGCCCCACCCCCACACAGAGTTTTCGTAATTCCCTGCTCACAGCTTCCTGGAAGTACCACTTTGAAGTAGCTCTCTGCAGTGTGCATCAACCCTCCCCCTCAGTGATGTAACAGCTGACTCCTTCCTGTGGGTGTGCTTCTCCCCTCCCTCTCCCTTCCAGCTTGTCCGGTTCAGCCTAGCCAGCCTGTGGGAGGGGAGGAGAGCTCTGCCGCTCCTGCTGAAAGGGGAGACATGGGTAACGCTCAAAAAAAGCCCCACGGCAGAGGCGACGGGGGTCTACACAGCGAGTCCAACAACTCGCACCATGGACACTGGAGGAGCAGAGGGGGTAGCTCAGACAAGTACAAAGTCCCACAGGAGTCAAAGGAAAAGGTAGCCAACGGTTCAAGCAAAAGGGGGTTGACGACTTCAGTGAAGGGTGATCAAAGCGGCAGTGGAAAAGAAACTACAGTTGGGGGAAGCACAGGAGAACCTGTCAACCTTGATGCCCCATGTGGAGCCCTGCCTCTACCTCTGTGCCGGCTAAAAAATGAGGGAAACCTGCTGTTTAAAAATGGACAGTTTGGCGATGCACTGGAGAAATACACACAAGCCATTCAGGGCTATACAGATTCAGGTAAGTTTGAGGAGACCTTATTGTTGTTATCCTTTTCTGTCCTTTCCCAGGTCCCTGGTAGTTGAATTGTGTAATGATTTGGCTGATTTATTGCGGTTTCAAAGAAACTTTGAGCATTTATGCCAGTGAAGGCCCAATGTCAATACTAACATAGCCATGTTATAAACAGGCTTTGAGAAGAATTTCATGGCTCATACTACCAGTTCATTCAAAACCTTATTAGTCTGAAAATGTATTCATGGTGTTTTCATTATCAATGCTGATTCATTGGGTTCTGTAGTTGTAAATGAAAGGTCAAATGCTCGTATTCACTTTGGCTTACTTTTTATTTTTTGTAGTTTTCCCACACAGGTGGTAGATCTGATACAAACCCAAAATTTAAATAATTATCTCTTTTTATCAACATTTTATCAAACAACATAAGTGTTACATTTAGGTCATACACTGACTTATAGTCTGTTAAAGCCTAATAGCTATTCAAAGATTAGCCATTTGTCGGTGCATTTGATGACTCTCCCCCGGAGCACTGCGTCACAGTGAGGGCTGTTGTGGAGAGTAAGGACAGCGTTTCTGTTTTAGCCTGGCTCTAAGCCTCTCAGCTCAGGTCTGTCCAAGTCATGTGACCACTAACCACTCACTCACTGTGAAATTGAATCTGTAGGACTGCAGCCGTAATTCCCATCGAAAGTGAGAGAGTAAGTAGTTGATGATAGCAAAGGATCTGCTACTTGTCATCTACCATCAAACATATGGCCTCTGCCTCTGTGGGCTGGGTGAAAGTACTCACTGCTGACTGAGCTACAGGATGTGAAAGAGGCTGAACATTGACGTCATCCCTTTGACTGACACAGATTTGCACATAATACATTTAGAATTGAGCTCATAACATAAGCTATTATAACATATGTATGCAAATGCAAAGGATCTATCAAAAATACATATTTCCATGGAATTAAAACATGTTTAAAACACGCCCTACATGATCCACTGTCACAGTAACCTCATTATGAGTGTGCATTTGCTGATGCATCATCTTCGGTTCCATGCTGTCGATCCATGATCTGATTTTTTTGGGAAGTGAAATCGAATGTTTATTGTGTCTCTGTGATTTAAATAATCATTTTAGGAAACTATATAGTAAAATTAATTAGATGTGTGTAACTTCAGTTTGAATAAGATGTTAAAGGTTAGATTTAATTTAAATGTCCCAGGTGTGTTTTAGTTGATAGAGCCTTGGTCAGTTGTTTGTTTGGCAGCCATTTAGAACTGCAACGGAGCTAATGGTTACTGCTCATCAGTGTATATATATAAATCATAAATTGTACCCATGTGAAACAGTACATCAGCTAAAATGGCATAACTGAGTTTTGAAAGTAACTTTTTTCAGTGTTGAAGAAAACATTACTCTCTCCATTTGATAAGGACAAAACCAAGCATTTCAGCACCTGCATATGAAATACAAACATTATTATGTCTGTATGTGGAATGTATTTTTACTGTTTTTCTGTATTAGGTCACAGCACATTTAACTGTCTGAGTCTTTCCGTCGTGTATTTTAAAGCCACACTTATTCTAGCTGTTCCTAAATATTGCTTCATTAATATCAATGCTACTGTTAAAAATATATTCATCCTTATTATATTTGGAAAGCTATGTTCTTGCTTATGTTTCTGTTTTGACATTTGTCTTATTTCATACAGGGATTGATAGTCCAGAGGATCTATGTATTCTGTATTCTAACAGAGCAGCGTGTAAACTGAAAGATGGAAATAGTCAAGAATGCATACAAGACTGTACAAGGTGAGAGTATATTTTATTTTTCTTAATTCCGGTTTGCCAATCTAACACAGCTTCCATCTTTTTACACATAATATATGTGACAGCAATAATCTTGCTGGGAGTGGTTTAATAAACAGCAGGTTCAGCAGAATTTGAGGGAACCAGCAATGGAAAAGACTTTGGAATATTTTCTTAGTTATCTGAAAAGATAAGATTGTACTCTACATCTCGCAAGATTATCCTTTGATACCAAAATATAATGTGTGTGCTAACAAACCAAAATAAACATGAGCACCAAATGGCTCTCACTTAGACCACACAGGCACTACCATTCATTGTAGTGGCAAGAGACTTGATCCTGTGCTCTTGTCTCATATCTATTTATACTAACCAGAGCCTTGGAGCTGCAGCCATTCTCCCTCAAGCCTCTCCTTCGCCGAGCCATGGCTTATGAGTCCCTGGAGCGCTACCAAAAGGCCTATGTGGATTACAAAACCGTCCTACAGATAGACATGAGTGTACAGGCTGCACACGACAGCGTGAACAGGTATAAGCTTCCACATTTCAGCACTTACAGTAATGAAACATTAAACTACTTAAAGTTAAAAATGGTTGACTGTAAATACAAAGACAAAATTGGCCTACAATATTTATAATACACCATCAATATATGCTATAGATAGGAAATAGAAAGGCAAATGAAGTAGAAATATTTTATAGACCCACCTGTCTGTTAGTCTGTTTTTTCCACCTTCTGTTTTTTCTGTAATGTCTGTAAGGGTCAGTGAAAACACAGACACACACGGGCTATTTGAGTAGATAGTAAAAATAGCTGGTGGCAAAATATCCAGCAGGTGGCTGATTACAGCTCTAACACTGCATGTTCTGTCTCTGTTATGTAAAAGAGAATTACCTGGCTGCATTGTGTTCAGGGCTATAAAGCCCTTACCGCCAGATTTATACCATATTTATGTATATACATCTTTCCTGTAGGTACTGACATGAATGGTACTCACAATTTCAATCATTTTATCATCATAGCATGCCAAAATTAAAATCACATATCATTGGTTTTGTCAGTTGTGTTTATGTTGAGAACAACCTCGCCTCAGGTGCCAATGTGCAACTCTACCTGCCCATTGTTGGTCAACAAACAGAAAAAATGTCATTAAATGTCATTGCTTATAATGAAAATAATCTATTTAATAATATTTTATGTAATCAGATGTAGAAGTGAGTCTGCCCTTTTTTCCAGACACCACTCCACCACTTTGTCTTTATCTATGCATAAGTATAGATGGAATGTCTATCAGGGAAAATTTGAGGTATTTCATTGCAGGAAAACCTAGTGATCTAATTATGGCTGATGTTTTGAACTCCATCCTGTAGACATTGTTTGGAATAAGGATAGCCAAAGATTTCAAACCAGGTGAATGTCTTCATATTGTCTGAGGAGAGATTACAGGGGGAAAAAAAGAGAAAAAGTTTCTTTATTTTTCTGACCAAGTTTTATAAGAATAGTGATGTCATTGTAAAGGGAATAATATTTTGGAAACTTGTACACCTTTCCCCATGCTTTATTGTTTTGTGTCCTGAAGGATCACTCGGTTGCTTATTGACCAGGATGGTCCCGAGTGGAGGGAAAAACTTCCCGAGATTCCCCTGGTGCCTCTTTCAGCTCAGCAGCACCGCAGAGAGGAACCACCCAGCGAAAAGGTCCTTCAGGCTCGAGCAGAGAAGGCTGCCAGGGATGCAGGTCAGTTTTCTCCACCCATAAATCACTCTTGTTTGGGTTCAGAATATTGTAGTCCTGGCTTTTCCTGTAGTGCCTACTTGGCATGACACAGCACAATTCAACACAGTATTTTTGAATTTCCACCAGGGGTTCGTCCCATGAACAGTTTTGCTCCTACTGGATTTCTTCAGGGCTGAGTAAGGCCAACGGCAATCTTCCGGAAACTGCTTGTTTTGGGAGTTACATGTTTGGAGGGCGATTCTGTCACTCTTACCTTACCTGTTTTAAGAACTAGGAAAAAAAAAACTTCCAATTTGACTATATCTGTGCTCATAAACATAAACGTTGAATAGATTGACACGGGTTTGGCTAAATATAGTTGCAGTGATGTCCTTTTGTGGTATGATTTGTAATGGAAAACCACTAAAGCCATGTAGAGCTGTTCCGGGCCAAACCATATACAGCTTAGTATGTACTAATGGAAAAGCGGCGAATGGAAGAGAATGGAAATGGTTCCTCGAATCGATATTAATCAATTACCTCTTTATCTTCTAGAGAGAAGAGCCGAAGTCTCTTTTTCAGCTTCGAAGCAAGAGGGGAATAATTTTGTGAAGAAGGGCCAATACCAAGATGCTCTCGGGATGTACACAGAATGCCTTAAATTAAAGCCAGAGGAGTGTGCAATCTACACAAACAGGTTAGAAGGTTCACTCCCACCTCACCATAAACAAACAATGGCGTTCCTTCAGTCTCTCTCACCTTCATTTCCTTAGTCTTTCTGTACTCGCTATTTATTTTTGTAGATTTCCTTAGGAAACACACTGAAAATCCAATCGTCAGAAATCGGTTGTTACTGTCACTTGTGCAGTGCAGCACTCAGTTTCTAATCTAATCCCAAACAGTTAATAGTCTGTCACAACATCTGACCACTTTACGTGGATGTATTGATGATAAAAGCAGCATAGTAGGCAAACTACTGGAAAGGTTACCTGTAAAATGTTTTGTGTTTCAGTTATAGCTATCATCATGTTATCTTACCCTGCATCTCTTACAACAGAAAACGTGTTATAGTTCATCCTCTTTTAACTGCTTACACCCTGCCCTCTGCTGCATTTTTCTGTAGCGGGTAGGTTGTTGTTGTTGCATCAAAGGAAAATCTCCCAGTCGGCCTTCATGTTTGCACATGTATGAGGAGCTTGGCTGTGGAAACAACTTGTCTATACAGCCACACCAGGGCAAACACCAACATGCTGCTCACACCTACCTGGTGGAAAATATTAAGCAAGCAGACATACAGAAAACATTTTTTTTTACCTTTAGCCATTGTCTCATCTGCTCATGCTAAATATTTCATGGTGTCAGCTGGTATTATTAAATACATACTTTAGTAAGTGATACCTTTGGTCAGACATCAATTATGATTTTCTGCGGGTAACAAAATAAGATCACAAGGGATATATGTTGTTTGTGTTATTCCAGAGCACTGTGCTACTTAAAGGTGGAGAGATTTAGTGATGCAAAGCGGGACTGTGATGCAGCACTGAAACTGGAACCGACCAATAAGAAGGCCTTTTACAGACGAGCCATGGCCAATAAAGGTCTCAAGGTAAACAGCCCATGATAAAAAATGTTGACAGATTTTTTTTTTACATAAAAGGTTTATATATTTGAATGTAATTTTGTTTATTTTTTGTTTATTTTTTGTCTATTTTATTTTAATTTAGTTTATCACACTATTTTCCTTCTGTTTTTAGATTATTTTAATTTCTCTCTGTTTTCAGTGTTTTTATGGTCCTGTTATGAGACATTGTTATTTTCCTGTGCTTTACCTGACGACCAAAACTCTGGTCTCCCAGGTGTTGTTTTTAAAGTACCATATGAATAAATATGGTACAGTATGGTGTGGAATGGTATGGTACTGCGATGGCCTGGCAACCTGTCCAGGGTGTACCCCACCTCTCACCCATAGTCAGCTGGAATAGGGCCGAACAATCCCCCCACCACCACCATCACCTCAACCCTGTTGGGAACAAGTCAACAAATGAGGGTTTTTGCCTCTTACTCCATCAGGACTACCTAGCGTGCAGCGCCGACCTGCAGGAGGTGCTGCAGCTGGACCCGAATGTGCAGGAGGCAGAGAAGGAGCTGGAGGAGGTGACAGTGCTGCTCAGACAGAGCCTGGGCAATGCTGTACAGGACAAACCCAGAAAGATTGTACCTATCACAGAGGTAGATACACATTTATGATATGAGCGCCTCCTGTTCAGTGCTTAGAAAGAAAGGCTACAGGCATGTGTATTAGTGTCAGAGAGAACTCCATCTCTATTAAGTCTGTAAAGGTAATTATTTTGTGAGATCCATTGTTTGATTTGTGCGCATTTAGCATGTCAACATGCTTCCTCAGGTAGACGACGATGAGGACCTGGCAGCTGTTTCTAACTCAGCTGGCAGCAGTAGAGAGCATAAAATCACCATCAACCACAAGCCCACCAGCGCCTATGATTTTGGGCAGTCTCTGAACGCTGCCCGCTGCAGCGGAAACACGGCGGCCTGCGCTGAACTGCTGGCCTCCACAGCACCCGAGATCCTTCCCCAGTATCTTAGCACCCAGCTGGATGGACACACTATCAGTTTCATCATGCAAGCGCTTGATTCAGATCTACTGGAGAAAGATCCAAACTTGGTGTATCAGCACCTCAGCCATCTGCACACTGCTGAGCGGTTCTCGGTGAGACTTAATTTACATTCAGATGTGGATTTACAATCTGTAATCACCTAGAAACAGTTCAAATTTATTTATAATATGTGGTCAAGTATTAATAACGTGCTCTTTACAGGTTGTACTCAGGCTACTGGAGAAAGATGAACGACGATACATGACTCAGCTGTTTGAGCACCTTTCAGCTGTGGAGAGCACAAGGTTCACTAAGAATGATGTTCAGAATCTGGCCAACAAATACATCTGATCCTCCTGCCTCTGGCCCCTGCTACATAAGCTCCTGCACCACCCAAAATCGGATCTATGCAAAGCACTGCGCAAGAATGTGCGCACAGCAATACTATGGAACTGATGAGGATCGCTTTACCCATCCAAGATTTAAATGATCCCTGAATGTTTCTGTGATGGTGTAAGAAATCTATTTTTCACTCCATAACATTTTGCTATGCAGATTTACTTTTGTACCGGAACGAACCTCTTTAATTGTTCAAACAAAGAATGAGTTTAAGGAGGTGAAAAGGCCTCTCACTTTAGTATACAAAGAGTTAAGGCCCAATGTGCAGTGTTATGTAAGGCCACAGCCAAAAGTGTCCTCCTGTGGGGCAGTTGGGTTTCCTCAGGATAAGCCTGTGCTCCCTGAACTATGGATGTGCTTTTTAACAGACATTTAATTAGAAAAAATATATTGTCTGTCACATGCCTGCTGAGTTTAAAGACACACTAATGCTCCTATCACATCAGATCATTTCTAACCAACTTATAAGATGCACTTCTGGACCAACATATAAGATAATATAAGAGTTTCATTGTGACCAGAGTAGAGCCTTTGACAAATAATGTCAGCCTGATGAGTCATTGCAGTTATGTGCAAATATGAGACTCTTGTTTTTTCTTGTTTATTCAAGTATACAGAAAACAGATGTAAGATTAAACATAAAATGTCACATTAAAGAAGGATGTGTTTAACTACCCTACCCGTCAGCGCACATCAACAGTCATCTCCTGACTTGTGAACACACTATATGAGATGTGTACCTTGGTTTCACTAAAGGGTTACACACACACAGAGTTGTTATCTGTGTAATTTAGCTTCCATCAAATTATCAAATGACATTTGCACCGTAAATTCTACATATTTCACATTCATATGCTATTTTTCTATGTTAAAAGCATATTATACATTTGAAATCTGTTCCAAAATGTTTCTCAGTTTTTCATGAATGTATTACAACAGGGAGACTAACTGAGGACAAGAGGCAATAAATCTGCATCTTATACATCTTATTTCCACTGTGGTTTTAACTATATGTTTAAGTAGAATTGTAAACAAATGTGTACAGTATTCTGATTATTATTCAATAAAATTAAGAAAACCCAGCAATTTGTCCTATGTTGAATTTAAAATACTTGCGACTAAATTGAAGCTGCTGTCTAAACTGAGAAGACATTTTCATGGTTTCTACCACTACAATGAGGAACCTTGGAGTTAGTTTTGACTTGAATCTGTCCCTTGATTCCCATTTAAAATAGGTGTGGAACTAGGTTTAGAACTGCATTCTTCACCTTTGCAATATTGAAAAAAAACTAGTACGTGCATTTACTTCGAGATTGCACAACTGTAATTCTTTATTATTAACATTCGTCTCATATCTTAAAAACATAATTATTTGATATTTTTCCAACAGAGCACTTCATTTTGCAGGTTAACTTGTGGTAACAGTTTCTAAAGTAGATGGGAGGCAGAGCCTTAAGATATCAGGCCCCTCTCTTATGGGCCAACTGCCAGTACATGCGTGGGAAGAAACCCTCTCTGTCTTTAAGATTTACCTTAAAACCTTCCCTTTTTTGACAAACCTTACTTAATGATGGCTCAGGTGACCCTGAAACTTTCCATCATTAAACTGCCATAGGCCTTAATTGTTGGGGGACCCCCATGATGAACTTCTCCACACTTTTTTCCACCAGGTACATGTAATATTGAAGTTATTAACTTGTGTATCGACTTGTCTTTCTCAGCAGGCATCTCTGAGTTCTCTAAAACTCCAGCTGATTGAGACAGAGGGCTGCCCTTCCTTAGTCTGACTCTGCAAGGTTTATTCTTGTTAAGTTTTTTTTTCTTCCCTTTTCACAGATGACTCTTGCACACCAACAATGGAGGACTGGATTGGTTAATTGGAATGTATCATGACAGTGTATATAAATAAAAACCTAATTGAATTAAAGGTGGTCTAGCAATGATAACATACCAAATGCAAGATGCAAGTTTGTTTTTTTAAAGCAAACACACAAAGTTATTTTCTCATTTTTATTTTTTGATATGCATTTACACGCATATAGTAAAGCAAAAATACCTAACAAATGTACAAATATGTTCTGCTACTCTGCACAAATGACAAATGAAATGTGGCACTAGTGTTTCAATCAGTTTTTGTTGATGACTGACGAGCTGAACTAAGGAAGATGAAAATGTTTTTGCTTTAATGCAGGGAGAATTGCAGCATGAGGCCTTATCCACAGAATCAAACTAAGTGTTCATTCAGTAACCAACCACCGATGATCAAAAAACAAAAACATTGCCGGTAGAGGTTCACGTGAGCCGGCTCAGTGGCCTCAAAGACCACAGAGCAGTAAATGCAGGCTTTAAACACTCTGAAATTAAGAGAAAAAAATAATAATAGTTTCAAGTCTGCTCAGCAGCACCGTTTGGCAAGACAAACGGGACTCACAGGATGCATCAAATGGAAAGGGGGAAACTCCAACAACTCCTTTTAACCAGTGTGCACTGCGGACAGCAATGCCATGTGAAATACAGGTAACAGTGCGGGTGCTTTGGGCTGTTGCGCAGCCTTAGTTATTTGCGATGCATTTGCGAAGCATGTGCAAAAACAGCAGCCAGTCTCCCAGGTCTCGTCTGCAGCCATTCCCATGTTGTAAAAAGGACGTGCAACTCTGTGTCTTACAGCTGATAAGGGAGAGGAATAAGATTTAACAAGAGCCTGAGTGCCGTCTTTGGAAGGCAATTGAAAAGTCTTCATTTACCACGTTATGCATGTGAAGAAAAATCCTTCCGACAAATACCCATTCTGCAATCTACGAGCTATCCTTGTTTGGAATCTAGAAGACACAGTGGAAAGTGACAAACAAAACACAAACAGTTTTTTGAAGGCACCACGAGTTAAAGATATCAAAGCTCTCTTCATTCAGTGAAACGAAACTATCATCCTGAATTAATCACCTATGAACAGAACAAAAAAACTTTTTTGAACGAATTTCACAGAATTGATCAACCCACTGCTTCATGTTATCGTAACGACTTTCAGCATGATCTCAACTATGGCCTTCCAGAGACCTTTTACACAGAGTTTTGATTTGAGAAAATCACATATCAATAGAACCTTTTTCACAGAACAAAACTACCCCATTAGCCCTAAGACACGTGAGAATTTTGAACTAGAAATTCAGTGGTTACCAAGCTGACAAGCACCATCTCCCAAAATGGGACAACAACAATGTGTGTATGCATTCAAATAAGATTGTAGTTTTGTTACTGGTCAATTTTAGTGCTAAAAAATTCAGGATATTTAATCTAGGGAGTCATACTTTTACATTAGCGTTCATTTCAAACAATGTGAAAAATAAATACATAGTGGAACGCAAACGTTTCTCCTGCTTACTGTTACAACTTTGGGAAAATTTTGAAGGAGGAAATGGTGTGATGTTCCCCGGTCTTGTTCAAGTTTCCTTCTAGAAAGCTGAAATGTTCAAGGTTCCAGTGTGGAATCGCATCCACATAGTAAAGCATAAATCAAACACTAGCAAAAACTGGCACCGTGGTTTTATTTTCACCCAACACGATTAATACGCAGCAACTGAATCAATGGGCTGCGTTCTGGTAAAAGTAGGCAATGAGTGTGTGTCTGTGACACATTTCTAACGTTTTACCGCTTCCAAAAGAGAGCAAACATAGATCCATTCTACCGTGATAATTCATTTTATCAAAGACAAAAATACCAAAATGATATGTCTCCTTTTCTGCAGCGTAACAGAAGATCTTAATTAAACTGTAAGCTGTGGTTGTTAAAAAAGAAAAGGATGTTAGATTTTATGTTGTGCAGCACTTAAGGTATTGACATTTTAAATATCTGTTTGTATACAGGAGTTCTTAGACTGCTGCTGGGTTTGGACTGTGTGTTGTAGTTGATGATGGTTGTTGTTGGGTTCTTTTAGAAGCTCTCCGGTGTTGTTGCAGGAGTCCAGCTCAGTATGGCACACCGGGTTGACATTCTCCTCTGTGATGAAGCTGAGGGGGGAGAGCTCCAAGACATTACCCAGGGAGGAGCTAGTGGAGGGGGGAGAGTGGGGAGTGGTCACAGCTGCTTGTCCCTGAGACGAGGACAAAGAAGTGGGACATGTCTCCAGGCGGTCGTTCTCCACCTCTGGTAAGGGGCTGACGGTCGTAAAGCGCATGTGGTAATCACCTCCGCTGGAGCCATGGCTACAGGATGTCTTCATGCTTTCCAAGTCTGAGCAGCTGAACTCTGAGAAATGGCTGGAGTGGGAGTCTGCCACGGATGGCAAGCTGCCGCTCAGTGAGGGAGAGTCAAACTCTGAGGAGTTGGTGCTGCGCTGCTCCAGAAGCTGAGCATCCACGTCCTCTCCAGTTTCGTTGATCTTTGTACTTCCGCCTCCTCCTTTCTTGCGCAGCTTGCCTTTACTTTTCTTGCCCCCCGAGCTGGAGGAGGAGGAGCAGGAGGCCTCTTTGGCCCATTTAGTGGAGGTTCCTTTGCCCTCTGAGGAGCCGCAGCCATTGGATGGACATATCCAGCCACAGCGGCTGGCATGGTTGGCGTCATCTACGCTGCTGCTGTCGCTGGGATGTCGCTGCTTGGCAGGTTTGGATTCAATGTCAGCCTGGACCTCCATGCTGTTTCCATCTCTGGAGCACAGAAGTAGAAACAAAAATAAATAAATCTATGTACAAACATGTTGATGAATTGCATTACTGAGGCCCCAACAAGCAGTTTTTCAATCATTAAAAATACAAATCTCCTTCCATTACATTGCGGAACAGAAATGTTTTAACCTGTCAAGAGGCATGTAGGCATTGAGAATGGATCCAGCCATTGCTTTGGTGCTGGCATTGTCACTGATTGTACCCAAGCTGACAGTGCCAGACTCCCCACTGAGGCTGCAGCGCTCCTTCTGCACATCAGCCTGTACCTCCAGCCTAAAAAAACGAGAGATGGAGCATTTGGAGGTGGAAGAGTGCCTCAAGAGTCAAAAATCCTAACATTTCCGTTTTAGTACCTGTTCAGGTAATTGACCATGGCACTCCCTGACAGGCTGCCCGTGATGCTGGCTCCTGCGAGGGCCATGGTGGAGGCTGTCTCACTTAGGTTGTCCCTTGTGACCCCCAGACGGTCCACATGGCTGCCACTGGCACTTAAACTGCCCGTCATACCTCCAACACTGCCCTCGCCTATACTAGGGTTATTCCTGGGATCAGTCACTGAAGTAGTATCTATACAACAAGAGATAAGAAGATACGGATCTAACACAAACTAAAAGAAAGAAAAAACTGAAGAGGATGAGGGGAAATGCGGGACTAAATGAAACTTTACAACAAAAAAAAATTTCTTGATTAAACAATTCAGGTTATTACTTCAGATATGACAAAAAATGTGTGTAGAAGAAGACAAAAAGAGTATCTGTAAACAGATAAGATATGACTTTATGACCATTTATAACTTGGTTCTAAGTAAGGGAATGGTCATTTTTCAGCATAAATTCAGGGTTTTCCAGGTTGGAATAATCACTCACCAGTGGCCGCTGCCCCACTGCCAACATTCATATCATTCTCATCAAACTCTATGCGTACTCCTTTTCCATTCCCAGCTGACACACCACAGCCTCCACTCCGGCAAAGTGAGATGGGCACCACACCATACACGTACGCAAGCATGATGGGAACTCCTATGCCTGAAGTGTTCAACAGACAGAGAGATACAGATAATGTCAGTCTGGAAACTAAAAAGCAGTGGAGGCCACTGCTGCTTATGCAATTGAGTCAAAACCCACTAAACGCTTTTAAGCTTTGACATCTTTTCATAAATGCTCCTGAGAAATTCTGACTTTCAAAACAAACTTTTGCAGAGCATCATCTTGGAAAGTAATCAAGGTTAATTAAACAAGGACTTTAGGCAGAATCCTTGTTTGACTTTGCCGAAAGTCGAACAAACAACCAGTATGTCAATAAAGAGGAAGAGAGAGAAAGAGGAGGGAACGGTGGGAGAAAAAAACTGACCGACAGTGACTGCAGCCACCACTGGGGACACAATGACAGAGAAAGACACACCACTAGCGATCACAAGGTTCCTCTTATGGTCGGAAATATCTTTGCCTTCATAACGGTTATGGATCTGATGGAGAAAACACACAATTAGAAACTGTGATGTCTAACGTAAGATACGATAAGTAATATAATCAGATTAAAAACAGAATGTATACGTTTCTTGACAGAAAGTCTGTCAAATTTAATGTCATTATTTGATTTTGGATTATTGGAGTGAGAACCCATGAGAACTCTGAAAGACAAAACAAAACAAGGCAATTTTTCTATAAATACATTTACATAAAACTGAATTTTGTTTATTTGAACCCTTGTTTCTTATCAAAAAGGGGTAAATAGACCAGATTTAACTGTTGTAGGTCTCCTCCTTAACTAAAGGAATAAAAGAGATACCATCATATGACCACACACTTCTCTCTATACGACCTACTTTCCAAATTAGTAAATATATAACAGATAAGTGAAACAAGACCATCAATGACAAAAAGCTTGTCTTTCCATGGTTTTAATGAGCCAGCAGAAAGTGCATGAACATTAGGACAGGCCAAGATTTTCTGCGTGTTTGGAATGAATGCTAGGACCGGCATCATGTGATCATTGCTGTATTTAGTTTGCTTTTTTTCATGGGGAAAATGTTTTTGGTTTTGGCCTCTTCTTGGCAGGCTTAAGCAGGGAATATGCTAATACTCCCCCACTGTTGCAATATTTTGATTCCGTACAACTCTGCACTTTTAAGGCTGTGCGGTCACAGAATTACCAGAACAGTCCAAGATATAGTTTTAAAGTCTAGAAATGTCACCAACTGTGGTGGTTATAGTGCATTTGAAGCCTCACCTTCCTACCCACATATACAGGGATGCCGATAATCATGGCAGGGATAGCAATGCCGGCGATGAGTGCAATGCCAACGGGGGCACCAACAAGTGTTCCCAGTTGCCAAAGAATCTTCTTCTTTCTGCTCCATGGCTTCTTCCCCCAGAAAGTACAGCCTGATGGACTGAAACAGACATAAGGGAAAAGGTAGGGAGATATGATGATGTGTAGCCTTTTGGACAAGCAAACATGAACAGAGACATTATGTGCTTTAAGATAACAAATAAATAAATGTTTCAACTGTATATGATGGAATAAATGTTTATGTGAGATATTTACCTCAAGTAGTGCAAGTCTGAGATCTCCTTCATGCAGAGCCAGCAGAACTCGCAGCCACAGACAGCACAAGTCATGTGGTTACAGCTCCCATCATTCATTTTGATAATATAAGCAGCACAGCGTGGACATGGTTTGATGTCGTCGGCTGAGAGAAACAGAATACCATGTTCAATGGTAAGGATCAGAGTTTACATGCTAACATTTCATGTCGAACAACTGTTTGGCTCTAAACGTAAAGCACATTGGCCTGTAAAAGTTATTGTGAGAAATGAGCTCCCATTTGTTTTTAAACGTGCAACCACCAGACACAAACTCGGTTGAAGCACTGAAGGCAGTGACAGATCGAAAAGCCACAGATGATTTTGTTACATAACATGAAGCCTACAATCATGACATAATATAATCGATAAGTTAACTCTAAATTAGACTAATTCAAAAAATTATAATAAAAAATTCAAAAAACACTGGCAAAAAACACGAGATCTGTTCATTCTGGTACAACACTAAGTGGCTTTTCTGTATTGTCTTGTGTCGGCTTGGCATATTGGGAACTTTGGTGGGGGCAACATAAAATACGAGTTTTCTCGTGCTAACACCTTTTTTACATGAAGGTATACCTGCTTTAAGAAACGTGTTGAATGAAAACAGAAATACGTCATATAACCCTTTCATCCTATTGAAAACTGTAATCTTTCCAAACACCTTACCAGCAGCACCACTTTCTTGACTGTAGCTGAGGGAGGATGAGCGCACGGTCCTCAGGCGGAGGCTCTGGGCCCTCTGTTGACGTGCTGCATCACAAGTCTGGTTGGGATGCCAGAGCTGCTTACAGTGGTAACAGAACTCTGTTCCACAACCCTCCCTGCCGCACGTGATCTTTGGACAGCTGGCACACCCAAAGGCTATAACTGCATAACTGGCAGAGAACAAACAAAATAGTTACTGGACACAATAATATACACATTTCTGTCTGTGAACAATAAAAGTATGCTGGATTTTTCTTTCTTTTTTTTTTTTTAAAACATGACTTCAGCATGGCCTATATGATATCATTTGAATAAAACAACAACTTCTAAATAAACCAAGTAACAATTACACTGAGATTCTAAAAATGCTGTATGGAAAATGTAGAACGCTGATACTTCTATTGATGAGAAGGAGATTTTTATGTTAAAATGCATAACATAGAAATGATAGAAAATGAAATTCCGCAAAAAAGTTGTGAGAACGATGACCTGCTGAATGAATGCACTAGAAAATGCTCAACAAAGTAGGAAAATATGAGAGTCTTTAAACAGAAGAACACATTAAAAAGGACTATGACTACAAAGGCGAACAGGCAGCTCCTAATTTCTCATCTCTTTAATAAGAGTGAGACTTTGGACACAGAAAGGTGTGTTTTTCCATGCGATTGAACCGTATTGTTGGTGATTTGCATCTCATTACTGTGAACTGAGTAGACTTGGTAACAATGTGCGCACTTGGTGCCATTAATTCCCACAATTAATGGAGTAATACACACAGCTTCCACTTCCTACATGTGGAATCAAAGCATTCTGGGAAATAGAGTATTGCAGTTCAGGCTCTGCCTCGAAGTAGAAGCAGAGCCCCTCTCTTCTAATTTGACCACTTTCAATTATGAGTGAGCATTTATTATTTTGGAGAGGGAGGGACCAATTATCACTTTTCATGAAAACGTTCCCCCGAACTCATGGCTGCTGCTTGAAATCTGAAACTCCAATCTGAGAAATTGAGCGGGAAATTTGCCAACGAGAACCATTTCAAAATTTGCAACTTTTGTGCCCTCTCCCATTCCATTTTTCAGGCTCGTTTTTAACATCACAGCCTATGGAACAGGTTGAAGCATTTCCGTAACTCTGAAAATCACAGCGTCTATTCTAAAAATTGCTTTGATAGTTACATTAGCTTTAAGCGGACATGCTAACCTACTTTTTAAGGAATGATTTGTATATGAAATTCCCCGAAAAAATGCATTGTGAAATCCTGAAGAAGCAAAAAGTTTAACAATTTTAAAATTGTTATAGAGCTGAATATTTTGAAGAGAAAGGTCATTTGGTGATAGCTCAATGACTTGAGACCCATTTACAAGTTGAATGGTCTTCCTCGCTGAATGTTGAAGTAGTTAAGGCTAAAAGAACCGCATAGACATGAGGAAAACAGAGCAAGAAACAATTATTAAAAGTTAGGGAACTAAAACTAGCAAACAATTAATGTTTAACTCCCTGGAGTTGCATGTTGTAGGTCTGAGTAGCAGAAGTCTCCGAGCAACTCTGTGACTGGCCAAAGGATTATGATTCAATCACAGAGCCCAGAGGGCCTGGGATACTTCCTATGCTGTGGATCAATTTACCCTCTACCGTGTAAATATTCAGACAGAAATTACAGACATGTCAGTGTTATTCAAAATCCTTTCTGAGTATGCATTTCTCTGGGAAACAAAGATTTGAGCGGATAGGAAAATTGTTTGAAAGGATGTGGTACAGATTTGTAACAATTGTGCCAATCTTCTATGTCAACCAAAATAATGAATCTAAAGGGTTATGGATATATCAAAAGTTTACACTGGTGGAAACAAAAGTTCAACTATGATTTCACACTAAAATATTACATAAATAAAAATATGATAATTTAAGGGAATTCTGAGCAACTAGATCCAACACAATGCTGAAGCGGAAAAAATGTCTGACAAAGAGTAGGAGGAAAAAAACACACTTAGCTTTACTGGTGGAACAGAAAGGTTCATAGTAATCTGTAAAACTGCAAATTACTATCAAATAAAAATGGATTTACTTTCATGTCCTCATCTCCTCAACAGTAAATCAGAGGAAACTTAAGCTGTTGCTGATTCCAGTAATAAAACTGCATTACAACAGCCTTTCAATCCATGTGGCGGTCATTTACTTTCTAACAGTTTCAACATAAAACATCTGTTGATCTTCCCCCACAAATTAGCCTTGGTACGGTGAGAACAAGAACAAATCTCCTTTTTCCAGGGTTATATGAATGTCTGACGATATGATTAGGTTGCCAACACAAGGCCCTTTCAAACACATTAAAACAAAACAAAGATAATAAAGAAATAAAAATGAATAAATCTAATATCTGCTTCAGTCAGTTTTTGTACAGTTGATTAATGGCAACTATACATGCCTACATATATATGGCATACATATATAACATTGGATATGCCATATCCAGTTATCCCATACTATGGTTTTGATTTGACAACACTTGTCATTTCCAGCAGGACAGAGCTGCTGCTCTCTAGCTCTAAACAGGAAACTGGGGGGAGGGGGAGCCCATGACAAAAGTCAGCCATTGTTTTGTGTTGCATCTACTTCTGGTTTTCCGAGAACACAATATTACGCATTGCGCCGCCAACAATTCTTCCTCTGAAAACACATGTTCTAATGTTCTGGTAGGTGACTGGTGGGGGTAACTCCAACGATTCAAGGCTGCAGAAAACAAAAACAAAAAAACTGTACTACTAGAAAGTCTGACAGGATGTTTTTTGTTTTGATTTGTTTTTCCTTCTTTTAAATCACCACACTACCTCAAACAATTCCTGGAAGAAAGGGAGACAGATCAGAGGGAGAAAAAAAAACTGAGGAAAGAGACAAAGGAGAGCTTTTACACAGAGCTATAAAGTGACACAATGAAACATGTCCTAAGGCATTATGTGGTATAAAACTACTATTAGTTTACTATTACATGGGGTAAAAAAAAAGAGCCAGAAGTGGAAACATTACAAGACAAAAAGGTGAGGATAGATATAGGAAGCTCAATAAATAAATAAATAGTTGGTAAACACAAGGGTAAACAGAATATTAGCCCATATAGAATTTTTTTATTTCATCTTATAAATATATATATTATTTATAAATCAAATAAATGTTTAAATTATATTAAAATATATTCATATATTATGTATAAATCCTATAAATGTTTAAATTATATTATGTTATATCAATTTGCAATCAGGTCAAGCATAAGCTTAACTTATTTAGGGCTGGGTACTGCTGCTCCCTCAGTTGAATTCATTGCAATTCCAAATATATTGATTATAATAATCATAATACAACATTGTCTCAAATGGATTAAGATTTTTACTTTTTGATCAGTTTCATAAATCAGAAATCTGAATAGTTTCTCTTCTCAAATTTCCTTATACAAAATGCCTGTGCTGCGTCTGTCATGCTAACAGTCTGCACAGATTCTTCCTTAAGTCTCACTGTACATTAGTCTTTTTGGTCAATGTTGAACATGTCAAATGTACTATGTCATAATTTAGCGATATCTCTCAAAAAGTCCTTATGAAATCAATGCTGGATTTTTCAAATCAAAATCAATTCAACTAAAAATAAACTTTTTTATTATAATTCAATTCCGGTTGTTTTACAAATGCCTTACATTTCTCCAGGGACAAGCATGACATGACAGTCCAGTCATAGTCCAGTTTGTAAAGTTTGCCAAGCTTCCTAGTAATGAATGAATGTGTGGTTTTGTAGCAATTCATTATTTGGAATATTTTGTCCCAAAGGGGGAACGTGGCAACTGGTATGATGCTTCCTATCTTTTTCTGCTTGTATGATCTTCTATCAGCTTATCGATCTTACAAAATACATGTATGTTTGGTGGGAGTAAGATAAAATAATACAAATAGCATAAACATCTTGCCAGTAAAACATCCTCATTAAATGCTATCTTTTCTGGAGACTCCCTGACAGTAACTGAGGCAAAGGAGACAACTATATACTAAAGCAAGGTTGGCTTTGTTAACAGGACAGTTTACATGAACGCAATTAAGAAGTTGCAGTAAATTCCTGATCTTTAGCTATTCCAGTGGTCTGGTGGCTTGGCATCCCTCCATATTCTAATTCATATCTTTCATTTATTACTATTGTTGCCATTGGTGGAAATAGTTATTTTAATTACCATCCTCTTTATTACTACTACCCACACACCCTCATTTATTATTAATTTACTTTCAATGCATCTATGAATGTTTTGCTTGGTTATGCAAGTAGAAACAAAGCAGCGCTAACACTTGAGAGACACACAATGCTATGATCATAACACTGAATATCTATAGATTTGAGTTTACTATTGTGTATATTCACATATTACTTTTTTCAGACATTGTCCAACTGTATCACCTGTTGTGCAAATGTTTCTTACCCACAGTCCGGAGCAGGACACCAGCGGCAGTCTGGGTCAGCAACCAGCCACCTCCTCAGCATGAACTCTTCATACTTCTCCATGAGCACTCGATCCCTCAGAATCATGCAGATATCGTGTGGGTTGAAGCGCTCTGAGCATTCAGGGCAGCTTATGTTGACACGCGACTCTGATATTTCAATGCGTAGATACTGGCGCAGGCAATCAATGCAGGAGCGGTGATGACAGGTCATGATGTCGGGGAAGCTTTCCTTGGAGTGGCACAAAAGGCACAATGGGCACTCCAGTAGCTCTGACCCCACTCCAACCCCTGTCTTGGAAGAAGACGAGGCAGAGGAGGTAGAGAAAGGAGGACCTGAGGCAGATGAGATGGAAGCAGCAGCAATCGAGGCAGCCCCATTGCTGGCCACAGAGAAGAAGGCAGAGTTCTTGTCATTACACATCTCAGAGTGGATGCTCTCAATGGTGGCAATGCCATCCACTCCCGTTAGCCCTCCTGATCCTGGATGCTGTGAGCCTCTGGACTTTTGGTGTCCCGATTTGGACTCCCGCCCTCTTCTTCTGAAAAGAGAGGCCAGGGAGAAACGCCTCTTCTTAGGTGCCTTCTTCAGTGAGGGCAAGGAGATGGAGGAAGCAGTGGATTGTAGGTCCCGGTCAGAACCCATTACACTACTACTTCCATGACCCAACTGATGGTGCTTTTGTAAACTCATTTCTCCAGCAGGAGGTGAGGGATGTGCCGCTGGCGAGCCAGGATTGGGAAGCCCGTCTCTCCCATGTGCAGAGAGGTCTGGGAGTTGGATGAGACTGGGAGAGGGGGTAAGGTGGTGAATAGAGGAGGGGGCAGGGGAAAGGGGGCCAGGGTGGAGGGATAGGGCTCCAGAGGGCCCGTCTGTGTTTAAGACATGGTGACTTCTCCTGATCAACCTCGCTGTCACATCTAATAGCCGGATTTTGGCGAAAGGGTGGGGGTCACCTGCTGAGAAACCTCTGCAACAGATTCTGGAATGAAGAGGAAAAATGCAACAGAAGTTGGAAGGAAAAAAGAAGAACATTTTGTTAATATGGTAAATTATTATCAAGTTATTTTTGATTAACCCACATAAGCAAAACAAAAAAGACTCAAGTATAAAAATAACAAACATTTCATTGTGTGGGGAAAGTAAAGAAAAGGAAATGAGAAACAAACATTTCGTCTAAAATAACCATTTACTAAGAAGGCACAAAGGTACTCTGATGAGGGCATTATGTGAGCTTTTCCAATATTGAGCTTTAACTAGGAGAGTAGCACAACTTTAAAGTTATTATAGCTTTTGATATTTTGCTCAGCCAGTATCACAGCTGGCAAGGTGCAGCTTTGCTTTGCTAATCAGGACAGCGGTCTAAACAGAGAGAGGACAGGGGGATGACAACCTTGAATAATATTGATGCAAACAGTGTTCACATCTCTATGCAGTAACTATGCTGTAGCTGTATTCTGCTGATGATGGCACACAGAAGAAAGTTGGTGATAAAGTAAAGGGTTTGACAGAGTAGGTTCTTTTCAACCAATGGAAGAGGTGCTGGTAATAGCAAAAGTTAATCATATCAAGCTGAGAAATTAACTAAAACTTGTATCTGTTGTATTTACATGGAGTGAATAAACCAATACAGCAAAGAGAAAAGAAACGGTCATTTGTACGCTTTGAAATAAACCACCAACATGTGTACAGCTTTGAAGCTTACATCAGTTGTCAATGTTTTGTTCAGGGCTGATTTAGTAAGGTTTGTAATAACTTCTAATAGGTAGTTCACACCTTTGATAAAAAATGTTTGAGATTTATGCATGAACTGGTATTCTTTTAAGACGCTATGAGAATGCTGGACTGTGTTTCTGAATGTTGACATAACTTTACTGGATAAAAAAGGCATTCCGCTATGTCCTGTTTGACAGCAGGCGGTCAAGAGTGAGTCTGTGACGTTGCAGGTATATAATTAAGTCCAAGGTCTTAGCTAGGTGCACCTGACTAGATTAGACAGTTATGACAGCTTCTTGGCTAAAGGCTGTGGTCAGCAGGAAAGGCTTTTCCCTTTCTTTGCCCAAATTAAAAATTTTAGGACATTAACATGAGCCAAATTTGCTTTTAGTAAATGCAAAGGTGGCTATAGAGGGTAAAATAAAGAGATATTGCAAAAATTATTTTGCAGAGTGTCGAATATGAAAATGTGACTTTAGAAGATCTTTTAAGTACTCTTAGTGGAGCACTTTATACACTATAACTCCAGATAACAATCAATGTGCGCTAATCACGGCAACTTTATTGTGAGTCTAATAACTTGAGTCATTCATTTAGGAACTCACCCTTCCTCCTGTGCATTTAAACTGTGACAAGGACAGTGCTCCAGATGGAGATGGACCTAAACTTTACTGTGACTAACCATGCTGATCGTTCAGCATATATAATTTCATATATTGTCCATCATAATTTTTTTAAAGAATATCTAAGCTAGCCAAATTGCAGCTGTTAAATCACAATTTCTGGACAACCAATGAAATTTGGTAAAACAGTGACTCTAGCAAATTATAAAAGACAAATACTGTTTCACTGCTAATTATAGAGAGAAAATTGACCAGCAAATTCAGTGAATGCGTTATTTTGGAGCACCGCCTGGGCTCAAAAATGCACCTCAATTACAAAAGACCAAGTATTATTTAAATAAGCATAAGACTATTTGACCAATAGCCAGATCCGATGAGAAAAGCAAGGTAAAGTGACAAAGTGGGGTTTTATTCCAGCAAACTCTTGATAAACAGCAGCCTAACATTGATTAAAAAATAAGCAACATTCAAGACAGAGAATAAAAGATATTTCAAAGAAGGATTAATAAATGGGCAAAAATAACGTAACAGACTTTACAGGGATCAGCATAAGGTAAGGACTTGGACAAATGTTAACATTCACTGTGAGCCAGTGTTGTCACCCAGTCAGTATCCCACCCACTGCATTCCTTTTCTGCTTGTCTCCAGTGTAATGTTGCCTCTGTGCACATTCCTGGGCTTCTATAGAGTCAATCCATACCAAGGCTTCCACTGCATCATGAGCAAACACAGAACAAGCTCCTTATAGGCAAGCTGAGCTACTATTGACTGATGTAACATTTATACACATGCCCTCCATTATGACCACAATGTGAAGCATGCTGAAAAATTGGGAATTTCTTGTGGCTGAAATTATATGACAGGATTAACCTTGCACAATATTCATAGAAAATATCTAAATCAAAATTAATTTAAATAAATGTTGGGGGATCAATTACATCAGTGCTCACTAAATAAAATTAATATTATGGCCAGAGTAAAGAATGAAAAATTGAGAGATATCAGCGACAAAAATAGCATGAACAAAGAAGGTATTGTTGACTGTACGAAGAGGCCAGCAGGCTGAAAGGGAAAAGAAGTTTCCAATCCCAACAAAGCCATTACAGTCTCCAGCTGTCCCTTTACACTCGGACTTCCCCCTCAGTTCTCTCTCACAGCAGTCAAAAGGTGGCGGAGGCGGTGATGAAGTTAGCATCCTGGCATTTCTGCTCAGCTGAGACAGCTAAGAGCTCAGGAAGGGTGTGAAATGGAAAGGAATTAACTGGTAATTTGTAAGAATGTGGTACATTTCCTCACATAGCAGAAAAACAGGCTCTAGCACACAGAAAAGATATACTGATCGATTAACTATAAAAAGGCAAATGATACACGGACCATCTAGCTCAAAGGTAAGAGAGAAAAATAAACTCAAATGACTCACTGAATGTGCTTACTTAACAGTTTGATAAGGCCATTAATGTCACACCTAGTCTCTCATTTCACACTAAGGTGCTAAAGGCCATCCATCCTCTTGCCTTGCAGTTGTGTTTACAATGAGTCAGGGAAGTGCAACACCGGTTCTGACAAACACAGAGATCATGGGCTGGGGTCTCAATGCTAAGAAAATTACATTTCTTCTGAAGAAGACAGATTTAGGTTCTTAGCGAAGAGAGTATCAAGGACTACCTTTGACACCCATTAAGCATAGTACATTTTGTTAATGCTGGCCTTTCATGGTTAGAGTTCAGCAATCAGGAGTAAAATTTGATAATGTTGGACACAATTATGACCAAATCTGGAGTAAATCTAAAACATTAACGGGAAAAAATCCCATCTAACATTTTTAACAAAGCTTGTAGGTTTTGTGATTCCTCAAAAAGTATATTATATACAGGGATCTAAAATGTTTTAACAGCTCAAGATTTATTAAACAAAACATTTAGAATCTCTTAAATCAACTTAAATTAAACGTTTTCATATAATCTTCCTCTTAACTATAATACTACATTAATTTACTGCATTATATTAGTAAAAGCAGATAAAAAGAATGTCCATTTGATCCGTTTCTAAAACACAGAAGCCACATAGATAAATATTCCAATATAAAGTTATTCCTCAACATAAACATTTAATATCAAAACATTTCTAATGATCTTCACTTAAACCAACTTGATTAACATGTCAAGTCCTTTTTTAGTGATATTTTTAGTGAAAATACAAACACACCATGCTGTTTATGAGAATGATATTTACTTTACCGCATTACTTGAATAATATAGTTATACTGAGTTAACCATTTTTTATAATGTGTTTTGCTGTAGTAAGATTCATTTGTATCATAGGCGATCCCTGCTTTTTATCTGCCGACTGATCCACTGTAGTTATGCATCACATCTTTTTTTTCTGTACCAAATACAATGTGGGACTGTTTCATTTACAATTACTTTTTCAAAGGGCATATCTGTTTGCACATCATGAGATTATCATTATTATGTGAGATTATGTAAACTATCGTCTAAACGTGATCAACAGCACTTCAAACTATGAAAAATTTGCACTGGACACACAATTTCACTTTTTCAGAGGGTAACCAATAAACTGTTGGTATCAAAACAATACATTTATACCAGTTACACACTTGCCTTTTTTAGTCACATTAGTGTGGGATGGTTAAACAAAGATAGACCAGTGTTTAATATGCATTTATGCACAACAAAAAACATTTATCAAATGAAAAGTTGACAAATGTTTAGGTAAACAATTAACTGGATTTACAAAACTGACTTTCTAATGGCTGTGGCATCCAAATCTTTCTGATGCAGATATAATTTAAATAACGTGCCCATTTTTCCATTTTGGACACGAGGATTTTGTTTTTGTAGCTTCAGATAGGATGCAGAAGCCAATAGACATGAGATTGAAATCAGAGTGCAGTTTATTCTGTGTGGCTACTTCAACTGTTTAAGGAAAAACAGTGAACTGTACTAGACAAAGGGCTGTGGAAGTGGTGTGTTATGAGATGATTCAACACAATCTAAAGAGATAAATTCACACACTAAATCTTGTTTTCTGATTTTTCTGTCTCTTGATTTACTGGATTTAATTTATTCATTACACTCACTGGCTTTGTGCCTAAGAAATAAAGGCTATGTCACTCTTTTACTGTCAATTTAAATAAATATCCCAATCTGTACCAACCAAAGAAGTATTCTGAGGGAAGAACTGTTACCTTTGGGGAGAAGATAAATACATTATTTCCATGTAAAATAAAAAATGACAGCTCTTCACATAATATGCTGGGGTGGAACATTATAACAATATTTTTAATGGACTGTATTTTCAGCTTGTGAAATTCAAAGAAAACTGTCATAAGAAAAACTAAGTTTACTGATAAACAAGCACAGTAAAACTTGAGGTTCTAGTTGTTTCAAGAGGCCTCTTTGTAACAGTACAAATATGTATCTTTTCTCCCTGTTTATTAAGAGGATCCATCACAAATACATTTGATTGTTTGTAACATTAAAATGTTGGTTGTAAATTCCATCTTAAAAGAGGGTTGTGCATAAAGAGTTTTCAACCAACAACTTTGAAGACAGGTCCCCAAAAGGGGAAACATGTCTTGTCTTTAACACTATGTCTTTAACACTTCTGTTAAAGACATAGGATTGCTTGTAGATAAACTGAAAGCTTTCAGTGTGTTCATGGGGATCTGTAAGAACAGAACAAGAGGTGATAGATATAAGGGTACAATTACGCACTCCTTATTATTACTACCACTGCACTTTACGGTGTTGAAGTGAGGTCCTATGCCAAGAAGTTGAAAATACTATTTTTTGTGATGTGCATAAACTTTAACAGGATGACCATAGTAATATGCTAAGTTTGATAAGGATGTGGTATTTCAGCCCCCGCTCTTTCTGTCTGGTTAAATTAGTTCTACCATTAGTTCTACCAATCCAACACTACACACACACTACACACACACACACACACAGCTACATATATATATATATATGTGTGTGTGTGTGTCTTTATGTGAGGTATTATGATACATACATACATACATACATACATACATACATACATACATACATAGTTGTGTGTGTCTGTTTACACAGTTTTATCTATTCTATCCTACTTTACGGGGGCAGAGTACAATCTCTATAGTTACTAGTAAGTAGTTACTCTCATTCAAATGATGCACAATAGCAAGTGTTGTTTCGGTTTCATAGTTGTCATAGTTTTCGTCAAACAATGAACTTATTCATAACGTTCGACAGGTAGCTAGGTTACCAATATGTTTCTCTGTTTCAAATCAGTTGGCCTAAAGTATCAATTCGTCAGTATGCATTACAACATTGAAAATGTTCCGGGACACACCATTACAATATGGCAGTTATGAAAAATGTTCTATAGGTCATAGTAGGCATTATTCACGGCGACAGAATACCAGCAAGACAATCAACGACTAAACACAGCGATCATTAGCATTAGGCTAACAAGGTTAGCTAGACACGATGAGAACCTACCGTCTGTTGCGAATGACACTTCTTGTGGAGACAGTAATACCCAGAGGACAAGGAGCTTCTCAAAGATGTTTGAGCTAATGTATCAGTGGTCTCGCTATTGCGTTGCAAATGACTTCCACACTGATACTTGCACTTATTTCTGGTCCCACCTATCTGCTCCCTTTCGAACGGTAACAGCTCCCACAGAGCTCGCTCTGTTGTTCATAGTTCTCGTTCTAGCTCAGAAATTCAAATAGCATCGCGAGGTTTTAACATCGGCTCCACTGACCTCTCTCAATAGAGGTAGCCTAATACAAATTTAAACTGGCCCCTACAGTTCTCAATAGCACCACGACTAATAACTGTAACAACGGCAACGATAATAAGAAGAAGGAAAAAGCACGATTTTCTTCTGTAATAAACGTTCTGTGATTTGTATTTGTCTGAATTTGTTAAGTACATATTCATTCATCTATCCATTTGTTGCACAGCTTGTTCTCGGTAGTGTGGCATGCTATGTGGAAAAGTGGCCAGTACAACCCGTTGAGTATATCTAGTGACTTAATTGGAAGACCTAAGGCCTAGATAAATAGTTGCTTGTGACTGTTAGTGATAAACTTGAGTGAATTAGCCTTGGTGCTCAAATGGTTGCAAAACAAACCAAAACTATCTGTAATGGTGTACTGAGAAGCCAAATAAAGTCAACCTGTTTTTGACTCATTTATGCAAAATTGTTTTGTTTTTTTAAGTTGCATTAGCATGCATCCATGTAAAGAATGACATATTTGTGGATAAGGTGGCTGACAGGCCATCGTCACACAGATTAATCTAATCCAAGCTCGAGAGGATTACATGATAGCTCTCTGAGTGTCAGTCATTATCAAGAGACAAGAAATGACAGATGAGTCAGTAGATTTGAACAGTGCAGATTATTTTCACTCGCATGGGTTTAAATGACGAGTTCCCCTAGTTCATAGTTGCTTTTATGCTAAATATTTCTTGTGAAGCTATATATAACAAAAAAAGTCCGCTGTGCATAATCACTCTGATACCAGATTTTCCACTGGAGTGAAGCCTTTTTACACATGCACTGACTAAATCTGAAACGGTATTTTCTCAATTGTTTAATCCATATATAACACCATCTCTCATCCTTTCAAATCTGAAATTTCCCTGTGCCTGCAGGTGTAAAACATCTGCACAGCACGATACTGCCATAATCCAATGTGTTCTTGGCTTCACGAGGTCTCTTCTCTGAAAAAGTGTCAAGAAAAAGGAAAATCACTTGACCCTCATAAATTGATAACTTTATAGTTGTTGGAGGTAGGTCTTACTTAGAGGCTTCACTGTATAAGGTTGAACACATTTAGACTCACTAAAGGAAAAACAAAAAAAAAGGTCTAATCTAATTGAAGTTGCTTAATGCCCCTGAAATTTTGAATCCATCAATTATCTGTACCGCTTACCCCCAGCTTTAGTATATCTCAAATCTAAACTACATCCAGTGTGCCTATGTGGAGAGGGTTATTGGACCCACAATGTTGCAATTGTAAAACTCCAAATACCTCCTGCTTCCAGAATTCATGCCGTTTACTCAAATCCAGTCCCTGATGTCATTACATTTTCTAAATTGCTTCTGATTTAATGCTGATAAAAGCTTAAAAACACTAATGGCAATAGGTGACAAAAAGTTAAAAGTAAAAATTCCATATGGTTTATTCCCTCTCAATGAAATGAACTTGACTTTCATAGTAATTTCATAATATAAGACCATTAGTCCAATTTGTACTGATGAAGCACAAATCAGTATATTGGCCTTAAAAACCCTGTATCATAGGTCTATCACATGACCTGTGGAAATATAAACAGTATTCGATATATGTTTTAGTTTTAAAAATCCTAATGCAAAATCTGTTTAAAAAAAAAAAGTTTTTTTATGACACAAAATTATTAACATCGGCGGCAAGAACTCAAGTCTGGAAGTATACAGCAACTCCAAATGGATAATGACTATCACTAATACCCCAAGGTACTGCTTCTTTGCAGTGTCCATAATGCAGTAATGAAATAAAGAGGCTTTTTTTAATGAATTTATTACAGCCAGTAGTTTACGATACAAATCACCTTTCAATCTGCTCAGCTACCACCTTCCTGAACATGGCTGATATTCTGAGCACTGACAGTAAAATGACATAAAACCAAGGAATGCATTCAATTGTATTATTTCACTTTTCTCTATTTTTCTATTTTTTTTTACAACAAATTTTCTTTATGATCAAGGTCTAGTCAAACATCTCTAGACCTGGCAAAGTCAATTGTTTTCTTTTTTTTAAGAAATAATTTATCATTTTGCGATGTTTTCAGAGTTTTAGGTTTTTCAATGTTTAAGTTTTTTTTCTTTTTCCATCGGTGAAGCAGGTTTCAAAATGCCCTGTTAAAGAGAAGGAACACAAATGTTTACACCACAGCAGATATCAATGTTGGATCATTTGTCTTAATTTGTGCTTTCATAACACAAACATTTTACCTTTAGACACTGGGAACACCAGCAGGGGTGGTGGACTTCTGAGCAGCTTCTTTAGCCTGGTGGGCCTGAAGCACAGCTACAGCCTCATCCACCTGTAACAAAGTATTTAGTGAGCTACTGCATGGAAGGCCAACTCTATTAAACTACATGCAAAGATGAAACAGCAGCTCATTTCTCGGTTTAACAGTTCTAATCTTGAAAAATAGTGTCTACTTGGGGGAAGGAAAAAGAATAACCTTGGAGCGCAGGGATTCAGGGGACTCCAGCATGTGAAGCAACTCTGAGTTATCAATCTCCAGGAGCATACCGGTGATCTTGCCTGCCAGGCTGGGATGCATGTTTTGGATCAAGGGGAAGAGACGCTCACCTGAAGAAAAAGACACCACAACTTAAAATACGTCAACAAACTGTTTAATGTAACATTGTGAGAGAAATCTTTTGGACTTCCCCAGTACTACCAAAGTGAGGATGAACTCACCCAGCATCTGCTTCTGTTCCTGAGGTGGGGCAGCAGCCAGCATGGAGGCAGTTAGGGGCTCCTGGCCTTGGACATGAACTGCCGGCTAAAAGATGCAAATATATCAATGTTAGAAAGCAGTTTTCATAATCCTTTACTAGATAATATTTGACCAATCAGACGATACACTCATAATCCTCCTCAGAAATCCACAACCCAAATTGTGGCATGTGGTTTAGGCATATATGCACCATCTACAAATAACAGCTTCATATTTATTTTTTAGAACTGGGTTGCATACAAACATAGCACATTTAATCTCAAAACAGAAAAGTACATTTTTAGGGCTGGATATTCTTACTTGTTGCATGGCGACCTGTGCCTGTGAGGCCATGTGTTGCTGAGGGTTGCGCACACTTGCAGCGTATTTGTACTGAGGCATAGCCCGCACTGGGGCAGCAGCAGCTGAAGCATTGGCTGGCCGCTGACTGAGTGCCTGCGTCGCTGTGGTGAGAGAAACGGAAAGGGGTCATCATCATACAGCGCCGGTGACAATTCAGGCAGGAAAAAATATGTAGCCGATTCCTGAAGTCTGACAAACTTACGCATACGCTGAGAAGCCATCATGCGTGGGACCTGCGCGTTGGTCGTGGTTGTAGCACGGATGGTGTTGAAGGTCTGGGGTCTTGGTGCTGATGGACGCATAGCATTGGGCATGTTCTGGAAGTCTAAAGAATATGGAAAAATAAGTATTAGCAACATGTTGATAGATTAAACAAGTTGACAGCTAAAAAGGTAGTACGACTTAAAGGACTCACGTTGAGGACGCACTCCTTGTGTGGCCCAACGTGGGCTGGGGCGGAGCTGGGCCAGTTGGTTAGCGGAGTAATACGCAGCACGGTTCTGGGCCTGTGCAAATTAAGTTATTAAATAATGTCCACATATTAAACACAAACCAGTTGTTTTAAATGAGTAGTGCACTAAAAAACAGAACAGGCTTCCTTACTTTAAACAGTCAATAAACTAAACCGATATCGAGTTGGGTTTATGAAGTTGAACACCATATACCCAGTTCACTTGAAGGGATTGCAGCTTACCTGGGGAATAGCTGCCATGAAGTAGCCAGAGGGGGGAGCAGGCTGATAGGGGTTGAGAACAGGGTTGGGCACAGCACGAACAGTGGCCATCCTCTGCATGTATTGGTTGGTAAGATGGGCCTGGCGTTCTTCCTTACGCTGCGCTAGGGCCACATAAAGTGGCTTTGTGGCCACAATACGACCGTTCATCTCAGTAACTGCTTTAGTCGCCTCCTCTGGCGAAGAGAAGCAAACGAAGCCAAAACCTTTACTGCGGCCACCCTCCATCATTACCTGCAGGAGAGGGGAAAGATTAGAGTATATCATTGCATAAATGTTTTGAGATGGTGGCGATTAAACTGGTCATTTGCACATTACAAATACACAAAGTTTTACCTTTGCACTTGTTATTGTTCCAAATGGAGAGAATTCTTTGCGTAGACGCTCATCATCTAGGCCATCATCCAAGTTTTTAACATACAGATTGACACCCTAATAGTGATTAAAAGTGACAATGAAAGTTGTGTTCAAGAGTCCCACAAAATCAGTTATCAATTCATTAAATCAGCAACAGTTGACCTCTGCAGCCAAAATACAGAATATACCATTTACATCCACATTTACATCCATTTTCTATCATAAAACATAAAGCAATAAATGCAGCATTTAAATAACAGGACCATAGTTTTCAGTCTGAAAACCCAACTCTTAACCCAGTTACCTTGCTAACCTGCTCTATTGTACCAACGTTAAAGCTTCCATAAATTCAACTTTGCAAAACTCAGCCTGCTAAGTGTAAAATATAAGTTATGTAATTCCTATGAAAAATAACTGAATGGATCTGACAAACCTGATATCTGGTCATACGGTCCTGTTTCATTTGCTCAAATTTGCGTTTTAGCTCATTCTGGCGCTCTCCTTTTTTCTGTGCACGGCCAACATAGACTTGCCGACCATTCAGTTCTTTACCATTCATGTCATCTACAGCCTGCAAAGAAAACAGCACTTATTGAGCAAGTTCAATACAAATTACATCTGTATATGTACATACATATTTTGGACAGTACAGATTTTGGTGAAAAAACAAATCAATATGCAATAAATGAAAACCAGAACCCACACACCTTTTGTGCATCTTCGTGCCTCTCAAAGCTGACAAATCCAAATCCCTTTGACTTGCCACTCTCGTCAGTCATGACTCGGATGCTGAGTGCGGGGCCTATAAGGTAGAGAGGCCAATCAGTACATTTAATGGGCCAAAGCAGAGGTAGCTAAATTACGCGGGAGCATTATGTCTCCTGTCACCTTACCATACTTGCCAAACAACTCCTTCAGCTTTTCATCATCCATGTCTTCCCCAAAGTTTTTAATGTAAACATTGGTAAATTCTCTGGCACGTGCCCCAAGCTCAGCCTCCCTCTCTTTGCGTGATTTGAAGCGTCCCACAAATCTGTAATGAAAATCAGGAAATGTTTAGAAACTGAATCCTTTTAGTAGGTTGATGAGTATAATGCAGACCATGAGTTCTTGAATTAGGTTAATGAGTAACCAGGGTTATCTCATGAGCAATGCAACCTTTAGCAACAGCTGATAGAAATGTGGAAAATATACTCTTAATCTCACAATATACTTTCTTTGAAAGTGTAAGATGTTTAATTTTTTTTATTTATTTAAATCTTCAGCAAAGGTGCGAGATGCATTGTCATTTGCTAATAATTAATTTGGCAAAGTATTGGTAGTATCAAGATACAGTTACACATCAAGTCAAGTTTTGATCAACACTTGTTAATGAGATATCACCAAGTATTAATATATTCAAGTATGACAGTAGCTCCACTTACACTTTTCTGTCATTGAGCAACATGCCATTCATTTTCTCAATGGCACGCTCAGCGGCCTCGTGGGTCTCAAAGTGCACAAAGCCATAACCCTTGCTGCCATTTTCATCACAAACAACCTTGGAAAGGACAGATTTTCAGTAGTCAAAATCATTCACAAACACCATGCTTTCTAGACACATCAGAGTCAACCACTTTCAACCGGGTGCAATATTTAGTCATCCAAAGTAGCGAGTCATGAGAAACCGTAAAACTCACAATATAAGAAAGTCCTTAATTTACCTTGCAGGAGAGAATGTTTCCGAATGCTGAGAAAGTGTCATACAGAGCCTTGTTATCAATAGACTTGTCCAAGTTTTTGATGAAGATGTTTCCCACTCCACTTTTCCTCAAAGAGGGGTCCCGCTGAGACCACATGATACGAAGAGGTCTACCTTTAATGACATCAAAGTTCATGGTGTCCAAGGCTCTCTCAGCTAAAACAGACAAAAAAGGGGAAAAAGCATCCATGAACATTTCATACTTAAAATATAACGCTAATAAATTGGAATGGCCTATTTGAAGACACTTTACAATTTGCCAATAGGTTAAATACAACATTAATAGTAGTTAAAAAATTACAAACTGACACTCCAATACATGACATGCGTGTTCAAAATGGAGTCAGAGCCAAACTTGTGCTAAGGTAATACCTACCGTCAGCCGGCTGCTGAAAGTTAACATAGGCATAGCCAAGGGAACGACGGGTGATCATATCTCTGCACACCCTGATGGAAAGGATGGGTCCAGCCGGGCTAAATTTCTCGTAGAGCATGGCTTCGGTAACGTCTGGATGTAAATCCCCTACGTAGAGGGAGGCCATCGGATAGCTAGGCGCGCTTGGATTCATGTCGGACGAGGCGTGTTCAGATAATTTCACGAATTACTTTTAACGTGATTTCCTCTCTTCCTTGATAGCCGTCGAACAAAATGGACAAAAATGAAGAGCCCGCCAACCTTTGCGTTTCTGGTAGTTAATGAAGAGCACAAACACGTGTACTTTAATCGTTAGCACCGTGGGCTATTTAGCTTGGTTAGCAAATGTCGGAACGTGGCCTACCCGGTATGGCTCAGAATTCAAAATTTGTTATCTAGAAAGCTTAGCTGTAGGTAGAGTAAAAAAAACACAGTCAGCCTTATTATAACAGCCGGAGATGTCCCTTAAAGGGGTAGATAAATTACTAGATCTAACGCTAATTGTCCACGCTCTCAACAATGACGGTAGGTTTCTTAGCTGGTAACGTTCGTCTCGTTCTTTTTCAAATGCAGCGTCTTATCAGCTTTGCTTGGTTTGGCAAATCAAATCCTGCTTCACCGATTTTTTTTTTCTTATAAAAATATGTCTGCGTTGCACTCTAGCTTTTGGTTTGTTTCATAATAATAAAATGTGTGCCGAGACTAGCTCCGGAGCACACCCTACGCAGACGGATTACCGGAATGAAAGGAAGCACTGCAGTGGCTGTTTCCCGATTCTAGTCGAAACCACGGCACGTTCACTTGCAAAGGGTTACGTCATATCTCGCGATATTTTAGAATGATTCTTTTTAAGCAAATGTATTCATTAAAAAACAATATAGTCTTGAGACACGTTTTTTTTATGTCGGAAGTATTTAAATAAATAAACAATTAATAGATACAAATGTTTTCAGCATAGACACATTTGCTTTAGTCATAGAAAGAAAACGCTTATCCACATTTGTTATATACATATGTGTTAACCAGTATACTAGATCGACATTGGCATTTTCATTTGATTTAAAAGTCACAACTTTACGTGTAGTTTTTTCATCTACGAGAACGTATGCGCTTCACAGAAGCATATCGGTTGATTTAGGTATAAAAGCTGTGGGGGAAACTAAAGGGTAACTAATAAATTTCACTGTTGATTTTCACAACTTTAACCTTAAAACACAGGTAGTCATTCGACATTCATATTTGATATCTGTCTTTGCCAAAAGTACTGTCGTGGCAGTTATAAAGACACACCAAAAGCGTACACGGAATTGCTCAAATAATATTTAAAAGTCAAGATTCAATGATGAGTTCCTCTTCCTTAAGTATGTAGTACTTCTATTGGAACAGTCTCTAAAGTGTGTGTGTGTGTGTGTGTATAAATAGATATATAAATATATGCATGTGTAATTGGCTTAATTTGTCTGGGATATTTATTTTTAAAAAAATATATACATTGATCACCTTGTATTTAACTAAACATTTTCTTTTTAATTGAAAATAGAAAACATTTGTATGGATTCGCAATTTATTTAAAAGACCAAAAGACACACTCAACTTTTTTTTTTTTATTCCACTTACATGAAATTACACAATTTCCCCCAAATAACAGTTATGCTTGTGTAAGTACGAAAACCAGACCAACAACCATCATTACATCTTCACAAACTACCCTTTTAACAGTTCATGTAAGTTTTGAAAGAAAAGGTAAATAAAGATAAAAAAAGACCTATTCCAAAAAAGCAGTAACTATTCAAAGTTGGGATTTGTTTTTACTGCAGTGCCAATACAAAACAGCAACAATACATGCTTGTGAGCTCTTTTGTTCTTGACATTTTCTCTATCTCAAAATTGATAAACAGAAATACAAAAGCAGTCCCCCCAGCACATTAAAGAAATAAAGGAGTAGCAGTTTGAAAAACTGACAGTAAATGGAATGTAACCTCTATAAAAAAAAAATTCCCTCCATCTTCAGCAATCATTATACAACCATTGAGTTTAACTTTGCTGTGAGTCCTCTTGGTAAGTACAGCTGCTGTAGTCACATGCAAGGAGCTGGCTCTTGTTTACAAGAAATCCCGGATGTGTCTTCAAAGATAATTGTACTCGAAAAAGCACCATTTGTAACTGGGATATACATCTTGCTACCTCACACAAACTGATAACTTGCCCTCTCACCCAGCACTCTATAAAAAGCAACACCTTTGCAGCTCTGACTCACAAAGGCCAATAATCAAGCATCCAATCCCAAATGCAAATTAACCCTCCCATCACACCATAGAAAGACGGCCCTTCCCTGCTCACCTCCTTTCCCCACAGTTACTACAGGAAAAAAAAACAGTGAACTGGAAGGAGTGAGATGAGAAGAGGCATAAAAAAGATGGGAGAGTCAAATGTTGATGATATGGTGTTTGCAGTGTTGATGATCATGATGAAGATGATGCAGGATGATTGCGAGCAGACAGGAATGACTACAGGGGTCTGGTTCAATCTTGGGGTTCCTCTGCGCCCTCTCCCTCCACTTGGTTATCTGAAGTCCACAGCTGAAGAGACAAATTACATTTTAATTAATCAAGAAATCTTATACAAATTTCTCTCATCACTGAGTGCCTAGACATAGAGGCTCAACCCAACTGATGACTTTGGTTTTCATTTTCATTGCTTTCTGCTAAGGTTGCAGAAGGTAGTGCACATTTCCAAAAAGGCAACTTACTGTCAAGTTGTCTCTCAATAGCTGCATGATTAGTGTACTGTCTTTATAGGATTCTTCACTCAGTGTGTCCAACTCTGCAATGGCCTCATCGAAAGCCTGACAAATTAAAAGAAAAATCAAAACATTTCAGTAAACACGTCAAATATTATCATTTCAAATAATGTGGGGGTTTTATCCGGGAGATCATGCGAACAAAATGATTACATACATGAATGGACTTAATTTATCATTTTAACACCCTCAGAGGTTTGGAGGCTTTGTAAACCTACCTGTTTGGCAAGCTTGCAAGCTTGATCAGGAGAATTGAGGATCTCGTAGTAGAACACTGAGAAATTAAGGGCAAGACCCAGACGAATTGGGTGCGTGGGCTGCATTTCCTCTTTGCTGATAGTAAAGGCTGCATCATATGCGCCCCGCGAATCTTCAATAATGGCTGAGGGGGGAAAGCCAGATAAATATGTTAAAGTTGCACAAACCAGAGTAAAAGTAGAAGAACATTTTCACATTTCACTATGGTTGACAAATCTGAAAATTTAAAACCAGTCTCAAGTTTCAAATTTGAGTGCAACCAGCTCAGGTCTAGAAACTATCAAGAAACAGAAGATGCAATGTCAGATTTAAAACAGTGATCTTATTAGTGAAATGATTTTTGTATGAGTAGGTGAGACATTTATACTCTGTGGGTGCAAACCTATTTGTATACAGTAAACCCAAGTAATGTAAAGACAAAGTGTAGTACCAAAAATGAGGTGTTCAGAGTCATACCTTTAGAGCCCTATCGATGGAAGAGGCTCAGGAGGGTATCATATTTTTTCATTCGGTTGGTAGTATAAATGTACATGCACTTATAAAGCACTTTTCTAGTTAAGCTGACTACTCAAAGTGCTTTACACTACGTGTCATTCACCATTTACACACATTCACACATTGGTTGCACCAATGGGCACACCAGATGCAACCAGTAGGCAACTTGGGGTTCAGAGCTTTTCCACATATGGAAGGAACATGAAGTTCCAATCAGTGGACAACTGCTCTTTCCTATTGAGCCACAGTCGTAGTGCAACTTATATATCCAAATATCAATATCGACAGTTTTTAAACGTTAATTCATACTGGTTGACATGAACCAAGGGGTAAACGTTACTGTCTAAGACCATGAGAGGGCGCCCTAGGCTTGTGAAAACTATATGCTTCTTTTATACTAGTGAAATTAATAAATTTTGAAGGAGATTGCAATCTTGGTGAACTTGCTTCCTGGTTAAAATGCTTTTTGGGCTCTGTATCAAGTGAAGTTCTTTATGCTACTGTGACCTTTTGTAAAAATACGTTTTTAAATAAATTTTAAATTTAAATAAATTTGCAGTAAACACAAAAAAGAGGCAAAAATACTTGTCATAATTAGAAATTAAATTATGACAATTCAAAATTTAGTCTCCACATTAATTTTAGAGCTGTAAAATATATCTGAGTTTTAATGTTCCAAGGACCTCTGAAGTTTGAGCTATTGACAACTTATCCAGAATACTGGCCGGATCTTAAGTTACCCATTTTATTCAGAAATTGTATGAGTTATTTTATTAATATATTCCAGGAAAACATACCAAAACCATGAAATAAAACTACACAGTAAAAACAACGCAAAGAAATAGATGAACTGCTAAGCTCCTGCCACCTGTAAAAGATTAAATTATAGTTAGGGGGCCAGAAACTAATATTATTGCGATATAGTGTTTTTTAAAGCCTAGACGACTGTGATAAGTGTTCACTTTAATAACCAACAGACCCTGAAGGATCTGTGGATGGTCAGGGTTTGTGCAGTATAGTTATGGTGAGCACCCATTATGATATATGGTTGCACCATGTATCATTTGCCACCTTTCTTTCCTGTTGATGTTAGCTGACAGGTGTAAATAGATCACATAAATATGGGACAAAAGTAAACAAATCTTTTTGTGTGTTCTGTAATCTAAGGCTATGTTCACACTGCAGCCTGAAGTGACTCAAACACACAGATCAGATTTTCGATCTTTCTCACTTTGAAAGGCCGGCCCGTTTCCATCAACCTACACTGCTACACTATGCCGAGGAAGGATGACCGGAAACCAGTGTGGAAGCTTTAAAACTCAATTACCCCCTAAGAGTTTGACATTTATGTTATTGAAATCTTGTTAATCCTTAAGATAACAGCTAATTCCTCCCAGAAGCTTAGACTTTATAACCATCACTGCTCCCAACAAAACCAAACTAGTTTAGTTATTTACATCCCTGTTTTTATTTTCTCCTCTAAAGGTCAGTTTACTTGCATCCAGTGTGTACCTTTTTTTCAAAAATATATTCTGTATAGATGTTCTTTACCCCCAAATTAAACTCACTTGGACATCACATAACTGTACAGTAGTTTTAACATTTCCTTTCATCTACAGCCTCTTTTTAAAAAAAAAAAAGTTATTTAATATTTTTTGTGATACTAGATCATACAAACTACACAATGTATCCACCTCCAATGTGTTGCCATTTTTACACCAGGTAAAGCAAACTATAGCATCGAAAAAATTAAAAGCAAGTGTGCAACCCAGGATCCGTATAGAATACCAAAAGCGGAAATACAAAACAGCTATGAATTAGGGGTAATGACGCTGAGTCAGGAATACTCTAGATACACACTACAAGTAATATTCTCAACTATCTATTGTAAAAATGAAAAAAGGGACTTGATAATGTGTCATGAATGACTTCTGCAAAGAATGAAAAAGTTTACCAGTCTTTTCTTCTTCTTGGGCCACTTCAGCCAAGTAGCGGTAGTAGTCTCCTTTCATTTTCAAATAAAAGACTTTGCTCTCTGCATTTGTTGCTTTGGGAATCAGATACTTGTCCAAGAGCTCCTGGAATAGAAAAAGAAAAAACTATTTTAGGTATGAACAGACCTTAAGATTTAAGATTAGAATTTCAATAACACTTTTTTTTGCTCCTCTTGAAATTGTTGCCCACTTGAATTTCAATCATCAGCAAACCAAACAAGGAGAAGCAATATTCAAAGAAATACTAAACAGTTTTCAAGGTGTCTTGTCATCAGTAGCAAAGCCTCCTATGGCCTTTGGGCCTGAGACTAAGAATTTGTCAGACATATCACAGATGTTTCAGGGACCACTGATGGGGGATGGATCTTTAAAAAATGAGGGAGGTGAGAGGGATGAACTGAAGAGACGAGCATGGAGCGAGGATAGTTGAGAGGAAAAGAATGGTGGGGGGGATAGATGGGTAGGATTGAGGATAGATGACTGCCTGTGGGGGTGGAGATGGAGAGGAGAGCCAGGCTACTGAACTCCTGATGAGGAAGTAGGTCACAGAGCCACATTTGGCACTCTATGTTACAAGCACAGTCTTCTTGATACACTGTTTACTTTGCCAACCTGACTGCAAATAAGACAAATTGTATCCAACTAATTTGTGGTAGAAGTTGAGCAAAGAGGTGTAGTTTTATGTATCAAAGTGCTGTGTGGCAAAGAGAACAAGCACCATTTCTACAGAAGTCTAAAAACTTAATTTGGAGGGAAGAATCTATCTCTTCAATGCATTCTCTATAGTAGCATGTCCATCTTTTCGAGCAAGCATTCTTTAAAGTCTTTTCTGTATTACCGACTTTAATAATGGAGGTGATACATTTCTTTAAATTAGCTTAATTTTTCCATTCAAAAACATATGAAACAAAGTCACATGATGAAAACGCAGAGCTTTGTTTTGAGTGATATGAATCAGATTTTGCATAAAAAAAAGAAAAAAAGATGGATAACATCAACTACCATTCAAAATGGATGAGATGTGATTTTTTCTGTACAACAGCACATTTCCATAAACAAGGTTAACAAGAGCTTGCATTTGCTGAATGCTTTTACATTTGTATGAGGGACTAAGGAAGCCCTTTGGGACCTGAATGTAGAACTGGGCCACTGGCAAGGGCATAGCTAAAATCAGACTAACACGATGGCGATGTAGCGAGCAAATGAAACAAGCCACATCCTATGCAACACAGACCAGACGTCTATACATTTTGGGACATAGATTCTTTACATTATGGGACTCGTAATAAATGTAATTTATGTCAATCTCAGTAAACAACAAACTGCTTACTTAAACAGTTTGACACAATGAGACACTAGAGCTGACAAACCACCGTTGACAGACTCCAAGCTAAATGCTTAGATGAAAATAAATGTTTTACCCCATCAATCTCTAATAGTCATTTAAAGTCAAATTATGTTGATTATTTTTTTTTTGTTTCAGTTTAGCCGAGTTTAGTTAGTTTTTGTATAAATCCAAAAACATTAATCAACAAATCAATCTCTGCTGGTGTAAAAGAGGATTAAGAACACCTCCCACCTGCTGAACTGAATATTTAGGACCATCAAGAGCAAAAAGCTGGGAAGCACAATAGAACCCAGTTCAATTTTTATCCTACTTTTCTTCTATAATGATTTTTTTTTTTATTTGATTACATCTGTCCCCATCTATGAAAGCGGGTATTTTATCTAAATTTTAAATCTGAACAAGTGCTCCCTTAAACCAGGGCTGAATTGATATTGAAAACAGTTTACATTCAAATTTTCAACTGATTTGCTCCCAATTTGTTTTTAAACATCATCCTTTCTTTCACTCTTTGTAAGGCTGATGGCCACAGTTGAGGTCAGTGAGGCAGAACGTTGGTGGGTCAGCTTCTATAATTATAGGACTAAGACTTTGTGAGTCATCACAAAGCAGATAATACACAAGCTGAGGAGCAGCATAGAGGAGCAGAGGTCATATTGTTGGTTGAAATTATATATATTGAGAATGGAGAACATTAGATACCTAACTACTAAAATAGCAGAGTAGCCAGACTGGTAAATAAATAGAAAAAACACATTTTGTTCCGATTAGGTAGAGAAATAAGGACATAGCGAAACAGCGTGGGCCTCTCCAACAGGAGAAGCCCACACTGAAAAAAACTTCATTTGCATAATCAAATTAAGTTGCATGACACTAAGTTGTAGCCTTGTATGAAACATGCCATTTTCCTTAACAGGTGGTGGATATAAAGAACCTCACAGGGTCACAACAAATTTGTAGGATGTGTAGCACAAACATTAAAAAATGTCTACAGCAAAGTGATTACATAACCAGACATAAAGCCTACTGTCTTTATGTTGATGTCAGCCGGAGACTTGTTAGTAATTTTGATCATTTATGCAATAGTGTTGAAGAGAGTGGTATTAAAGACAAGCATTTGCAAAATTCTATTTTGGATTTAAGTAAAAGACACCTGATCCGATCATGAGGAGAAAAATAGCCATCTAAGTCATTAGTTGCTGCCCAAATGACAAGCTCACCAAAACATCATGGCAGATATCCTTCAGCTCTTTTTCAATCTTCTCCCGGTACTCTTTGACCATGGCCACCTTCCTCTCACTGCCATCGGCTTTCTGCTGAATGCTTGACACGACACGCCAGGAAGAGCGACGTGCACCCACTACATTCTTGTAGGCCACAGACAGCAGGTTGCGCTCTTCATTTGACAGCTCGTCATTGCCCTCTGTCACTTTCTTCATGGCAGCAGCCATGTCATCATAACGCTCAGCCTGTTCGGCCAACTTGGCCTTTTGTACCAATTCCTTCTGAGGTGCCTCGCTCATGACTGCTCACTGGAGAACAGAAAAGAAAGAGAAGGAGACAGCTATGGGTAAATAGATCAGCAAGAGACCACATTTGAGATGAATGCAAAGAAAAAGTTGTTTAACTTCTAAGAAATGAAAAATGTTTAAACTGAAAATAAATTACCAATAGATGTAAAACTCTTTCATGAATCTACTTCAAGTGTCTACTCTTGAAATACAACACCATACCTGACAATCAACCTAAAGTAAGCACAGCATATTAATGCATTTGTTACAAAACAGGAAGAGAAAAAGTAGTTGCAAGTAAGCTATAGGTGCAGTCCTAGTAACATGGACTGAAAGCAGCCATTCAAACGACAGTCTATAGTTTCAAAGATCAGAAGAAAAATAGTAGATGCAATTTATAGTGTTGATATATACATATACAATACAAACATAGCCTTTTAAACCCACAAAAAAGGTAAATCAATACCACACATCCATTTTACCCATTAAAAATCCCCAGGAGGCTTGCACCCCCCCCCAAAAAAAGTGCATTTCACAATTCATACAAGTTCAAAATCCAACCATTACAAAAAATACACGCAGATTATACCTAACGTAAAACTCGACTAAATGAACGATGGCACACAGCTTAAGCTTTTAAGTAGCTTCCTGTCCAATAGAGAAGCACTTGAAAAGAAACACCTCAACTATGAGAATGAAGGGAGAAGAAAAAAGTTTCGCCAGTATACTACAATAATGTCGTTTTTTGTTTTGTTTATTTGTTTAAATAGAGAGTAAATGTATTAAGCTTTCTTAAAACTACACACTATGGGTACATAAGCGTATGCTAGTGTAGCTGGCCTACCTCCAGGATAGCTATGCCCCCTCTTTCTCCCAAACACAGACACCACACCCATTCCTATACCTGTGGCCTGACTAACAAGCGGAAACTAGGGTCCTAAAAGTGAGTTAAAACGTGGCAAACGATGATTAATGTCTATGCTTCCCGAATGAAAACGAGCGGAAAACACTGCTTGTAAAAACACCGTCAAATATATGGAAAGAAAGTCAGTTCAATAAATAACGGCTATAGTTAGGCCCTCGTGACCAGTTTCCAGTATGGCGCCAACTATTTCCTGAAACAGAGGCTCCCCAAGTCAGTTTTGCAAACGGTCTGGATGATGTAAATTTACCTTAGTTGCCCGGTCTCTCTAATTAAAATTTACTAAGAATATGATGCCTTAAAGATGAATATAGTATAACTGTGGAACCGTGTATTAAGTGATCAAAATCTAATTTAACTGGTTTTACATTGTCAAGACCGCACAATGTTACCGGTAGCTGCTGGGGAAAATCCTCTAGCGTGTCGAAATGGAAATAACGCTTAACCTGTAAACTCTTTTTTTTTTATTGTATCTATAAGTGATACCAAGTCATCAACGGAGCATATAAATTTACATCACATTCGCCGTCTTAAGGCAAGAACATTTGACAATTACATTACATTAGTAACTGCTTTTACGTTTGAAACCAGTGGCAAAAGGGCTTCACGCTGTAACACTGAAGCGCCCTCCCTTTGCCCATTTGAAACCAGCCATTAGACATGGTCCAAACTGTAACATTAGCTGTGGTGGCTATTGTTCTTAGTTTGATGAGCGTCGCCACTACACGCATCCATACTTGCAACATCAGACAATCAAACACCTAATTAAAAGCTACTGTCGACTTTAAATTAGAGGCTGCGTGTATTACTTATGCAACTCAAAATAGCTGCTTTCAAACCTTTAGTAATTTCATACCTGAGTACTAGCAGTTGTCGATGTACCAAGGTACAGCTGATTCTCTTAGACAGTCCGAGTGAATGCAGTCCACGGGGTTTCCTTCCAATAACACCGGTCCAAGACACGGCCGGAGAAGGGAAGGGCTGACGTCAAACGTTACCGAGGCAACCAAGAGGAGGGTATTGTGGGAGTTGTAGTTTATCATCGGTACATCTTCTATCTGAAAAATTAACAATAATGGAAATAAATTATCTCTGCTGTCATACTCCCCAAAAAATAAATTTACAAATGTATAATATTTTTTGATAAATAGATAGTACAGTATCATTTCCACTTTGTCACAGACAAAAGAGGCTGCAGTTATTGTCATGAATTTTCTATTATATGGGAAAGATAGTCAAACTGTGTTGCATTTCTGTTTGGGGGCAAAGAAGGTGTTCTATTGATTACAAAAACAAACATTGTTCATTAACATATGACTATTGCTGGAGAAACTGAAGACATCAACGACTAGAACACAGATACTGTAAATCCTGCCTAATAGAAAGTACTATTTTTGCGTTCTGGTTAGTTTCCAAGGGGAGAAAGTGAAGCTATTTTTGCCTTGTCACATGCTTCCCCCTTGGGCCAAGATTTCAAGCCTGTAACCTATTTAAGGGCAGATCAGATAGTATCGGCTGTAGAGATGCAAAGGCAGTTGAGCAAGAAAAATATGTTCTGGTTTAAAAGAAAAATAGAAAATGAAAACCAGTAGAATTCCACCTCATACAGGGCTGATCAAAAAAAGTTAAGTAATATTGTGGCTCAAAGGCTGTAAAACATGTTTGGTCGCTTTTTACCCAAGAACTGTTTTTTCCTGTGGGTCAGTACAGGAAGATACTATAAACAACCTGAATGTTAGTTTCACTTTTGTCACCTTAATAACAGCTAAATATCTTTCCAAAAGTTAAGATATACACCTATTTATCAATAGTGCTCACAAGACTGTTAGGTTTTACTGCTCACAGCAGCATGGTGGTTCACTATATAGGGCCAACTGAAGAAGCAAAGGTCATCTAATAGTTTTTTACACCCTTTGGCTTAAATGCTGAGATTTACTGAATGAATCATTACTTTTTTTCACCAAAAAAAGAAAAAAAAAGACTGTAGTGGAAGCTAACAAAAGCACACACACCCACCTTTCACCAAATGATCTACAAACTATAATCTTCCATGTGGGTGCTTCTTGTATAGGGTACAACTTTCATGCTTGATTAGCTTCTTTCACAACTTTCTAGGATGTGTTGCTGCAATCAAATTCTGAATTAGATTATCACGGTTGTGTCTGCATCCTCAGTTCAAATCCCAAATACATACAGCCATTAGACAGAGTCCAAACATACAGAAAGGGGAGCCTTTCTGTACGGAGTTTGCATGTTCTCTGCGTCTGCTTAGGTTCCTCTGGGTACTCCGATTTATTCCTACCATCACAAAACGTGCACATTAGGTTAATTGAACACTTTAAATGATCCACTAGGGGAGTGAATGTGAGTGTGTGTAACTTTTTGTCTACGTATGGCCCTGTGATGGACAGGCGACCTGTCCAGGGTGTAGCCGGCCTCTTTCCCATTATCAGCTGGGATTAACTCCTGCCCCCATACAAGGAATAAGAGGTTTGAATAATGGTTAAATGGATGTTGTGTCACATATACCGAAAGTAATAAATATGAAAAGTTTAGTAGATGAAGATTTTATGTTTAAATAACTTTATTATTTACCCAATATGATGTTCGTTCTTGTAAACATCATTTTAATTTTTTTTGCTATGCTGTGTCTTTAAGCCACATGTTATACATTTGTTTTTACGGTTAAAAACATTTTTCAACTTTTGAGCCAAAAAAAGAAAAAATCTTTGAAAATGTGTTTGGCTGCCTCAGTGAAATGAAAAAATAAAACAACAATGTCCATGATAGCAAGTATCTGTTTGTTCCATAGCTATGAATGCCTGAATGTCACATTAGATTCCTTATTTTTGCAAAATAATTGAGCTAAAAACAGTATAACCTACCAAAACAAAAGTGGATTTAACTTGACAGGTTTTTTTCCACATGTGTTTGGTTTTTGGTCAATGGAAGACATAACATGTTGTGTAACTCTTCCCTCTTCACATTCCCAAGACAGGACATCTGCATCATAGGTCTTTTAAAATAGCAATTCATTGACCTTGACTTGCACAATGTGAAATAATAATGATCAAACATTCCTTTCCAAGACAAGAAAAAGGTATGTGCAGGTCTCTAGCTTCAATTTGTCTTCAAGGAATGAAAAAGAAAGTGTTTTCAAGTAGTGTCACACTTTACCACTAAACAACATGAGCATCCTTTTTCGCTGAAAACTACATACATATTACATGGCAGCACAAACCACAAGCTTTATACATGACTCAACTCTCACACAGACTAAACTCTGACAGTTTCTTTAGCATAAGCAGAGGGGCATCACACCTTTGCCACATATTTTCCATTTAGATATACTGTACAATTACATATTTACAGATCTATAAACCCAATCATTCACTGTCCAGCTTCTATATCTCTTTGTGAGTTTAATAATATTCAATCGTTTTCACAAAGTTTTCATATGCTTGTTCTGGATGATTGGTTTATTTTTCTTCATTCATCTTTTGTTTTTTTCTCCCAATTAATCCTTTTTTTTCAATTCTAGCTCATTTCTTTTCCCCCTTCACACTCCTTTCTTTCATTCCCCTTTCAATTGACATTTAGATAAATAAAATTGGGAAGAAAAGATTTACATTGGTTGTTCCAAACTATGACGAGAACACCTTTATGGGAACAACTCTACAACAACAGAGACGTTTTTAAAAGGTGCAAACCCAGCCATCCCCAGAAACTCCGAAAACCTCAAACCACACATGAGCTGGGAAATCTAAGCCTTCCTTGACAGCAGCAGGGAAGATGTTATTTTGCTATACTTTTTCTGCTTAAATCGGTATCAGTATGAGACCTTTTCCAAGCTTACTTTCAGGCTGAGGATAGGTTGGATATAAATCTGTTGAATAGGAACAAAGCAGTAAATAAGCTTTTGAAATGATTTTACAAAGATGACAGGCCTATTTACTATGCAACACCCTGCAGTCTCTAAAACCAACTCCCAAATAGTCACCTTCTTAAAAGGGTTTTGTGGGAACACAGTAACACAATTTGCTTGTAGTTGTGTTAGTGGGACCTAGCAAAATTCTTTTGGTTTAATAATGGCATTTACCTTTTAAAACTCAACAAAGCAAAAGGTTTTGGGTACACGCATTGGCAAGATATGTGCTTCAGGGTCCAGGAACTCCTAATTTAGGCAGAAAAACACTTACTGGATGACATAGTTGATGCTCTGTGTTACAGTTTTATACATTAGTTTATTTGGGGACATTACTAAAATGGGTGTTGAATAATTGACAGGCACACATCTGAATCTATCAAAGATAGATTTTTAAGAGTTACGTGTCTTGATCCCCTAGGGCAGATAAGAAAGCAATGTGCAGTTTGAGAAACTGGTTTCATAGAAATGCTGGTAAATGGAGGACAAAGTCAGGGCAGAAAAGGAGTGGTGGCAGAATGCCTTGGAGGCAGGTAGGTAAATAGTTGAGAACAGGTGTGGCAAGAATTTTTAAAGTGCTGAAAAGCATGGATATAACAGTGCTGAGGTGAAAGGAAAAATCATGGGTGTGACTGCTGAAGCTGCTGGTTCGCACTAGAGTGCTGTTTTGTGGGCTTTCACTGCATGTCTTCCATTGCCTTCACAGCTCACTTTCCTTTCATCCTACTTTAAAGTAAGATAAGATTACATTTGCGCTTATTGGTCCACCAGGAAAAAGTTTGTCAGTCTACAGCAGGGAAGTGGATAGAACGATAGCACATAATGTAGAACACCATGTACAAAGGGAAAAACACCAAGAAAAACACACAGCAGGTAGCAGGATATCAGAAGTAGCTGCAGCTGCACGTGTGCTAAGAAATGTATACCTATTGTCATCTTTCTGCCTCCAACCATCAGCACTGAGTTGTGGGAAGGCTTAGGACGCGTGCCTTCTTGATTAGTTTATTAAAATCTCCTCCTGTCAGCTGTTGCGCTGCTGACAACTAGTTCCAATTATCAATCAATAAGTTGAGAGAATATACTGCTTACGTGATGAGCTCATGGACTGCAGGTATAGGTTTAATCACCGTTGCAATCACCACACATGAACAGAAATCATGCCACGAGATCAACAAATAACACACTAAACTTAACACCACAAAAACATTCCCAGACAAACCTACATTTATAATAGTAAACACGTCACTTGATGAAGATGCTTCACTTAAAATACAAGGTTTACTTTAAAAAAAAGAAAGAAGATATGTGTCTCATGAACTCCAATCTCCACCCCTAATGGCCCAGCAATTGAAACTACATTGTCAACATAGTGCATTCTTCATGTCAGCTCCCTCATAAGAGATTCATGCTCTGCCACTTCCTGTCGAAGATGCAGGGTGTCAAATATGGCTCAGCAATGTGTGACATATCTATGAATTAGCCTTAAAAATTCTGAGATGTGAGAACATGAGAAAAATAACATACAATTAATGTCTTTAATAAACTTATATGCTTAATGAAAAATTAAATGTTATCAAGTTTTCATTCTTCATCAAAAAACATATTTAAAACACTTAATTTAGTTAGTTGACACTTCTAAGACATTTTTAGATTTATTTTCTTTGTTTGATAATTCTGAAAAAATAGGGTTGGATTAAATTAGTGAGATAAACAGTCTGCCAAAAAGAAAAAAAATTAAAACACTGAGCCAGACTGCTGAACAAGATATTAGCAGAAAACTGTAGCAAGATTCTGGCTCAGTGAGAGTCCAAACCTGATTTTAATCCAACATGCTTGATGGGAACTAAAGACCAGAGAAAGTAAGACAAAGCCTTTCTCAAAAACAGGATGACTGCTGTCAAGGAGGAGTGACTCACTGAATGATTACTCACCTCAGTATTTGCACCTACTTGTATTAATCCTTTATTTCACAGATTATTTCATTACTCAGAGTAGTTCTCTCCGGTTCCCCTGTCATTCAATTTAGGATTTCTAGGTCTCCCGATTCTTTTGCTGCAAGTGTTTTATTATATTTTGCGTACTCTTATCTCACAGAATTGCACATATTAAGTTTATTATTCACACCAGCTCTAACTCTAAGATTCTTTCAGTTTTCAATTACAAACTTCTAATGACAACAGAAGAGTCCTCTTCTGATGACTTCCCCACTACTATCATATACAGTAAGGCTAGGCCTTGCACAGCAAAACTTGAACTACAACTTTGAGACAGCTGAATTTTCTGATTGCCGTTAGAAGTAGCTGTTAACTTGCTTTCTCTATTCTTTACAACAGTTCTCATGGGAACTGTGCTTATTCTTCCAAAGAAAATCTTGTCTGCACCAGACTGTCATCTTGTAATCTATAAAAGTTATGACAGAGCGCGGCAGAAAAGGTGTGATTAGTTTTCAGAGTGAAGCAAGCTTTTTAAAATGTCTCGTCACAAAACCAGTTGGCTCAGTAAGGTCGATCCCATTGTCTAGATAGTCACAAGAACTGATCTGGGCTTCTTCCTCGCTATAGTGAAACAGCTATACAAAGCTATTTATTACATTTTGAAATCCACTCTTTAAATTACACAAAACACCAGTCCATCAAGAGTTACACAACTTTGTAATAGTCATTAGTTTGTACATTTTTTATGGATTTTTATGTAGTTTGCTGTGTTCAAAAAGTTTAACCATTCAACTGGAGGCATAGTTATATAATTTGTTTGCACTTCTATCCAAAGCCTTGTTTATTAATGACATTTCTCTGGTCTCATCCATATATGATCCCAAACAAAATGTCCGGTTTTAAGCCTGCTTGTATCTCATAACAGGTGACAACCATTCTGTTTTGTTTATTAATTAAAAAGTAAGGATTTAATATATGGAAGACAATTATTCCAAGTAAAATTATTAGATTAGGTTCTGGTTGTTTTCAGAGTACTACAATTTTATCCATTGGAAAGGCAAAAGATAAGATAAGAAAAGACAGACATCCTACAAATGGGCAACCAAAATGTTGTGGCAGAGAAAGATTGGAACTGGAACACAACTGACCAGGTACTGTACTATACATGCAAATATATGTAATTATTTATATACAGGTACATAACAATGTGTGAAAGGAACAGTGAACTGAAAATCTTGTCATTGGGAGCAGTGCTTATTATACCATTTTACAGCTGAGGGAGGAATCACCTTTTATGCTTCTTCACACTTTTTGGGGGGAGTTACTGAAGGGGCTGTACTGTTAAACAATGTCTTAGATGGGGCAGGGGCCACTGGACAGTTTTGCTGTTACACTCTGTCCATAACAAGTCATCATAATAAGTAGCTTTTTAAGGAAAATGAGAAAGCAACACAAGCAACCAGGCTGAGTTAGAATTTAAGGTTTTATAAGCATTATAGAACGTGTAAAAATTTGAAGTACATATTTACAATGCTACATGTTTGCATGTCTTTATTGGGCCTCCTTAGTTTAACTACAAAAGTAAGGAACCTTGTACAGATTTGTTTTATTGTTTAACCCCTTCATGCATAGCAGTCACTACAATGTACAGCTGTTTAAAAGCCTTTTTGTGTTTATATATGTGGCCTTTTACAATTGAAATGTTCACAGGCCACTGAAGTGGACTGTGGTGCATCATGCAATAAAAAACAAAAGTCCACAATAATATCCTGTTGAAAAGGAGCTAAGACAGACCAAAATAAATCTGTTGAATGATCAGGAGTGAGAAAAGGGATGAGATAGCAGTGAATTTTAGAACAGGATGAGAGCTGCATGCAAAGTTCTGTGTTTGTGCATTCTGTTAACAAATGTCAGAATATGTTCATATTGTAACATGCACTATTTCATTAGTAAGAAATCTCTAAACGCGTGCTGTCCACCGGAGTGGACATCTGGAAAAATCCTTGAATAAACACATTTTTGACACTTTTTCTATTTTTATGCCTGAAGAAAATAAAAAACACTGGGAAAAAATCCTGATCGAAATGATCAGAAATCGTGCATGAAACTTTTCAATGTAGATTAATAAAACACATCCATCCATCCATTTTCCACCGCTCATCCAGGTTCAGGTTGTGGGGGCAGCAGCAGAAGCTGGAAAACCCAGACTTCCCTCTCCCCTGCCACTTCTGCCAGCTCCTCTGGGGGGATCCCGAGGCGTTCCCAGGCCAGCCGGGACACATAATCCCTCCAGCGTGTCCTGGGTCTTCCTCTGGGCCTCCTCCCGGTGGGACATGCCCGAAACACCTCACCCAGGAGGTGACTGGCGACCAGGAGGCATCCTAATCAGATGCTCAAGCCACCTCAACTCGATCCTCTTGACATGGAGGAGCAGTGGCTCTACTCCGAGCCCCTCCCGGATGGCCGAGCTTCTCACCCTATCTCTAAGGGAGAGCCCAGCCACCCTGCTGAGGAAACTCATTTTGCCCGCTTGTATCCGTGATCGGTCAGAAGAAGGCACTCTACCCTTTTCTGGTGAGAGACCATGGTCTCTGACTTGGCGGCGCTGATCTTCATCCTTGGCGCTTCACACTCGGCTACGAATCGCTCCAGCAAGAGCTATAAGTCCCGACTTGATGAAGCCAACAGGACCACATCTTCTGCAAAAAGCAGAGATGCGATCCTAAGGCCACCAAGACAGACACCTTCAACACCTTGGCTGCGCCTTGAAATTGTGTCCATAAAAGTCAGGAACTGAACTGGAGACAAAGGGCAACCTTGGCAGAGTCCAACTCTCACCGAAAAAGGGGTCCGACTTACTACCGGCCATGCGAACCAAGCTCTGACCTGCGGGGATGGGCTGTTCGGTAACAGCCCGTAACAAAGGGCCTGGTACCCCATACTCACAGAGCACCCCCCACAGGATTCCCCGAGGGACACGGTTAAACGCCTTCTCCAAGTCCACAAAACACATGTGGACTGGTTGGGCGAACTCCCGTGCAACCTCCAGGACTCTGCTGAGGGTATAGAGCTGGTCCAGCGTTCCAGGGCTAGTTCGAAAACCACACTGCTCCTCCTGAATCTGAGGTTTAACTATCCGAAGTAGGCCTCCTCTTCAGAACTGCCGAATAGAAGTCCCCCAGTAGAACAAGGGAGTCCCCAGAGGGGGGCACCCTCCAGCACCCCCTCCAAGGACTCCAAAAAGGGTGGGTACTCTGCACTGTTTACTATGTGCATAAGCACCAACTACCGTAAGTGCCCGTCCCCCACCTAAAGGCGAAGGGAGGCTACCATCTTGTTCACCGGGGTGAACTACAACGTACAAGCACCAGGATGAGGGGCAACAAGTATGCGCAGGCCTGCTCAGCGCCTCTCACCGGGGGCAATTCCAGAGTAAAAGAGCGTCCAACCCCTCTCAAGAAGGCTGGTTCCAGAGCCAGAGCTGTGTGTCAAGATGAGACCGACTGTGTCCGGCCAAAATCTCTCTGCCTCGCACACCAACTCAGGCTCTTTCCCCACAAGAGAGGTGAGATTGCACGTCCCTAGAGATAGCTTCTGCAGCCGATAATCGGTCCACCAAGACCCCGTCTCTGGCCACCACCCGAAACGCAATGCACCCGACCACTTTGACAAAATGATATAAAAGACAAAATGATATAAAATACTTTTATTAAAAGATATGATTGCATGGACAAAGATATGATTATTACAAGGCATGGCTGGTTGTCAGTCCAGACTTTAACAGATTGATATAATTCAGTGTTTTTGGACCAGTAGGCATCTATTTACTGAAAATAGTTTTTTTTTTAAATAATTTAATACTGTCAGTTTAAATGTGATGATAAGAAACTAATATAAAAATAATAATTAAACCAAACTTAGACAGTGATACAATATAAACTTTAAATACAGGTAAGTGCATCTTCACTACAATTGGAAAACAATAAAACCTGATTAATGTGTGCCATGAAAGAAACTTCATGAGATATGGGATTCTGCATTTGAGAGTAATAAGTTAAATTCTTATAAAAAAATTGTGCACACTTATCCCACATCAACATTAGGAAAATCTGGGGAAATAGGAGTTGGCTATCAGAACTACAAATGAACAACTTTCACTTCAAACTTATTTTCAGTAATGAGAGCACTTTTACAATCTAAAAAACTTTATGCTGGAGAGTTCAATCAGTACAGACACACAGGAGACAAACAACATATATTTAATGAAAATATGTTGTAGAAGCAAAGAGCAAATTCAATACCCGTGTAGAACAGTGTGGTTAAGATATTATTTATATTGATAGAAAAAAATAGATTTCCCCTTAAAAGGTTTCATTCTAAAATATCCAGTCAAAAATGAAAAAAGATCAGTGCAAATTACTGAGGAATATTACTAACAACTCTGTTAAAATTACCATAGTGATTATAAGGTGATGTCTTTAAAGCTTCGTCTTGGAGGACCTGAAATGGTCCAGTTGTGGCACAGCTCATGGACATGTTGGATTTGTTGATCCTTTTTGAAATGATTCAATACTGAAAATATTGCATACGATAAATAATTGGGAGTCAATACATTTTGACTGTTTGCTGTGTATCCTTAGGTTATGATCCTGGATTGTATTACAAAAATGTTGGACCAAGACAATAAAAAAAATGGCAAGTTATGCAGGCACCACTCCTGACTGAAAACCCTTATATAACAACCTTTTAGTTGTTGTGAAGATGTTTAATATGAAACACTAAATCCCTGTCCTGCATTAGCTTCATGTGTCAAACTGAGAAACAGCCCCATTATGCCTCAATGCCAGCTAACTCTGGGGGCACTGGGGATTTTGGATGTTTGCTTTCAAAGTGCTGCTTGAAGGTCTTCGGGTCTGGCATTTGTGTCTAATAAAGAGGAAGAAGAAAAAACAATTAAAAATACAGCATGAATTGAGAATAATTTGTTGCATAATATTTCATGATTTCCTACAAAGCCGCTGCACGCAGGCAAACTCTTCGAAATCTTCCCAGTTTTAACTAAATTTTACTGTTAAATCCTCTACATTCTGCACATACCCGACACACAGTGCACGTGTATACTAAAGCAACTTTAGCTGCTGCCTTCTGGTCATGTCCTTTGCTCTTCTTGATGTCCGCCTGCTTTTTGGCATTTTTTTGTTGGGACTGGAACTTCTGGTGCCCCCGGGCCATATCTAATGTTACACCTGAAGAAATTATACAAACATTTTATCAGCAAAAAAACAAACACAAAAACCCAAACACAAGAGCCATCCTAAGTCATAGACTATATGGAAGAGGGTGATATCAATGGGAATAAATCCCTGAGACTAAAGATCCAGCCTGAAAAGGCAAAACTATTAAACCAGGTAAGGTGTAAAGTGTTTAGGGAAAAAAAGAACCCTTGATAATAACCCTTGATCAAGAACCCTGCAATGACTGTGGATTTCAAAATGTGCAAGACAGCAAGGGGCAGTAAAAAATCTCTGAAAACTAGGTTAATTGGTGCTTTTTAGGTCATATTATTTAAGCAATTAACTTGGAAATTTCCCTAAAGAAAATCAGACTGTAGTTATATTTAAAGTTGTTATAGACAGAACGTTAGAACTGGGTCAGTGACAATGCTTGTATGATCTCTGTTAGAGTAATAATTACAAAAGAAGCGATAATCTACAATAAATTCACTGCCATCAATCAGAAACCTAAAAAATATATTTGTTGCCACGATTTTGAGTAACGTAAGAATTATTTCGACTAAGTGTCCTAATACCTCCGGACATGCTAACGAATAGCAGAATCGGCATACTTATACAGCGTTTAATTTAAAAGCAGTGATTTAAAATGTTAATACTGACAGATTAGATCCTATAAATGGCCCAATTTTAGAATACAAATAACATAAACTCATACATTTAACACCAATGTCATGGCGTACACACTTTATATTAGCCGGCTGCTATAGCTGTTGCTTATTTGGCTAGTAGCTACAACGACACGAAGACACACAGTCAGGAATAGTCAATTAACTTATGTAAATATAAGGAATTAAGAAATGTATGATAAAATGCTGCAAATACATCACCAGTACGAACGGCTATATTACTGACGACAGTAACTGTAATAAGAATGAAGAAATGACAAGTAACTTCTTCTAAAGCCTCAGATCAAACACAGTGGTCTGGTCTTATTACACTAATGCGCATGCACAAACCCTACATTGAGTCGCCTTCAATGGTCGTCGGTAAAAATATTCTCCTCTTGCAAATAATGCTCTTATTATATTTATATGTGTAACATAATGTATTAAATATTTATGGGGAGATATGTACAATACATATGTCATATCGTAGTATTTTGTGATAAAATGGACTGGGTAGAAAATTTCTAGCAACACGTAGGTGTGCATGGTAGGTCCCCAACACCCTATTGGAACAAGCGGTATTGAAAATTGATCGTTGTACAGTGTAAGCTTAAATATCTACCACAAGGTGTCAGAGTACATGTTCCTTCCACAAAGTGCTAATATCTATCTATCTATCTATCTATCTATCTATCTATCTATCTATCTATATACACACACAGATGTTTTGTCGTAAGTAAGTTGTGATAAAGTTATCCTAAATAAAATACAATGAAAGAAAAACTACTACCATTAATTAAAATAACTTTAAAACATCTTTGCCGAGTGTCAACTGTTGTTTAAACGTATGCGAGCCAGTGAACCGACATAACATAAAAGACATTTGGGAATACTATTTGTAGAGAACACAATTTAAATGTCCCACTCCAAGCCACACCTTCCACCTGAAGATTAACCAATAGGAAAATGATTGTCTCACCTGTGCATGGATATGTACCCAATCAATAGGCCAGCCGTGCTTCCTTGTTTATCTGCTTCCTCAGGTGCTACATTCTACATCTATTTCGTAACTTCTTCAAACCGAATGCAATCTGCCCCGCGTGTAGCTGTTACGTTATACTAGGCTACAACTATTTCCAGGTGGTGTTATATTTTTTTTATTAAAGCAGAGATCACACACTTTGGAATATATTTTAGTTTGTAAATTTGGGTTATTCTTCATTCGCTCTTACCATAGAACTCGAAGGTAAATAGAGCCAACCTCTTGCGGGCCCACCGAGTAAGTTGTTCTTTTTTTTAGTGTCCCTCATAAATTGTCCTTAATATCTAAAAAAAAGAAAGAAAAAGCGGTCTGTTTCTCAAAGAAGTGTAGGAAAACACCAGTAGGTCCTTGGAATAACATGGACCTAGACAGGTAAGAGAAAGCCGTCTATATTAAGAGGTAAGAGGCATAAGAGGCAAATTTTTGCTTGCTATCAAATTTCCAACTTGGAGCTTCTTTGTTTCTTTATTTATATGTTAGCCACTGTTGAATATCATTTAACAACTACAAGAAACAGAGAGGTTGAAATTGAAAAATAATTCTAGAGAAAGAAAATGCTGCAAATTAATAAGTGAAATGACAAAATATTTCTAATTCTATATATAATGAAATAAATAACCATGCATATATAATACAACTATAATTATTATATTGTTGTATATTTATATTTATAAACATATAATTTTCTGTCATAATTATTAATCACCAACGGGTAGTTAGATTCCTTTGTAAGGACTACTTAATATTTTTTGCTCCATTGGTATCCAGATATTGTTCCTTTATATTGTTTATTTCTTGTTATGATCATTTTGGATTTTCTTAGACAGTATTTGTTTTTAGTAACATGTGATAAATACAAGTTCTTATTTCTATTCCTGCATTGTAATCTTACAAATAAAACACCTCACAGAGAGGAGGTGGTTACCCTGAGGTATCATGAGAAATAGCTTAAGGCAGCTGTTAATGGCACACTGTTTTTGTTCATGTCATCTTAACAGTAAACGGTTGGTGGTGGTGGTACCGAATGAAGTTTCAGTGGCCTCCCGCAAAGTGTTCAGCAGTGAGGATGAAGCTTGGAAGAGCTACCTGGAGAACCCACTGACTGCTGCCACAAAGGCCATGATGAGCATTAATGGAGATGAGGATAGTGCAGCAGCACTGGGACTGCTGTATGACTACTACAAGGTGTTAAAGTTTTGGTCTGCAGCCAAAACGTTTTCACATAATTTTCTGTTTTTGCCAGTTCTAATTGTTTTTTCTTTTTGTTTCAACCCCATCAGGTCCCTAGAGAGAGGAAGTGCTCCTCCAGCAGTGTCAAAACCTCAGACACCTCTGCTGTAGAAACCTCTGTATCCAGTAACTACAGGAGTCTGGATTTGGTAGATCCCCATTACCACACTCTGAGATTGATGCCTGTCAACCTTTCCCTAAACAATGGCAACACAGGAGAACTTCATGGCTCCAAGCATGTAGCAGCAGGTCTTACAGCAGATAACAGAAGAGGAGACACTAAAGATGTAGTCAGTGGACCGCTTTCCCTGGTGAAAGCAGAGGGCCACACATCCATACCTATTTCTTGTTCGGGTGGCTCTTACCAACAAGGACCTAGAGACCAGATAAGGTTTGGTCATGAGAACTGCTATGATTTGTCCCACGATGGTTACCTGAAAGATGAGCTAAGTAGCACCCCAGACAGCACGTATGACGACACAGTGGAGGGAGAGGTCAGTTGTGTGAGCTGTGAGCTGCACTGTTTTACATTTAGTTTATAAGCCTTTTTCTTCTCTTGGTGTGTTGCTACCTAATGCATTTACTATTTGAAAACATGCATATTATCAACCTTCACAGATGTTTCAGGGAAATCCTGCCTCAGAAGGTGATGCACTCCAGTCTGTCTTACCTGTGTAAGTTGACTTTTGTATACAAAAAAAAAGTAAAAAGCAAAGACTGTATATGGAAGAATGAACAATTATGTCTGAAACAATGTCCCTTCATTTATCCATCATCTATTCCGCTTATTTCTAGTAGGGTCAAAGCAGGAGTACAGGGTGGGGTACTATCATTGGGCTATAGTCTGTACTATAGCCCAATGATGGAAGAGACAGTGTTCAGGCCAAAAAAAGTTTAATAAAAAGACAGAGGCCAACATAGCATTACTCTCTACTAATACATTCTGATTTCCACAATCTTTCAGTTACTTTCAGCACTAAGTAAAAATTAACAGTAGATCATGCAATTTGAGGACATTTTAGCAGTGGATTAATATACTTTGATGCTTAGGTAGGTATGTTCAACTAAAAACTGAACGATCTTACACTGTATATGATAATAGTAGTGGGGGTTATCCTCAGAAATACTATGGATTGTTGATGCATTTAGACTGCAAGTGTCAAGCTTTGGGTGCACTACCTGTTGGTTCATGGCATTGTTGATTCTGGTCTGTAAAGAAATGGTGACGAGAAGGAAAAAAGGAAAATGGACATAATAATATTTTCAAATGTAGAGTTCATTGAGCCTTTATGATTTATACAGGACCTATACTGGACCTATTGAAAATGAAAAAAGATCCCTCTTTCAACCAAAAATGCTCCAGTCAGAAACCATTCATTCAAGTTCAATCTAGCTATGGCTATGTAATATCCCTTATCTATAGGGAGATACTTAATCATTTTCATTTTCAGGGTTTACACACCTTATGATTGTGCTTATGATTTTGCAGGGACAGTTTCAAGTACATTCTGGATGCCAGCATGTCGCTACGGCCACGGCAAGGAGAAGGACCTATGGCTTACTTGAACCGGGGCCAATTCTATGCTTTGACGCTCTCTGAGTCTGGTTTGAAATCATCCCTTTGTCAGCCCAAAGGCAAAGTACACGTAAGTCGAGCAACACCATCACAAGGACCTGTGGAGAACCCATCCGGTGCCATGGGAGGTTCTGAACTGCAGTGCAGCAGCGTTGTACAGGTGATGGAGCAGAGATTCATTGGAAGTGGCTCTGATATCAGTAGTTTCGGGTAATTTTGGGGTAATTCAACTAAATATTTTGTCTGCTGCAGAGTGTCATAATGGTTGTCTTTGGGGAAGACAAGTGCAGAGATGAGCAGCTAAAAAATTGGAAATACTGGCACTCCCGCCAGCACACTGCCAAACAGAGGGTCCTGGAACTCGGTAAGATGAGATCACAGTTTTTTTTTCACTTATCATTCATTCATAAGTGGAAGATAGGGGGAATATTCCTGGTCAGTTTGGTGTTGAATATCACACCTAGATATAGATATTTCCATCATAGCCCCACAAAAACATAAAGGATGGGAAAGAGTTTAAGCAGATGGCAAGTCAGCAAGAGGATTTTGGAGAATCTTGAAGCTTCCCATAACTAACCCAAAAGTGAAACCTGATATGATTTGAATAACGGTCAATTCTCAATTCCCACAGGAAATCTGTGAAGAGATAGACTTGTCTACATTTGCATAGACGTTGACAGGAGAAATAGGTGTTGGCCTGGATACTAGCCATATCCTGAATGATCAGTGGGAGACAGGCCTCAACATGTAATTTTTTTTAAAAATTCAAAGGAATGAACCAGCAATGTCCTACACAAGTACTTTTTGTCTGTGGGAAGTTTATGCCATTAATGGTACTGGTATAGACTTGTTGTGGGCTAGTTACTGGAAATTAAAACATTAGCAGTGTGTTATTTTGAAGTTGAGCTGTTGAAAATACAGGATAAAATACCAGTGTCAGATTATGTATTACATGCAGAGAATGTGAAACTGAAATTTTGTTTCAAGGCAATGATTTATGTTTTAGTTGCAAAGTATGTGAGTTTCAGCTGTTGGTATAGGATACAATCAGCCCTCAAAATCATTTGGAGAGATTATTGCTTTTAAACAGAAAAGTTTCCACACTGGGCTGTTTCCTTACACAAAGTGCTTCTGTTGGGATCTGTTTTGTGGATCTATTAATTATTTACTTATTTCCAGCTTACTCTCAGTGCACAGACAGATATCATAACCTTTTAATAAAAATTGCATTTGCGTAATCTGGATATCATTATTCCATCATTGATAGCAAGGAGTCTGGGCCAAAATTAAATGAAGCAGACCAAAACCTCAATGCCACCACCACCGTAATTAATTGATGGAATGAAATGATAACGTTGGAGTGCTGTGTTGCCCTCCTTTTTACTTATTGTGTCATTTATAGCTTGTTGATTTGTTTTGGTCAGATCCATTCACCAAACATTTTTTATAACCACCTTTTTGTCTCTAAATCCATTCCAAGTCTAGAAATCTAGAAGCAGAGAATATTTCCTATAACCATTCCATAAGCACTGTTCTGTATTGTCCAAATGACTGATCCATGAAGAGTTTTAGATTAGTCAATGAGGTACAGCCCTGCGGTTGCTTAGAAACCCTCCTGGGTTCTTCTGGATCATGTATACTTCAACGCAATTTAAAAATTATTTGGATTATTCTTAGGTTGTACACAGCTTGTGGAACTGTGAACTTATAAAGTCAAAAAGAGATTTAATGGATTTCTTTTTCATTCTCATGAACATCAGTCACTCTCTTCCTTGGATTCCTGTAAAATTGATATCATGGATACATTTAAATAAACTCATTTTTAGAAGCTCAGGCTTTAAAACATCCTGGTTCTGAAATGGTGAAGAGCCACCAAATTGTATAATGTTTCAGTAAGTCATGGGGCATTGTGTTGTAAAAACAAAAAAAACACAAAAAAAACAGCTTTCAAGATATTTAGAGAAGTAAGGCCTTTTATTTTTGGTTAACGGTCATATGTAAGACCCACTGAGTTAAGATCCCTCTGTTATCTGACTTCTGATGCAGCTGACCACAAGGAGAGCTTCAGTACAATCGGAAACGTGGAGGAAATTGCCTATAATGCTGTATCTTTTACCTGGGATGTCAGCGAAGAAGCCAAGGTAATAAGAACATTTAAAAATTTAAGCAGTAGAGAATTATTTGTGTATTTTATTTTCATTATGAGCATGATTGCAAACTGAAGTCGACTATCTTCAGAATGCATTTCTTTACGCACTTCATTATTATTTCTTTATGCCATTCTTGTTGTCTCATAGTAAGTGGGTTCATATGCTTTCTTCCAATGTTTTCCCCATCTTTTTTTTACACACCGTCATTACCTTGCAATTGTTGTCACTGCATTCATGCTGTGGTGTTAGGCTACAGCCTTAGGCTGTTTATAGTGGTTTTACACTTAATGTACCAATGTTATTTGAGAAAAAGTGAATAGATTAAAACAATAATTTACAAAACTAGATTGCTTTTCTTCAAATTCTTATTTAGCAAAAAGTTAATCAGAAATCTTAATGCAAGGAATTTATGGGGATTTAGGTCTTGCTTTGACTGAACCATTCACAACCCTACATTTTAGGCTTTTTTAATGCTCTCAGTGTCTTCACAAACTATGCTGTATTAACAAAATCGACTTTAGTCAGACCTTTAGGCATTATTCCTAAAGCCAAGAACCCCTGACCATATCCTAACCCGTCCTGGTGAGGTTACTAGTAAAATGCAACTGGACTTTTTGTCTTGGTTTCGATTATCTGATCCTTCTGTCTAAAAAAAGTTTTAGGTCTGTGCCAGAAATGCAATTATGTGAAAAATGTTTTCTGCCTCTAATAAATGTGTTGAGAATATATTATTTTGAAGTTATACAGATTCAGGCAATTGAAACTATTGCATCCTTTCACCCAATGTACAAATCTGGTGAAAAAGATATTCATTGCATCTTTTTGGATGAATTTTGTGAGTGGGAATATCCAAGATAAAGTTGCACAGTTGCTGCACAGTGAAATAATTGTATTTTGAATCAGTTTTACATTTTTGTAAAGCCTTAAGAGCTCTTATATTATTTTTATGATTACAACACTCAGCAGCAAAGATGACAAACTGTAGTCACAATTTATTCAAATTACTAGGACAAGTGGAATCTCTGAATTTAATTCAAATGATGTAAAAAAGTGTCATGTAGGTGAACTGCTTTGTGCTTACTTTTTTACAGAAGTGGCTTAGAAATTATTATTTTTTTAAGTGATTTTTATGACTCCTCTGTTTCAGCTTTTGAATTTATTGTTACGGCCTGCTTAGGATTAGTGATTTTCAGTTCCTAAAACCATAACTTTAAATCTAATCATAATGAATGGTTTTCAAATGACTCATGATATATATTTATTTAACATAGCAATAAATCCGAATTCAGTACTGAATTTTATAATATAGCTTTTTCTCTTTTTTGCCCCCTATGCTGCTTCGGTCTTATGCTAAGTTGCTGAAACTTGAATTTCCTTAAAGGAGTCGTGCCAATTGCTAAATAAAGTCAAGTTTAAGTCAAACTCTATGCCACTATCAGCCAAAGTTGGTTTGCTTATTATATCTATTATGCTTATTATGAGTGAGAATGGCTAAATATTATTACACAAATGATCATTATCATTGTTCCTCCTCCACATCGACACAGAACCTGAGGATGCTGGAAAATTGGTGGAAGAGATTAAGAGAAACAACCTTGTTACTGAGTGGAAGTCAGACACATCATGTTTTGTTTTTTTCTAGTGACTTCAGGAAATTTCAGCTTTCAAACATGTTTGGCTGTCCAAGCTGACTTTTATAGACATACATAAAACAAATGCTTTTTGTAAAGAAGTTTTTTTTGCTAATTATTACTTAATTAGTTTTTTTTTGGCATGATGGTTTGTTTCCAGGCAACAGCAATTATTCTCGTTTTGACATAAATTTCCTCCAGCATGAATATGCTTTTTCAAATGGGAGTGTTTGGTTTTTTGTGCCTGTTAAAACACATGCACAGTGGGTAAGGAAAATTCACTATGAACAAAACTTCAAACCACTAAAACACACATTATGACAGTTTCTCAATCTGTTCATCTTCCCTTTTTCCAATTTCAGGCTCTCAAAATAGAAAAAAAAGAGTTTATTGTACAATTGTACAATGAAACAAAGAGTGACATTTAAAAATGTCACTCTTTGTTTCATTGCAGCCATTTGCTAAAATGAAAAAGGTTCATTTTATATCTCATTAATGTACACTCAGCACCCCATCTTGACAGAAAAAAAAAGAAATGTAGACATTTTTTGCAATTTTATTAAAAAATGAAAGAAGTTTGGGACGACCACAAGTCTTCCTTGACGTGGCAGACCAGCCAAACTGAGCAATCGTGGGAGAAGAGCCTTGGTGAGAGAGGTAAAGGAGAACCCAAAGATCATTGTGACTGAGCTCCAGAGATGCAGTAGGAAGATGGGAGAAGGTTCCACAAAGTCAACTATCACTACAACCCCCCACCAGTCAGGGCTTTATGGCAGAGTGGCCCGATGGAAGCCTCTCCTAAGTGCAAGACATATGAAATTCTGCATAGAGTTTGCCAAAAAACACAAAAGGGAGTCCCAGACTATGAGACAGAAGATTCTCTGGTCTGATGAGACCAAGATCGAACTTTTTGCCGTTGATTCTAGGCGGGATCTGTGGAGAAAACCAGGCACTGCTTATCACCTGCCCAATACAATCCCAACAGTGATACATGGTGGTGGCAGCATCATGATGTTGAGGTGTTTTCAGCTGCAGGGAGAGGACTGGTTGCAATTGAAGGAAAGTTAAATGGGGCTAGGTACAGAGATATTCTGGAAGAAAACCTCTTCCAGAGTGCTCAGAACCTCAGACTGGGCCGAAGGTTCACCTTCAGACAAGACAAGGACCCTAAGCACACAGCTAAAATAACAAAGGAGTGGCTTGGGAACAACTCTGTGACCATTCTGGACTGGCCCAGCCAGAGCCCTGACCTAAATCCAATTGAGCATCTCTGGAGACATCTGAAAATGGCTGTCCAGTCCACCAATGGTCACCATCCAACCTGACAGAACTGAAGAGGATCTGCAAGGAAGAATGGCAGAGGATCCCCAAATTCAGGTGTGAAAAACCTTCATTCCCAAGAACACTCATGGTTGTACTAGCTCAAAAGGGTGCTTCTCCTCATTACTCACCAAAGGTTCTCAATACTTATGATGATGTGATATTTCAGTTTTTCTTTTTGAATAAATTTGCCAAAATTTCTACATTTTTATTTTTTTCTGTCAAGATGGGGTGCATTAATGTACATTAATGAGAAATAAAAAGAACTTTATTTTAGCAAATGGCTGCAATGAAAAAAAGAATGAAAAATGTAAAGCGGTCTGAATACTTTCAGTACCCACTGTATCTGAGAAACCACACTACAGTGACCTTATGACCTTTTCAATTTCAACAAAAGATTTTACAACTCTCAAATGCTGTAAGCACAAATACAATAGGCCTCCTACTCGTACACATCCACAGATGCCAGCAGCAATGCGTGTGGAGAAATCTAAATGACTTGGGTCTGTGGAGGTGTGAATATAAGGAGGTGTGTAGGAGGCTCATTTGTGCTCCAGGCCTTTGCAGAAATTGGCCCTCACCACTGCAGGTTCAGGCACGATGCTGTCTCTGTTGCATAGTGGGAAAATGGCCGTGAGCTGCTGTGAGGAATCTCTACCGTTATCCGTCTCTACATGCCTGTTGCTTAAGCTGTTAGTCCTGTTTTACTGGAAATTTCACCCAGAGTTTATATTGGTTTGTGTGGTTTGGCATCTATCATGAGAATGTGTTCCCTTATGTAAATAGGTATGTAAGATAACTGTGTGTAGTGCTGTTAAGACTGTAGACTAATGACTGTTGTGTGATTTGGTTTGGGTTTAGTTTATCCGTTTTTTCTTAGACAAACGTAACTGCTTCTTTTGATCATATTCAGCTTTGAGACAGAACAAGTTTGGAGTAGAGCCATGCTTTGCAAAAAGTTATCATAGATAAGCCTAAAACAACATTAAACCCCTACAAGTTTCAGAGGTAGAACTCAAGCTTTTGCATGTGTATAATTCACAAGCTTTTTCACATGAGAAGACTTGAATTTCAACCTTATTTGGTATCTTTTTTTTTTTTTTTTTTTAGATATTAGACGCATTTGATAGACTGAGATTCATCTCTGTTTTTTTATATGCTACTGGTCATGACCCTGTGACCCTGTCCGTCATCACTTCATACTGAGTCAATCCGACACTCCTTTCAGAAGAAAGATCTTGCACAGTATCGACTAACCTGATTACAGGCACACGAGGCATTCTTAAGTTAATATAGAATTAGCTTTACTATCATCATGTTACAAAGGTGAAAAAATGTATCAAGTGTTAGGCCATACCTGCATCTTATTATAGATAACATTCCTGAAAATGATCTTCTTCAACAGTAATAGACCTGGGAATAGTGGTGACCTGATAAAGCTGCTGGACATGAAGAAAGAGTTATAGAGGAATGGACAGAAAAGGGAATAAAGATTGCAAAGTCCTAGCAAAGACTTTGTGGTAAAAAAAAACAAACAAAAATAAGAAAGATGGTGTCAGCCCCAGGGTTCTGGAAGCACGCATTGAATATTTACATTTATTCATTTAGCAGACACTTTTATCCAAAGCGACTTATAAAGTAGAGAATTTGTGAGAATATCAATTTATTATTTGTGCTATATCAATCTTTGAAAGGGATAACGGTGATCGGCTGTGAATTAGGTATTTTTGTGATTTTAGGTATTGTTTTTAAAAAATGTTTTTATGAAACTAGCATGTTTGTTAAAAAAGTAAGTCAAAATATTTAGTATCTTAAATTTTAATGCAAGTTTAGATTTTTTAAAACAAATTTTAACAATCAACAATAGAAATAAAGTGAGCTAACTTAATACAAACTTTTTTTGTTTATGTTTATAATTTTGAATTTAAATTCAAATGCAGGTTTAGATTTTTTAAAACAAATTTGATCAATCAACAATAGATATAAAATGAGCTAACTTAATACAAACTTTTTTGTTTATGTTTAGAATAGATTAAATAATTAATAATATATTGCTTTATTCTACATGGCAAAACTGTGTGCTAGAACATTAGTTTATTTTGTGTTGGGGTTTGTCATTATTGTATGGAAAAGTGCAGCTATTTTCACCATGCTGTTGATAATAGTTCTTGATATATGTTTGGTTTATTAGAGCCTTAGTCAGAACAAGAAAGGTTCGTCATAGTGACATACATTCTTCGTTGTCATTTTGGATGACTATTCTGAACAAATTCAGAAATAAATTTCATATTCTGGACAACACATTTGCCCAGAGCAAAAAGTGCCCTCTTTGCTGTGGGACTGAATGTGTGTGTAAAGCCCACACACACCACTATGCAGTTTCACATTCATATGAAATGTTCCTTGTCGTTGGTGTTACCTATAAGAATCTGTTCATTGGTCTAAAAAAAAAAATTTAAATAAATCCCCCAAATTTTTAACTAACTTTATCAAATGTGATAATTTATATGAACAGCAAATTTCCTTATTTGGGGAAACATTTCTATAACAAACTACAGTTTTTTTGTTGCTAATTCTTGTTGAATATTCCTATTTTCCATTTACTGCTTTTCTATTGTCTGGTAGTAGAATATCTTTTGATGTAAGAAACCCTCATAGGGAGTTTGTTCCTCATGGTCTATTGTATATTCATCTGTGATATGTTTCAAATATCAAATCGGTTCATTTTTTTAAATTTATTTTTCCTAGGTCTTTATTTCTGTGAACTGTCTGAGCACAGACTTCTCATCACAGAAAGGGGTGAAGGGCATGCCTCTCCTTATCCAGATTGATACCTACAGCTACAACAGTTGCAGCAGCAGACCCATCAGCAGGGCCTTTTCTCAGATCAAGGTCTTCTGTGACAAGGTGAGGAGTATCTTTGGCAATAACAACTGGCTGGTCGACACCATTAATATGACTTCAGACTAACAAAATGTTACTGTTTTTTTCATGTGTGCTTTACAGGGTGCAGAGAGAAAGCTGCGTGATGAGGAGAAGAAACTATTAAGGAAAAGGACAAAAGGTAAATCGATTTTGAATTCAACTTCCTAAAAATATCAAAAGTGACTGGAACAAGAAGAACGGGAGAAAAATAAACAGCAAATATTGTTAGACCTCATACTTTGGGTGGTTGCCTGGCACCAACTATCTAGTTCATGCTGTATCCTAACTAGGGAAAATTGGCATTGCAGGATCAACCTCCCTCACCAAGAGGGCTGAAAGCACTCTGCTTAAAGGCATATTTGACCTGGACTCCCAGCCGGTTCTCTTCATCCCTGATGTCCACTTTGGGAACCTGCAAAGAGCGGGACAGGTGAGAGACCAAGACGCCCATCTACTTGTACACATGCACAAGGTTTTTCTGGTCCTAGACTCGCATTTCATGTCGCATTTTTACTTTGTACCCAGGTGTTTGCGTTGAACACTGAGGAGGTATTCAGAGACAGGTGAGCATGGCTCCACTGTGGCCAAATCAGACGTTTAAAATGAGAGATTCAGTGGTACTCCTTTGGAATCCACGTTTTTATGTGTTCCTATCAGAGGTGTTCCGGTGAGGAGGCTGCCATGTCAGGAAGATATCTCTCCACCCCAACAAAAGAAGTCCAAACTGGAGCTAGATAGGAAAGGTAGTACGTCTTATTTTCCTAACATTAAAACAAAAACAAATAAACATTTAATCTCTGTTTTCCAGTGAATTAACATTTTGTCATCCCTACTCCAATGCTTAATTAGTTCTGCTATATGTGAGGAAGGAGTGTGATGAAGTGTTTGATGCCCTAATGCTACATGCACCAACACTCAAAGCACTTATAGAGGCTGTAAGTATTATTAAGGCTCCTTGTTTGAGATAGTTCGATGCATATATATATATATATATATATATATATTAGGGGTGGGACGGTTCACAAAATCCACGGTTCGGTTCGTTTCACGGTTTCGTGGTCACGGTTTTCGGTTCGGTTCGGTATATGGTGATTGTTAGGAAAATCTATTATGTCTTGTATAGCCAGGTTAAAACTAAGAATGGGGATTGTTAATATTTATTGATATCGATACTTTTATCGATACTCCTTATCGATCCGAGTCTTTATCGATACCACTATCGATCATTTTCTGTTATTTGGTGGAA